GGTGAGGGTAGCTTGTGGTGCCGTTTGTGGGGTATCATTCTATTCTGCTTAATGTCCCCTTTCGGTTGGTGGCTGTTGTGACCCGATTAGTCGCTTTGTGGAGCGTGAAAGTAGCTTTTAAGAGTAGCTTGTTGCAGGAGCTCTTGTGGTTCACATCTTCCCTGCACTGCGGTCAGGCCCTGCCCTCCTTGTGAATGGTTTTAATGTGCTTGGGGTCACCACAATTTATTTGGCACCTTTCTACATACTCACTTCTAGACTAGAACTGGTGTTTTTCGGATAAAAGGTCAAAAGTGTTCAACCCATTACATTGGTTCTTTTTGCATCAAAACCAATTATATATATATATATATATACATATATTTATATACACACACACTCACACCAACACATATATACGTACACACATGCACATTTATATACATACATGTAAATATAGTTGGTATGCCTTCTTTCCATAGTGCATCCTTTTGCCATCCCACATATGCACCGGCCATCCACCTGAAAAGAAAACATGATTCATCAAACCTTCTTCTATTGCTCCATGGTCCAGTTGCTCACGTCCCCATTGAAGCTGCATTCAGCGGTGGACAGTGGTCATCATTGGTACTCTGACCAGTCTGTGGCTATGCAGCTCAATCTGCAGCAAACGGAGACCTTTCTATCATGGCCAGCATTGTTTTTCAGCAATTTGAGCTACAGTAGCACTTCTGTGTGGTCAGAGCAGACAGGCTAGCCTTCACTCCCCACATGCATGACTGAGCCTTGAGCACCCATAATCCTGACGTAAGTTCACCGTTGTCCTTCCTTGCACCACTTTTGGTACATACTAATCACTGGATACCGGGAACAATTTGTCTAGCCATCACTTTTTGGCCCTTATCAAAGTCACTCAGATATTTTCTCTTGTCCATTTCCCTGTTTCCAATGCATGAAGTTCAAGAACTGACTGTTCACCCATTGACAGATATCATTGTAACAATATAATCAATGTTATTCACTTCATCTGTCAGTGGTTTTAATGTTGTGGTTGATCAGTGTATATACATGCATACATACATATTTGCTGGTTATGTCACCACTATGTAAGGTTAGCTCCTATACCCAAACTCCCATAGGACAGGAAAAAAAACCTCCAAGCCCCACTTCTATAACCATGTTGCTTTTCCTGTCCTGCTAAAGAGACATGTATTGCCACCCACCAGGATAAAGACAAAAGGTATTGTCTTTATTTCACATAAATCAGGAAATGTTTTGACTGTTATTGTGCATTCATTCTTCTTCCTTCATCTAGGGAAGAAAGAGTCTGGCATACTCTGGACATCCTCAGATGTTTGGCAACCTATGTGAGGAGAACTAGCAACTAGGGGAATAAAGTCTTCAACGTTATTTATCACTGTGGGGGGAAGAGGTGGGGGTTAAAAATAAAGGATAAATGGCATCATTTGCAACAATTTCCAAATAGATTGTAGCAACTATAACCAAGGTTTTTTCGAAGCTAAGTGGGTTCTGGTTTCTCTACCAAGCCAAACTAATCAGAGCACTCTAACTGGCAGTTCAAATATGGAAAGGCCTTTATAAAGGCTCCCTCCACCCCTTGAATTGGGGAGCCCTCCATGGGCTTAGATTTGGCATGGTGGTTTTTATTTGTTCATCGCATTTGATTTTGTGATTTGTGGTTTAATTGTAATAGTTGAATTTGTTTATTATGGATTTTTATTTGGCATTTTATAAAGCTGAAAAGTAGGGGGAATTTAGAAAACACAATTCAGAATGTAAAGATTTTGGATAAGGTGATGGATAATGGCTTAGGGAGTTCTAGCCAATTGGGAAGAGGACAAGAGACCCTGACTTGGGGGAAAGAGAGGAGGAGAATTTGCTATAAGTTGGGGGTGTGATGAAGCATTGGCTATAATGTGAGAATTGTGTTATTGGCTGTTGCACTCACACACTCTTAGCTAGCCCACAAAAATTCTATAATAAAGTATTAGCCAGTTTAACACCATAAGGTATCTTCCTTAACTCAGTAAGACTAAAGTAATTTTGTTCTGATAGTCAGATTCCCTGGACCTCTCCAAAGTAGGACATACATGTTTATTGGCACACTGACACTTTTAGATCCCATTGTACATGAACACCATTTACCATTTACATTTTTCCTGCCTATAGGCAGCGATTGCTGATTATGGTGGTTCATCTCATTGAAGTTGTTAGAGTGTCTGGACTCCCCTTGATTCATGTTTTTATTCAGTATGTAATTGTATTTCATTTTCTAACAATAAATCTGAGTCCATAGTAGCATCTGTGCTGCTTGGGATAATGAAGAAGCATTAGCCTGAGCAGCAGTGGGTGGTTGTCATTGGCTCATTGTTTCATCTGTTCCTTTCAGACAAGAACAGAGCCCATTGCATGAATAAATCAGTATGGGTTTAAGAAAGTGTGCAATCTCTGCCTTAGCCATGCCGCTAGGATCCGTGCTTATATGTTTACGAAAATGCTTTAGCTCTAAATGGAGGGACAGTGCCAGGGACTCCAAGCACTATAACCAATTCAATGAGATGAGATCAGGAGTGACTGCGCCATTGGGCCCGTTGAGGACACTCAATGGACAATTCTGATCAGGATGCTGCAGCCCATTAAAAGCATGACCGGGCCCTGGCTGGATGGTGCTGGGAGAAAGTGAGGTCAGATCACTTCCTCCCAGCTATCAGAAAGAGCTAAGTGGGACGTTGGGAGGATGCAGAGATTAGGGGGGAGGAAGTAGCAGACTTCCAGCAGCCTCAGCCAGCAGTCCCACTGGAACCCAGGGAAGTGATCCCTTTGTACTCAAAATGTATGGAAACAGTAGAGTAGCTAAAAATATGTAAATAGTGTGTGTATGTATGTTCATACATCCCAGCCGTCAAACACCAACACAAAACATCCCTGGATTCAAACATCAACACTACACATAAATGCACACCTACATTCAAACACCCACACTATACACAAATGCACACCTACATTCAAACACCAACACTACACACAAATGCACACCTGCATTCAAACACCCACACTATACACAAATGCACACCTACATTCAAACACCAACACTATACACAAATGCCCACCTTCATTTGAACTCCAACACTACATACATATTCCATACAGAAACATGCTTACATTCAAACACAAAAAACACTGCTCACATATACAACCCCGCAAGGATAGGAAAATGGATACCCAGCTGGAAATAGATACCCAGCTTGCAAAGCATTGTGGGAGTTTCACGATACCTAATGATCTACCTATTTGCCATTCTTGAGTGGTTCCAAAAAATGTTTTGCATGAGGACCCATTCAACATTAGTTCTCACAACTACATGAAATAGTTATCACGACTATATCGCTCCTGTAACTGGGAATGAGCAGTGATTCTTCCCCTGCAGTAACTCATGTTTCATCACTAGGGTGGCTGTGCTAAAGAATACCAAGATGAATGTGTACATTCTGAATGTGTACACTCAGAAAACACCCATACTGCTGTTACCAAAGTCGGACTATGCATTATGTAGCATTGCTTTCATCCAAAGTGTACAAGCAAATATAAGAGATTTTTAAGGGAGTGTTCTGAAACATTTTACATGTATAGTCACAGATAAACTGTTTATAAATCACACATAAAAACAAATGAATTAAAAGTAGACCAAGCCTGAACTACTGTACTGCTTAGCCTTCTGGTCAATCCCACTAAAACACCAAGCTCACTCTGTTTTCATGTCCTAATTATACCTCATATTGTGATGTACTTGTATTGATTATGGAGACTTATGCTCTATGTGTCATTTATCACAGAAGGGCATTTATATAATGATATTAGACATAATAAAAGCCAAAGTCAAAATGGGTACGGAGTCTTTATTTTACTCTGTATTTTAACTTTTTTTTTTATTTTGCATGACTTGGACAAACCCAACATTTGCATTTTTTTTCTCATTTTAGAATTCAGCTTTTAACATAAAAAATATTGTTTTTTTTATTTTCAAAAATACAGTGGGTTCTTTCTCTTAAAAGTTCATCATTCTTTTTTTGTAAAAAGCTTTCCCGGCATTGCATTCTTATAAAAAGCATGTGACACCATATCATAGAGGTGACCGTGACAGGTATGTTTGTGGAGAGGACACAATCCTCAGTGCAGGAGAGGCCATTGCCAATAGATGCATTATTGGTCAATCCGTTACTGAAGTTACTGAAAGCGTATCAAGATAGGAGCAAAGGTAGTGATTAGATGAAGAAGAAGGAGAAAAAAAGAGGTCTGCAATGAAAAGAGTCAAGCATTTCTTCAAGTGTGTTATTAGCCAGCACGTCAACACTAATTGTGGACAAAAACAAAGCTGAACTAAAAGCAAGGTTAGTTCCTTGTGTTACTCTGTGATCTTCCCCGATCCATTATGTTGAGCTGGTAGAAAAACACTGAACCAATCAACAAAAGCAAACAAAAAAAGTAGTCTAGAAAATACAAAAAGTCATACAGATTTATCATTAAAAACTGGTCTTTGTTTGTAGGTCCTTTGGGAAACCATGTGTAGTGTCCAAATTAACAGGTAAAGACACAAATAGTATGCATCTCTATTCCCTTTTGGTTTTAACAAAGCCTTCTGCATTCTTTTTCTTTCATCTTTCTCCACCTACATCTGGTGGAACTCATCATCTTTTGGCATGGATGTTTTTTTTTTGCCGTGAAAAATATTTATATAATAATCTCTTACACATCACTGGGAAACACAAACCAGCCTTCAACATCGGAGGCCAAAACAGGCTTGTATGGTGAACATCCACTCTAAGTGGAAGTTGTTTGAAATGGATCCATGAAGGTTGTGGACATCCAACGGTTTCTTCATTTATGGAGGTTGTGATTTTCTTGTACACTTTGACATTGTCAAGTTCGTACAATACTAGTATCTGCTGTTTTAAACAGTGCACATTTGCTGCTGGTCCTTTGAGATTGTTTGAAGTTTAGTCTTATTTTCGCAGGTCCAGGACACAAACCTAGCAAAAGGAAAAAAAAAATCAAAACAATTGCAATTAAGGAATATGTAATAAGATGAGACATTGCTATAATATGTTTTAATCTTTTCTATTTTTCATAAAAGAATTAATAAAAAAGAATCAATTTGTTACCCCTTGACTTCCGAAATGTATCCAGTTACTCAAGCACAGTGAGCTTATGTAACCCTCCAGAGTCACATCAGGTTAAATAAACATGATTCAAAAAAATTAAAAATCATTGTAAGCAGAATAGTGATGGACACAGGCACATGGTAATTTTTTTAAAATAATTTTTTTATTAATGAATTTGTTTAAAATTTGTGTCTGTTTTCACATACGCCAAGAATCCTGCCAAAATGTTAGTGAGCGAATGTTCATTTCATAGCCTGGTGAGTCCACGGGGAATACTGAAAAGGTGCGTTAATCTCAAAATACACAAACATATATAAAAATCTATCTCCCTTACTTACTTCATAGTAACCCCTTATGAGCAGAGACAACTGTCCATTTTTTAAACCAAAACAAATCCTACAATGTGTGCTATATGTTTGTTGTGTAATTTAAGGGTTTCTCTTTAAGTGCACCCATACATGAATCTATTTTGAGTTTTATTGGGTGTATCAGTCCTGCTTGTTATAAGCATCACATGCCTACGATGCACATACATTTTTGGTATTTAACGCAAACCATACATCAACCCTAACCGTAACCCTATGATGACAATAATGCTTCCTGTACACCTACCGAAAGCCTAAATTACCCCTAACCCTAACCCAGCATTAACCTTACCTTACACTAACCCCAAAGCTTACCATAACCCTACTCAAAGGGATTCAGGTGTTGTCAGAGGAGGAATTTCCCATATTTCACAGTACTTGTGATAGCAGCATGGCCGCAAAGTCTCCCTCTGTATGAAGTTATTTAAATTAATTTAAAAGGCTATGTTTAGAGCCCACTTTGAGCACTGCATACAGCTCATCTGTCAGTCTGGGCAACTGAATATCGCCTCGGCTGACAGAGTAAAACCCCAGGTATCAAGGTCTCTTTGGGAGTGGGCTTTTTACCTAGATACTCACCTGTGTGTGTCCACCTTTGTATTGTATATTGTATATAACTACAGGACGTTCCTCAATGTTAAAGCCCACTATTTTAAGATGGTATGGAGTGAAGTTAACGAAAAAATTATTTTAGAGGGACAAATAAACTTGTTACGTATTTTTGACAAACAAGCTCTTAGTTTGTAAAAAGTTACTTTTCCCTTGATTTGCAGTATATGTTGATAATAGTGCCTAATTTTGATATTTGATGCTTACATTGTCAATTTTACTGTGAGTCGCAAAGGTGCCATTTTTCACACATTTTGCTTTTATGAAGCAACTTTTGCCCATCCACACAGCTTCAATGCTACTTTATCTGGATGGAACTTCAACACCTGTTATTTTCACAGTGAATTCTTATTCTATTTTCCCTTAATGTTTGTATGAGCCATGTTAAAATAGAGATGTGTATGTACTGACAGTTATAGAACACATAGAGAATTGTATGTGTGTGTACTGTCGCAATAGAACACATAGCATAAATCTTTGTATGTGTATGTACTGTCCGTTATAGAACACGTAGCATAGATCTTTGTATGTATATGTACTGTCAGTTATAGAACACATAGATCTTTGTATGTGTATGTACTGTTAGTTATAGAACACATGGAGCTTTGTATGTGTATGTACTGTCCGTTATAGAACACATGGAGCTTTGTATGTTTATGTACTGTCAGTTATAGAACACATAGGTCTTTGTATGTGTATGTACTGTCAGTTATAGAACACATAGGTCTTTGTATGTGTACGTACTGTCCGTTATAGAAAACATAGATCTTTGTATGTGTATGTACTGTCATTTATAGAACACATAGATCTTTGTGTGTGTATGTACTGTTCGTTATAGAACACACAGATCTTTGTATGTGTATGTACTGTCCGTTATGGACCACATAGATCTTTGTATGTGTACGTACTGTCAGTTATAGAACACATAGATCTTTGTATGTGTACGTACTGTCAGTTATAGACCACATAGATCTTTGTATGTGTATGTACTGTCCGCTATAGAACACATAGATCTTTGTATTCATCTCTAATGCAAGCATATTAACCCTCAAAATAAACCTAAGTTGTGATGAAAGCTTGCACTCTAAACCAATATAATGAGACAAAAAGTAGCATCTTTACTCTGTCAGTTGTGTTTATAGTGCTAACAATGTACCAATTCACACAGATTACAAGCATGTAATATATTTATATTGCCATGTAGTATGAATCGCATGCTAAGCTATACTCACTGATCCATCAGATGCACTTGCTCCCACTTTGTCACCTCTGGCATTCCAGCAAACTTCAAATATCCCTCCTGTTCCTCTGTAGCTGTGTACTAGTGATCCATTCTGGCAAAAATAAATATATATATATATATATAAAAAACATTAATGTACAGTTCACTTTTAAAAAAAGAACAAATAATAGAAGGATTTTAATAGAGTTCCTACTATGAAGAGGGTTGGCATAAAACATGTAAAATCCACTAAATGGAAAATGAATTAATATATCTAGTATCATTCCCTTTATTTTATGCCTAAACAGACAACATTGCCTGCTAATAAAATATGTTCCAAATGATGTGCTGCAAATTACCTGCTTTTAACTGCATTGGGGATATATTTATCTGTGTTCTGCTCTAAAATGTGGTGCAAAACGTAAAAGGGGAGAAGTCACCAATGGAACACGCTGGCCTGTCCTACTGGTGCATAGTATTTAAACTTGTTTGTGTTATTTCAGAGGCAAGAATTGGATTTACATTAAAGGTTACTGTTACTCTGAAATCCACTACAATTACTTTTAATCATATGGTGCCATCATATTCTGTAGCACTGTACAATAGGTAAACAAGACAAACACTTAAAGTAACAATCCACTGCCCAAATGGGCAAAAAAAAAAAAGAATAAAAAAATCACTGTTTAGTAGATGTACCCCAATAAATACATGCATTAATTTCTCATGCATGCATTCATTGAGGTATATCTTAAAATAGCTAGCAAAGGCTGCAGATCTTATGACCTGCAGCCTTAGCTAACCCTCCCTTTTTTTCACAGGACAGACATTAAATGTCTTCACAGGGAAATAACTAATCAGAGAATTCTTATAGAGAAGCCTCTGAATTTTATTAAAGGACACGGAGGCTCTTATTAGGCTTTATCTCTTTCTTTATTCCTCAGCAGCAAAGAAAGGATATTGATATTTTTAATATAGCAATAACAAAAAGATAAAACAAATACCCTTAAGGGTTAACCATATAACATTCCATATCCATTAACCAATAGGATCAGTCCTTGTACTATATCCCTTCATGTGAGGTAAACTACTTCCTCTTTCTTTGCTGCTGCCTCAGCTAAGTACCACATATTTTTCAGCTCCTCAAATATTGTGTTGTTCAGTTTTCTCCTGATTCATATTATTATTGTTTTCTACTGTTCATTTTAAATATCAGTTTTTCTTTGTCTAATATTCAATTTGTATGTGTATTTGACTACTGTTTGTTTTACTCTGTTTCCCAGTGCAGGGTGCTTGCCTCCTCCCTGAGGCAAGCCCCATCCTGCACTGCCGTTTTCGGGTTGTTTATAACCCGTCCCTCATTCCACTTCCCCGGGTGGGGGTCACTCAGGCATCCTCTCCCCACCCCCCCTCACCCCCCCCCGGCCCGGAACGAGCAGTTTCGCCGCCGGGCGGGCGGCTGTTTCTTTGGCGGCCGTTTCTGCCGCTCGCGCATGCGCGGTCCGCACTCGCGCATCGCGGCGGCCATCTTAACTGAGGGCAATTTTGCCGCTCTTTTCGCCCGCGGTCCGCGCCACTCTGACAGGGAGGGGCGCGAGCTGATTGGGTGAGGGAAGTGTTGGGCAGCTTACCAGTGTCCCCCAGGAGTCATTCCTGAGGGAACACTCGGTAAGCTGCCATATTATATGTGCCAAAAATACTTTGTGCCTCTTTATAACTGTGCCTGCCTTAAATTTAACTCAAGTGCTCAGCCACTTGCCCTATACTGCTGGTTTTATTAACCTCTGCAGTGTTGAAAGTGTGCATTTTGTCCAATAGTGACGGTTTATTTCAGTGCCTCCCTCTACTGTTACTGTGCACATTCCTGATCACTATGCAGTCCCCTGCTGATAAAAAGACAGTTACCCCCCCTCCCACCTCTACTAAACCCAGCAAGCGTGATAAGACAGCCATGTCTACAGACGCTGCTGTCATTGGGGGAGTTGGGGACGCATCCCAGGAGCACGTGAACTCAGAGGAGTTCCAGGCGCTCCTGGATGCCACGATGAGTAGGTCTGTTACACAGGCCATTTTTACCGCCATGGGGGCGATGTCGGACACCCTGTCCCACTCTATTTCCTCTGCTATTAGGGCATCCGGTCACAACCCGGGCTCGGCACCCCCTATATCCACTGATAGCAAGCCTATGGTCCCTAGTGGCCGCAAGGCTACGTGCAAATCGCACCATCTGTCAGGTGCTACCTCCAGAACCAGTAAGACGGACAGGTTGCGCCCTGTTGAAATTGATGACGTGGTGCTCCCACGTAAAAGAGCCCCCCGCCGGGCAAAAACGGTGCGGACTTGGAAGAGGGCAAAAGCCCTATCTGATCCGTCCGACTCCGACTCGGACTCAGAGGAGGTATCAGATGGGTCCGATGACATCGACCCAATTAATTCAGACAATTCGTCCCCCGAACGCAGCGACACCGCGCCTCCAGCTTTAGACGCGGAGCGCGAGACGGATGAGTCCGCTGTATTAGACCCCCAAGGGGAACCCCTTTTTGATCCCGACACCTTGCATAATCCGCGTTCAGCGGAGTGGTACCCCACAACTCATGTGGCCGTTTATATTGCGACTAGGGTCAGAAAACCCCTCGACAAGGCCACAAGAAGCAAACTGAGGGCGGAATGCCCAAGGCCCACTGTCCCAGACATGGCTTGCGTGACCCCTGAAGTGGATCCCAAGGTCGCCCAATTCCTGGGTAAGTCAGGTTGGAGGGCCAAGAAGGGTTTGGACTACTCCTTAAAACACTGCCAGGACAAGATCCTGGACATACTCAGGCCTATAGCTAAAATCTTCGATATGGTCGAAGCGGCCCTTACTGGGGGGACCCCAATTGACTTGATGGCCATCAGAGGCTGGATTCAGAGGGGCATATGCCTAATAGGAAATGCCAACACCGCTTTGGCCACAGAAAGGCGTAAAGCCATATTGATGAAAATCGAGCCAAAACTAGTGCATTTGGCAATCTCTGAGCCTGGAACACAGGCAAAAGGTCTCTTATTCGGAGACAATTTTGTTAAGACCCTGGGTAATTACGTAAACACATTTACGGCACTAGATAAGGCACAACATAATATGAAGCGAGTGTTCTCGCAAAAGGTTTTCGGGGGGGCCGGCAGACAGCGGGGCCGTCTGTCCGGCCGCCCCTCCCGGACTCAGTTCCGGGGCTATCGAGGCTCCGCCACACCACGGTTCCACCCACCCGAACCGAGGGCACAATCACCATTCTTCCCGACCAGGGGCAGATCATGGCATCCACGCGGAACCAGGGGATCCTCCTATGGCCGTCGGCCTTATGGTGAGTCACTCCACATTACGCACCTTTCCCTTTGTACCTGTGGGGGGCAGATTGTTTCATTTCCAGGATGCGTGGCACAACCTAACCTCAGATACATGGGTCCTAGAGACCATCCTCGGCTATCACATCGAATTTACACAACAGCCGATTCAACTCTCATTGCCACATCGGATTGTTTTTTTCCCCACTAGACAAACAACTAGTGTTAAAAGAGATTCGCACACTGGAGGAAAAATGTGCGATATACAGGGTTCCCATTACCGCCCCCGGGTTCCTAAGCAACATCTTCCTAGTACCCAAGAAAGGTGGAGGCACGAGGCCAGTAATAAACTTGCGGCCTCTCAACGCCTTTGTCACATACCATCACTTCAAGATGGAAGGAATACACTGCCTCCGAGACCTACTAAGACTGGGAGACTGGATGGTAAAGTTGGACCTCCAGGATGCATACCTCACAATACCGATTGCCGAGGACTGTCAGCAATTACTGCAATTCCAATGGGAACAGACGATGTGGCGCTTCCGCTGCCTCCCTTTCGGCCTGTCTTCAGCCCCGTGGTGCTTCACCAAGCTGCTGAAACCGGTAGTTGCCCTCCTTCGCAGCAGAGGTGTACGTCTGATCATATACCTCGACGACATGCTGATCATGGCTCAAGACACACAGCTACTGAATCAACACCTATTCTGGACAGTGACCCTTTTGCAAAACCTAGGTTTCCTAATCAATTGGGACAAATCGATCCTACAACCTTCACACTCGATAGAGTTTTTGGGCTTCGATATAGACGCAGTACACGGAACGCTCAGTCTTCCTACCGCGAAAGTAAAACTTATCAAGAAGGAAATCCGGAGGACGTTGACTCGACCAGTCTTAACCCTCCGACAGCTAGCCAGGATAATTGGCCTGCTCTCGGCCTCTATACAAGCGATCTTCCCAGGCCCTCTCCACTACAGATCCCTACAACAACTCAAGGCAACTCACCTACGCTTGGGTCACTCCTATTCAGATTCTGTACCTCTAGACTGCGCGGCAAAAGAGGAACTGGCATGGTGGCTTCAACACATGGAAGCATGGAACGGCAAGGCAATCTTCGGCGCCACTCCGGATCTAGTCATAGAATCCGACGCGAGCAGACTGGGATGGGGGGCCCGCTGTGGTCCTACCTCTACAGGTGGAAAATGGTCTTCCGAAGAAAAAGAACTCCACATCAATGGTTTGGAACTCCTGGCTGGGTCATTCGCCCTACGGAGCCTCCTCGGACACACGACCAATTGTTCCATACTCCTGCGCATGGACAATGTCTCAGCCGTCCGCTACATCAACCACTTGGGTGGCACAAGGTCCTCAACCCTCACGAACTTGGCGAAAGAATTCTGGCATTTCTGCCTGAGTCGCAACATATCCGTACAGGCGGAATACCTCCCAGGCCTCTCCAACACCGTAGCGGATTGGCACTCCAGGCATTTACGAGACAACAGTGCATGGCGATTGAATCGCACAGTATTCCAGAAGCTCCACCAACTCTGGGGACCGATGCACATCGACCTTTTTGCCTCCCGACTGAATGCTCAACTCCCCTCATTCTTCAGCTGGAGACCGGACCCAGACGCCACGGCAGTGGATGCCTTCCTACAAAATTGGCCGAACACCAGGCTATACGCCTTCCCCCCTTTCTCACTCATAGCGCGAACTCTCCTACACTTACAGCGCTCCCGAGCTTCGTTGGTTTTGATAACACCGTTCTGGACAGCACAGCCATGGTTCCCTTCGCTCATGGAAATGTCAATCGACCTCCCCAGATTGATTCCAGGGAGCACGGAATTATTATCAGACCCCGATGGGAACTCTCATCCACTTCTGGTGCAAGGTCATCTCAGACTCCTCACATGGCTCCTCTCCGGGGACCCTGGACCATGCCGAATGTTTCACAAGCAACTTTGGACTTATTGGCAGGAGCTTGGGCCCCAGGGACAAGACGTTCCTATGCCCATGCCTGGAACACATGGTGTAGTTGGTGCGTGGAACGGCACGTGGATCCCATACGTGCTCCTATAAACCAGGTTTTGGGTTTCCTTACTACCCTTTATGATCAAGGCTTGGCTTATCGCACCATAAATGTCTACAGGTCAGCGATTTCAGCTGGGCACACTGGTTGGGAAGGTTTCCCGGCTGGGAAGCACTTATGGATCTGTCGTCTCCTACGGGGCATAAAATTTGCACGTCCGCCACAACCTCGTTACACGGCCCTATGGGATGTGAATATGGTCCTTCGTTTGTTGCAAGATTGGCCCCCAAACTCGAACCTAACACTCAAACAAGTGTCTGCAAAATTGGCGATGCTTCTATGCTTAATTTCCTGCAAACGGGTATCAGACGTGAGGGCCTTGGATATCGATGCACGATCATTCACACCGGATGGTGTCCTGTTTAATATCACCAGACGTACAAAGTCGAACACCACTTCAGTCTTCTATCCCTCCTTTCCTCACAACGCTAACCTCTGCCCGGTAGCATGCCTGCAGGAATATGAATTACGGACCCAGCCATTCCGGAACCCAAACACACATAATTTATTCTTGGCAGTGAGGAAACCTCATCAACCAGTATCCACGGGAACTCTGACACGTTGGGTGAAATGGATAATGTCAAATGCTAACATCGACACAGCCGCTTACGGAGCACACTCTACCAGAGGCGCTATGGCCTCTAAAGCATTCTCCATTGGATGTAAACTGGAAGACCTCCTCCGCACAGCTGACTGGTCCCGAGAATCGACGTTCAAGGAATACTACTTTAGACCAACAGAACATATCTCATCTAGGGTCATATCACAGCTTTAAACTAGCCTAATAAGAGCCTCCGTGTCCTTTAATAAAATTACCAGATTTTACTAATTACATGACGTAAAGTCATGATTTTATAAAGGACACGGAGGCGAGTATTAGCCCGCCCACTGAAAGGTAAGCCGTACATGCATTTTTTTCCCACCCACTCGCTCATAAACAAGTTATGGCATTTTGGATGTTTAGAATCTAAGTTATAAGGTAGTAACTGCAATTTAGACTGATTTATGCTAGAATGTCGCAAGCAATGTTTTTCAGATATAAACGTTTGTCTAAGGACCGGTACAACATATATGCATGACAACGATATTCGAATATATTTTACCATATATCTCTCTGTCTCCTACAGCTTAACCCTGTGATGACATAACCGGGATCGTCCACTATCTCGACATTCTTTGGAACATTCGCCGGAACCCCTACGAAAGATTACCCAAGTTTGAGAAAATTTTTTCCCTTGTTGATGTGTTCAGCTTCGGCATCAGCCAGAAAGAGGAAGTAGTTTACCTCACATGAAGGGATATAGTACAAGGACTGATCCTATTGGTTAATGGATATGGAATGTTATATGGTTAACCCTTAAGGGTATTTGTTTTATCTTTTTGTTATTGCTATATTAAAAATATCAATATCCTTTCTTTGCTGCTGAGGAATAAAGAAAGAGATAAAGCCTAATACTCGCCTCCGTGTCCTTTATAAAATCATGACTTTACGTCATGTAATTAGTAAAATCTGGTAATTGGTGCCCACATCCAGAGTGCGCCAGCTTGTGCATGCGCACACATCTGGCTTGAGGTCTGTGTGGGAGGAGGAGGCAGGCACATTTCCAATAGCTCAGGGGAGCTAGCAGAAGAAGGCTGTAAACCTCTCTGGCTATTTGATTGGCAGCCAAGGGGTGTTCAGTAGTTAATTTATAAAAGTGCTGATTCACTAGAAATCACTACTTTTATAAACCGGGATTAAACTAGGATATTCCTCACCCATAAAGCACTTCAGCAGTGCTTTAAGTTTCACAAAACATGATTGACCTACTAGAACAGTAGTTGAAGTGGGCACTGCCCAGCAAGCTTATAATCTAAAAGTACAAAACATTCATACATTATTTGAATATGTTGTTTTATAAACCAAACATTTATTACTGTACACAATCCTACATATAGCTTCATTTCATTTATACAAATTTCAAGTAACTACGGTATGTTACTTTACTACAAAAACATTGTATCTGCAGAAATAAGAAAGCATTATGAGCAAGTTCAGTAATATCCACAGTAAACCATTCATAAATAACACAGTAAAGCCTCAGTATCTGTAGTTTCTGTTGTCACACTTTCCCTTAACTACAACTGACCGCTCAAAAAAAAATAAAAAAATAATGAAATGTAAAATTTCTGAAACACATTAACATTTATAATTTATCTTGTGCGCTGTTCTGAGTAACAGTATGGTCCTGCATGGGACGTTAATCATCCCTTTGTAATGCGTATCCACGATGTATACGCACCCAGTCATTAGTCTCTTAGTAGCCGTATCGTCAGAAGGTCGACAGTCGCTTAACACTACTCACAACACCTACGTTATTCACCTGATTTCTTATCATGTAGGCAATGTGTCATCATCACAAGAAGAAGGACAAGAAAAGGGTCAATACAGTACAAAAAGTATTTTAGAGAGAGAGAGAGAGAGAGAGACCCCATTCACATATTGTTTGATATAACTGTTCTATTTTATTATGAGTCATTAATGTTAATGTCCTGTTGTGCCTATTTACATAGTGTTCACTACTATCCGCTGGGGACTTGGAACCTGTCCCCACGGATACAGGGTGTGACCTGTTTTTTCCTTTCAGCAATACACTTGGCTTTTGGACAGGTGTGATTTTCACTTTAACCACTAGATGGCATTATACATTTATACTGTATCCTGCATTTCTTATGGAGCCACGGTATTCTAGGGTCAACCCAAGCAGAAGACAAAAAAATGTTGGCTTTTGCATTACACAGCCACGTTACAGTGCTGCCGTCCACCTCATGTGTGCCCTATTAAGGGTTAATTAGTATGTATGTGTTCAGAAAACAATGATGCTCCTTAATGCTTTACAATATGTTCCTTACATTGCCTGACTTAGCGGCTAGCGGCAACAAGGTTACCCTATGGACCTAGAAATAAAACCATTTAATAATGAAAATAGGATTTCAAGGCATTGCACTCATTTTTTATATACATCTCATGGGTCATATTTATACTTTTCCAGGAATAATTATAATATTAATCTAAAAACCAACCAAAACATTTACTTACCTGAGTGTTCCATATATGCACACATTTGTCAAATGAACCACTAGCCAAATATTTGCCATCAGGACTAAAAGCTACACTATAGACAGGTTCTTGGTGTTTGGTTAACGTGTGAATGCAAACACCTCTCTCGACATCCCACAGTCGGACCGTTGAATCAAATGAAGCGCTTTGGAGAAGACAACAAAGAAAGTTTTAGTCAACAATAACAAACAATGCAATTTTAGATTAACACTTAATAGGATAAGTTATTATATAGTGCAGGTCTGTTAATGTTTATTGCCATTTTAAATGCATTATGTACACAATATAATAGAAAAGAATATAGGGTCAAATTTAGTAAACTAATCCTTTAAACAGTAAAACATACAGTATGGTATAACATGTTCTACAGACACAATGGTTAAACTGCAAACATTTACAATGCTAGGCCCTTCAATAAGAACACATGGCCATGACTTTGAGTGTTATATGGTTATAATATTATTAATATTTGTTTTATAAAGTGCCAGCAAATTCCATGGCTCTATATAACAGAGATAAAGCAAATTGGCATTGCATACAATATATTACATAACATAGCAAATCATTATTATTATTTATTTATATGATCAGAAGCATGATAGCCTTCTTATGAGAGTTCACAAATCACACTAGGATGAAGACAGAAGGCAGGGATTGCCACAATGTAACTCTAGGTCAATCATTTAAATGAGAATTTACTTTGACTCACTTTGAATCACTGTCAGTCTAGGTAATGTAAATTCATGACAGACGGTGGGCAATATTATTATTATTTTATTATTATTATTTTATTATTTATATAGCGCCATCAGATTCCGTAGCACAGTACAATGGGTGGAATAATATACTTTATATAAGCACTGTAAAGTTTTAATGGATTTAGTCATATGAACAGCTTGTTTTTGTTCTATCACAAGGAAAAAATGTTGGGGAGAAAGAAGTCTTGGTTAAAAAAGATAAAATCACAGAATATTTTTCATTACCAAAAAAGTTAAAGATTCATAAGCTAGCAGCGGTTAGTGCAATGGAGTATTACATTACTTTTATTATTTATAAAGCACAAACATTAGCATTGAGAGCTTGGGTATGATGTGTTATAGTTTTGAGCAGACACAAAACCAAAAACAAAGGCGGTGTTGCTTTAAAATGACACATGCTTTAAAATTGGTTTCTGCATTTTGGCTTATTCTACAGAACATCCACTTGTCAAGCGATATCAGTTAACAAAAACACATGATTTTAGATGTCTTAAAGGGACACTATACGCACCAAAACAACTTTAGCTTAAAAGACTAGTGTTAAAGGACCACTATAGAGCCAGGAAAACATACTCGTCTTCCTGGCACTATAGTGCCCTGAGGGTGCCCCCACCCTCAGGGTCCCACACCTGCCTGGCTGGATGGAGAGGAAGGGGTTAATCCCTTACCTTTTTTCCGGGACTCTCCTCCCTCTTCTTCCATCATCGGCTGAATGCGCATGCGCGGCATCCTCAATGTTTTGCTATGGACGCTGGCGTCTTCTCACTGTGAAAATCACAGTGAGAAACGCGGAAGCGCCTCTAGCAGCTGTCAATGAGACAGCCACTAGAGGCTGGATTAACCCACAGGTAAACATAGCAGTTTCTCTGAAACTGCTATGTTTACTGCAAAAAGGGTTAAACCTAGCTGGACCTGGCACCCAGACCACTTCATTAAGCTGAAGTGGTCTGGGTGCCTATAGTGGTCCTTTAATGTATAGCTCATGCTCTTGTAGTCTAACTGATCAATTCTCTGCCACTTATTATTTAAATCACTTTGTTTATGAAGCCCTAGTCACACCTCCCAACTCAAAGTCTGACTACACATTTCCTGTAAAGAGAGAGGTCATGTTTGAACTTCCTTTATTACACATTCTGTTTAATTTTGGATTTATTATCTCCTGTTCTGTTAGAAGCCAGCTAGAGCACGCAGAAATTTCATGTGAATGAGTAAAGTTCAATTAACAGAGCAGGAGATTAACCCATTCACGACCGATGACGGTTCAGAAGAGTTATCAGAAAAATCCCCTTGAGGACCGGTGATGGTCCTGAAACGTCATAATGGTATTATATAATTATATTTTTTATTAACATTAACATTTATTTATTTTTTTATTTTACACATGCAGGGAGACTGCCTGTCAGCACAGACAGTCCCCCTGCAGGCAGACACTTAGACACCTATTGTGACCGCTCTGTTGAGTGATCACGTGACCGCGGGGTCCTAATCTGCCGCGGGGCAACGCCGATCGCCGCCGGGGGAACGGTAAAGATTTTTCAAGCAAAAGTAAAAAAACATGTTTTTTTTCAATTTTTCACCATATTTTTATATGACATGATACAAATAATGGTATGTAAAGAAAGCCCTTTTTGTCCTGAAAAAAACAATATATAACATGTATGGGAACAGTAAATGAGAAAGAGGAAAATTACAGCTAAACACAAACACCACAAAAGGGTTAAAACAGCCCTGGTCCTTAACGTACAACATGCCAAAACAGGCCGGTCCTGAAGGGGTTAAAGAAAAAATTTTTTAGTAAAGTAAACACACTCTACTCATTCAAAATTAAACCATTTTTAATGTTGGCTGTGAGTCACGATTAGGGGAGGTGTGGCTAGAGATTTACAGGCATAAAAAGAAACAAAGGTGATTTAACTCCTAAATGACAGAGAATTGAGCAGATAGTCTGCAATGGCATGACCTATACAACCAAGCTGCTTTATTAAAGTTAAATTTGTAAAGTTGCCTAGAGTATTGCTTTAAAGGGACACTATAGTCACCAAGACGACTTTAGCTTAATGAAGCAGTTTTAGTGTATAGATCACGTCCCTACAGTCTCACTGCTCAATTCTCTGCCATTTAGGAGATAAATCACTTTGTTTATGAACCCTAGTCACACCTCCCTGCATGTGACTTGCACAGCCTTCCTAAACACTTCCTGTAAAGAGTCAACTAAAGTCTATCCTTCCTTTATTGAAAGTTCTGTTTAATTTAGATTGTCTTATCCCCTGCTATGTTAATAGCTTGCTAGACCCTGCAAGAGCCTCCTGTGTGTGATTAATGTTCAATTTACAGAGAAAGAGATACAATTGTTTAAGGTAAATTACATCTCATTAAAAGTGAAACCAGGTTTTTTTTCATGCAGGCTGTGTCAATCAGAGTCAGGGGAGGTGTGGCAAGGGCTGCATGAACAGAAACAAAGTGACTTAACTCCTAAATGGCAATTAATTGAGCAGTGAAACCTGAGAAGCATGATCTATACGCTAAAACTGCTTGATTAATAGTGTTCCTTTAAGCCAAATTGTGATTTATAGTTTGGTTATATCATTTTTAAAGTACTCAAGATATTTTTTATGGCTTGGGTAGGGTAAAAAAAAAGTACCTATTTTGTGATACTAGAGAATTTAGGTTGACAGTGGTAAAATATGACACTTAAGGGAGGTATCCAGTGCCTAATAATTAACTCTAATCTGAAGCATAGCCCAGACTAAAAGCAGGCAAGTAATGTGTACAGAACAAACAGTGTATTAGGCAATAAGTGTAGAGTCCTTGAAACTACTGACATTACTCATCAAGAGAGTGGAGAGAAAACAGAAAAGGGAAATAATAGCATACAGTATAAATTATTTATAGGCTTATGTGATGGCTCTTTGTAAAATCTTTAGTCCAGAGAGTCAGAGATTCAATTCCCAGAAAAGTCAACTCGGCCTTTCAGCCATCCAAGGTCAAATGAGTACCACTTAGACATGTGCATTTGTTATCGGACGGATATGATTTCGTCTGAATTATCAGACTTTTTCGTAGTCATTTACTATAACATAAACAAAAGTCCTACATACGAATTATATACGAAACAAAAGGGCAAATGACGAATGCATTACCTTTTCGTTTCAGTTCTTTCGTTTAATAGACTCCGTGCTGCAGAAGAATTAACCCCCAAAACAGAGAGGAGAAACAAAAAAAAACTGGATCTCCCTGCAGCAGAAGACTTAACCCATGAGTAAGAGTATTGTGGGGGAACTTACCACCTATTCATAAGTTTTCCCCTTTATTTTGTATGTTTTATCCTTTTTCCATTTGGGAGTACTTCATACTAACATAATCCATTCATCTAATGAACGATGATTACTCCTGTACCCCATTAGATCGTTTACACCATCAACATAAGTGCGAAACCATAACGGAAGTAGTTAATGAATGCTTCCCCTGGGTTGTCGCCATTTCGTATAACCAAACACGTGGCAGACAAAAGAATGGCGGCCATCTTGTCTCTCGAACGTGGGCAGCGGTACTTGGTCATCGAGTTCCTGGAACTCTTTTCGGCTAGGCACTCGCACAAATGCCAGTAAAACTTAGACCGCTGACCATTCTATTTCCTGACCACCTATACAAACGACGTTCAGGAAATATGAACTAACAAACAGGGGGAACATGCGTATCCTGAAATGAGATTACCTTCCATTGCGGGAGGATTGAAATTCCCTTATATTAATAACGAATGTTTTATGGCCGAAATTCAGGATGTACGAATGAAATTTTATTTAGTACGAATTCATTTGTACGAAACGAAAATTTTACTGGTGCATTTGTCTAGTACCACTGACTTAATGTAAGACACAGGACATAAGAAAAAAAACAGCAACAGCCAAATGTACCATTGACATCTCCTACCTTTGACATCTCCACTTAAGGTCTGTTGCCAGTGGGATAATGTCAATATCAGAGGTACAAAGGCCACCAAAACAGACAGATCCCCTTAGACCTTAAGGACCGCAGACGGTTCAGGACCGTCATTGGCACTTTCCCATTGCTGACCGCTGACGGTCCTGAACCGTCCTAACGGTCTTAGTTACTTACCTGGTCGCCGTCGTTCCCCCGGCGGCGATCGGTGTTTCTCCCATTGTGGGGAGACTGCCTGCAGCCCAGACAGTCTCCCCACACTGGATTAGGACCCCTGTGGCCATGTGATCGCTCAACAGAGCGATCAATGGTCACAATAGGTGTCCATGTGTCTGCCTGCAGGGGGACTGCCTGTGCTGACAGACAGTCTTCCTGTAACTGTAAAATCATTAAAAAAAATAAAGTTAGTGTTAATTAAAAAAATAATAATTATATATATTATATTTATATAATATATATCTATATATCATATATATTATGTCATACTAAGTGTATTTTTATATTAATATGCACATATATTAATATAAAAATACACTTATAATTAAATTACACACGTATATATATAATATATATATATAATAACTATATATATTGTATATATATATTATTATAAAATATAAATAATAAGTAATTTAAATTAAATTGAAAAATTTTAAAATAATAAAAATTTTAAAAAAAATTATATATCTATATAAAATTTTATTCTAACTGTATTTTGATATTAATATATATGTATTTATATCAAAAGACAGTTAGAATGAATTTGCATATATATCTATGTACATATAAATAAATAGATATAATACGAAATATACATATGTCCATATACATAATTACATAAATAATTATATAAACATACACGTAGACTTCAAATATATAAATATGCATTTATATATTTAAATTCTACGTGCGTATATATGTAATATTTATTGGCCAGTGTTTTCGACTAAGTGGCTACTAAAAAAGACTGGACATACCCCATATTGAATACCCTGGGTTGTCTACTTTAAACAAAATATGTACATGTGGGGTGTTATTCAGAGATTAATGACAGATAATAGTGTTACAATGTCACTATTGATAAATTTTAAAAATGTATGTTTTGAAACCGCAATATCCTACTTGTACCTATAGCCCTATAATTGCAAAAAAAGCACGTAAACACTGGGTATTTTTAAACTCAGGACAAAATTTTGAATCTATGTATTTTTTTCAATTTTTCACCATATTTTTTTATTTTTTTTAAATTAAATTACATGAGATTATATAAATAATGGTATGTAAAGAAAGCCCCTTTTGTCCTAAAAAAACCAATATATAATTTGTATGGGAACAGTAAATGAGAGAACGGAAAATTACAGCTAAACACAAACACCACAAAAGTGTAAAAATATGCCTGGTCGCAAATGTACAACATCGCAAAAACAGTCCGGTCCTTAAGGGGTTAAGGATATTAATTTTGCTCACCTGGCTAACATGATATTTGAGTTTGGATTGCTGGTGCTTGGACCTGTTGGACTCCATTTGATGGTGTAGATTTCTTTATTGTGGGCCTGCAGGTCATGTACACAGATGTCTTGTTTCATACTCCATATCTATCAAAAATAAATACAAACAAGGATTATACTACTTAGAATTCTAACTACAGTATTGAATATTATTATTAATTTGGTTTACACCATAATTTTTATCAGATGATATATGTGTTTCACACACAAAAAAATATTACAATTCATGAGATCATCTGAAATAAAAACAATATATCATTGAATAGTTTTTACACTAGACCTGCTAATTGTAATTATGGACATGCAAAAATAAAAATAATAATAACAATTTTGCCCATGTACTTTTGCATTTTAGTAAATTGTAAATGTACTAAAACTATAACACTTTAATGCATCTTAATATGAGTATATTTCTACCTCAGGCCCTTTGTCAAGCGTGACAAAGAGCCCAAACAAACATATATTCCTAACACTATAATCTTCTAGTCTTTATTTAGATTTAGCGTCCTCCCTACCCAACGGCAATTAAAAGATTGTGTGGGGGGGGGGGGGAAATAACCATTTTACAAAGTAACATGTTTGTTTTTTTCCCAAGTGCACAGTTTTTATATTTTGCATACGCAGAGCAAATGGAATGATCTGCCATTTGTCATTTTAGGATTTATTCTAACACAAAGAATGTTTGGCAAGCTCATCCACAAGAGAAAAAAAAAAAAACCTATCAAAATCTTGAATGGTGCAAGGCAAAAAGATACATTGTTACTGAAGCCAGATGAGTTTATCCAAATTACAAGGCTTAACATACAGAAACAAGCAACTCTTGAGGTCATATTTCAGAAAATGAAAATCATGGCTTTGTATAGGCATGAAAAATATCTATTCATAAATACATCTGCTTCAGACATATATGTCGACTCTCTTGTCATTGAAATGTTTTTTTCAGAATCCCATACTACCAACAATAGCTGTAATAGATTTACTACCTATCAGTACACTATAGATGGCAAAAGTGCCAACTACTTACTTTGGGTAGAATACCTTCCCCATTTATACCAGGCAATTGCCATCTGATCTTACAATTCACATGTTATTTGAGTTGGCACAATTATATCTAACAATATTGTTAAATAAACATTCAAAGCACCATAACCACAACACTGTGCGCAAAACACAATTGTATTCACAGTTTAAAGTCTGTCCTTTTTCTTCCCCATATTGATAAACTCAGCTATGAGTAAGGGTCCTAGAATGGGTGGGCAGGATTTATTTGAAGAGTGGGGAGGCAAACTTAAAGGAACACTATAGGGTCAGGAACACAAACATGTATTCCTGACCCTATAGTGCTAAACCCACCATTTAGGTGGTTTGCTACCCCTTAGCCCCCTTAAAACTTAATAAAACTCAAATTTAGCTTCCCCATGCAGAGCATAGAGACGCTGAACAGCAGTGCTGCCTACTGTGCAGCCCTGAGCCAGGAAGCACCTCCAGTGGCCATATGAGGAGTGACCACTTGGAGGTTTTTCTAAGGACAATGTAAACACTGTCTTTTCTCTAAAAAGGCAGTGTTTGCATAAAAATGCCTGAAGGCAAATGATTATACTCACCAGAACAACTACATTAAGCTGTTGTTGTTCTGGTGACTATAGTGTTCCTTTAATAAAACAGGAGCAAAATCTCTAGTAAGAATGAGCATGATAGTCACATTAAATGCTCCTGCAAACCACACATTTCACACCTTGGAACAATGAAATGTTTGTTAGATATAAACAGGAATCTATCAATATTAATAGAAAGATTTGTTTTTTAATGATGTTGTAGATTATGTTCTGCTGCTGCACATATCTTTTTTTTTATATATATATTTATAATCTTTATTCATACAAAATTTTCCATATTAAAAAACAGTTTCTCACAGATAATGTAAATGTGTCCAAATTGAACATATGAAATTACATCACAACCTTTTAAGACAACATTTATACATAAAGGTCTACATCTTGAAACAGTATGTGGACAGTCATAATACACAATACACAATTCACCATAATAAATAACCCCTCCTCCCCTCAAAAAAAAGGAACTACTGTACCAACTTCCTATCCTGAGATTCGACAAGGTGCAATCCAAGATCTACCTAATTATTGTGATTTTTGAAATCTAGTCCATTGTAGCCACAATTTGGTCAAATTCTTAATACCAGAATTGAGGTTAAAACCCGATTCCATCTTATATTGAAACCATATTTGTTCCATTATATTCTGCCATGCCGGGGGGAGGGAGATTTCCATGTCCTAGCAACACAGATTTTTATTGCAAAAAATATATGGGTCAGAAGATACCTTTGATTCCTGCCCTGTATGGGAATGTCGATATAAAACAAAAATAATTGTGGACTCATTTCTTTAACGTCCTCAAAAATCGATTGTATTAAGTCTAGCATTTGAAATTTGAAATTATCGAGAACCGGGCATTCCCACCAGATATGGTAAATTGTACCTTCCTCTTTCCCACATCTCCAACATACCCTCGAATGGGAAGGAGATACTTTATGAAGTCTGACTGGAACCAGATACCATCTGTATATCAACTTAAGATGAATTTCAATCAAAGATACGTTGTGAATATACAGCTTTACTAATCGAGTGGCTTTAATCCAGTCTGCAAAGGTAAAGGACCTCCCAATATCCAACTCCCATTTGATGAACGAGGGGACATGAGAATCTTGATCCAATGAATCAAATAATTTATTAAATCTAGAAATTCCTCCTCTCTTTTGGTTCAGTACTATTTGGGAAACAATATCTTGATCTTTAAGTATAACTTTCGCTAATAAAAAGTTCTTAATTCTTAGGTATTGGAATAGTTCTTTAGAAGGAAGATTATATTTAAATTGTAATTGAGCAAATATAACCGGTTTATAACCCTCACATAGATCAGCAATTTTCCGTATTCCTAATTGTTTCCAAGATTTAACATTTAAATCCACCATAGCATGATATAACACCTCAACAGGGGCATCATTGAGCAGTTTACCTACCAGATTTAACTTTTTATTTAGAATTTTCGAGGTAGCTACCATATCATTTAGGATTTTATTAGAATACTGATCCTTGTCCAATGCACACAGATCCATAAGACCCAGCTACACCAGAGTGGACAATTTATAAGTGGGGCTATATTCCTGTTCTAGCTTGAGCCACGAATGCATATTTTGATCCGAATCTAACCAGAGCAAAAGCTAAGTTGCCTTACATGCTTCATGAATCTTCACCACGTCCGGAAATGCTATGCCTCCCTTCGAATAACTCTTTCGCAATGTTTCAAACGCTATCCTGGGTAGTCTATCTAGCCAAATATAGTTGGAGAACATATTTTGAAAGCGATTAAGCGTCCCTATCTCAATTCTATATGGAATAGCCCTAAATAGATAAAGAAGTTTTGGCATCAAAAAGGCTTTAATCATATTTAATCTACCTATCCAAGATGACTCTATCCTCTTCCATTTTGTAACCTGATATTGCAGTTCCGTAAATAGATTATCATAATTCATTTGTATCGCACAAGCGATATCAAATGATATTTTAATCCCTAAATAGTCAATTTTATCTTTTGCCCAAGCCAAGTGGAAACGTGAAGACAAAAGATCTCTCTGAGTTTTAGTTAAAAAGGAGGATAAAATTTGAGACTTTTTCATATTAATCTTATAATTAGAAAAGCTACTAAATGTAGAAATATCTTCCAACAAGGATGCAATAGAAACCAGAGGGTCGACCAAAGTAAGAAGTACGTCGTCGGCGAAAAGAGATATCTTAACATCTCCACTCTTTGATTCCACCCTTTATATTAGTATCTTGTCTAATCATTATAGCTAAGGGTTCAATTGTAAGAAAATAGAGGATGGGGGCCAAGGGGCAGCCCTGCCTAGTTCCATTTTTAATTTCAAATGGATCTTACTCAAAGAAAGGATTACTAATTTTAGCTGAGGAATTCTTATATAACGACATAGTTTTAATCCTAAATTGTCCCTTGAGACCAAATCGGCCCATGACAGAGTCAAGAAATTTCCAATTGACGCTATCAAAGGCCTTCTTGGCGTCGAGGGCCATAATAACCGAGCCCAATTTATTTTCATTCATTCTATGTATTAAATTAAATATCCTACGCGTGTTATCAGAAGTGCTTCTTCCCTTCACAAACCCTGATTGGTCCCCCATGATCAAATCTCCTATAACCTCTTTAAGTCGATTAGACAAGATACTGGAGAATATTTTAATATCTACATTAATTAGTTATATTGGTCTATAGTTGGTAATTAATGTTGGATCTTTACCCGCCTTTGGTATAGGTATAATCGAGGTCAACATCATCTCCTTCAGAAATGGAGAGTCTGTAAACACACTTGTGAACATCTCTAGAAGAATAGGGGAGATAGTTTTAGAGAATGTTTTATAAAATATCGCCGAATAGCCATCTGGGCCCGGCGCCTTACTTTTCAAAGATTTTAAATTATCTATCACTTCTACTATTTCTGATAGTAGGAATGGAGCATTTAATCTTTCTAGTTTCTCCTGCTTGATTTTAGGGAGTTTAAGTTTAATTAAAAAGTTATCGATCTAATTCTTATCAGCCCCTACTTCCTCTAAATTATACAATGAACTGTAAAAATCTACGAATGCCTTGGCAATATCATTGGACGAGCAAAGATGAACATCCCCCAACACTATTTTTTTTATAGATTTATCTTTAGTATAATTCTTAAGTTTGTTTGAAAGATCTCTACTAATTTTGTTGTTGTTATGGTACCATCTTTGTTTAAGAAAAACAAGATTTTTATTAACCATCTCATATGTTTTATCCTTAATAGATGACCTTATTTTGGTTATTTCCTCAATTAGTTCCTTGCTTGTCTCAACTTTATTGAGGCGCTCTTTTTTTGCCAAATTTATCATCAGTTCTTGTAAAGACTCTCCCTTCTTACGTTTGAGTTCTGATTCATATTTAATTAATAGGCCACTTGTATAACTTTTAAGAGTGCACCAAACCATAGCTGATGAAACTTCTCAATTATTGTTAGTATTCAAAAAATTCTCAATTTCAACGAGTTTCAACGAATATGATCTAATTTCAGTAGGCTTTCATTTAGCCTCCACCTTGTCCTAGATCTACAGCCCTTTTTAAGACTAATATTCAAAAATAATGGTGCGTGATCTGATATTACTATAGATCCAATAGTAGATTTAATAATTGACTCTAGAAAACCAGCCTTAACAAAAAACACATCGATACGAGAGTATGATTGGTGTACATGAGAGAAGAATGTATAATCTTTCTCGCTAGGATTCAGGATCCTCCAGCAATCAAATAGGGAGTTCTTGACTAAAAAATCCGCTAAATCAGATAAGTGAGAATTTGATAATTTAACACCAATTTTATGTTTGTGATTTTTATCTATTTTTGGGTCTATAACATAGTTGAAATCACCTCCTATAATAATATTCCCACATGCATACTCATCTAATAATTCCATAATTCGATCAAGTAGCCCAATCAGATTACGATTTGGCGCATAGATGTTGACAAAAGTATTCTTAATGCCATCGATGTTGCAATTAGCATTAAGTATCTACCCATGGTATCAGTCGATAGATGTATGATTTCAACTACATGTCTACTGGAAATTATAATGGCAGTGCCTCTTTTTTTCTTTCTACCCTCTAGATTTGAAGCAAAAACTAAAGGGATTTTTTTTTAATTTCCAGAGTCTGTCTGGGGACTCAATCCAGTGTGTCTCTTGAATAAAATGCAACATCTATTGAATTTTCATTCAGAAATTTATAAACAGCTCCCCTTTTCTGGGGCGAATTTAACCCCTGAACATTCCATGATATTATTTTAAGCGTAGTCATAACACCAAATACTCCAACTAACCACCATATCCAATCTCAAATTAAGGACAAGAAAGTAATGAAAAAAATAAAAATAATTATAATAATTAAAGTAATACTTTTTTTTTTTTTTTTTTTAATCCAGAGGAGGGAGACACCCCTCCCCCAATAATCCAATGAGAAAACATAATTATAAAACCTTGGACAAGCCTGCACATATCTTTTTAAGTCGAGTTACTTGCCTTCAGAGTCATGTCATCGGAACATGAGGCTAAGAGCATTCCTGACGGGTCCCATTTAATTGCATTTACTTCATTCTAAAAAGAAAAAAGAAGACATGGGATTCTGATTAATTAAATGAAACTTGATTTATTTTTAAGCATTTACAAGAGTGCCAGGAAACCATAAGAGGGCAGTCATGTGCCATCGATTAAAATATAATTTTAGTTTAAAGTGCATTTTTCCAATTTGTACAGTGATCACATGTTTAATTTCAGTGTACATGTTAAATTATCTACAATTTTTATTCCATAAAGCATTCATATTGTATCATTTGCCAAGTTAATATTGTGTCCTTGGTCATATTTACAGTGGAACCAAGTTGGTATTTGCTTTTCAACACAACATTTAAATACACAGTAAAACATGCAGGTAATCTAGCCAATGATCCTCATGTACATTAAAGAATTATTCGTCATTTTACCTTGAGGCAGAGCATCTGCACATATCTCTACAAAACAAAACCTGCCTAAATGCAGCTTTTCAAACACTAACAGTGTGCATTATTGAGTATATGAAGACCATGGAAATTGATCTGGCCACAACAACCCAAATTAATTTCTAAATAATACTTAACCAGCCTTCCTTTTTAAATTGGTAGTAGGAATGAATGCATGTCACAACAGAGACGATGAAGAGATATTCTAACCTTTGAGGCACCCTGAAGTGCCTTGCTTTTTAAATTGGTAGTAAGAATGGATGCATGTCACAACAGAGACTTTGAAGAGATATTCTAACCTTTGAGGCACACTGAAGTGCTTTACGTGTTAAGAGCGTCCTCTTTTAAATTTACAAAAAGCGCAGATTTCAATACAAAATTGGTACATTTATAAATTAACCTGGTTACACACCCCTGGATGTCAGTCAGACAACTGGTCATATTTCCTCCTGATTGTTTAGCTCAGTGTAGCTAAACTCATGAGGCAGCAATTGCCCACAGCACCTGCCTTACAAAGACTTCTCATTGAGCTGTTTTGGGAAGTCTGTGATTGGACAGCCACATCAAGTCTTGGGGAAGAAGGGGAGTGCATACTTTGCAAGCTGTTTTTAGATATACCTCAATGAAAATAAATTCATTATTAAACGCATGTATGTTTTCATTTGGAGTACAGGGAGTGCAGAATTATTAGGCAAGTTGTATTTTTGAGGATTAATTTTATTATTGAACAACAACCATGTTCTCAATGAACCCAAAAAACTCATTAATATCAAAGCTGAATATTTTTGGAAGTAGTTTTTAGTTTGTTTTTAGTTATAGCTATGTTAGGGGGATATCTGTGTGTGCAGGTGACTATTACTGTGCATAATTATTAGGCAACTTAACAAAAACAAATATATACCCATTTCAATTATTTATTATTACCAGTGAAACCAATATAACATCTCAACATTCACAAATATACATTTCTGACATTCAAAAACAAAACAAAAACAAATCAGTGACCAATATAGCCACCTTTCTTTGCAAGGACACTCAAAAGCCTGCCATCCATGGATTCTGTCAGTGTTTTGATCTGTTCACCATCAACATTGCGTGCAGCAGCAACCACAGCCTCCCAGACACTGTTCAGAGAGGTGTACTGTTTTCCCTCCTTGTAAATCTCACATTTGATGATGGACCACAGGTTCTCAATGGGGTTCAGATCAGGTGAACAAGGAGGCCATGTCATTAGATTTTCTTCTTTTATACCCTTTCTTGCCAGCCACGCTGTGGAGTACTTGGACGCGTGTGATGGAGCATTGTCCTGCATGAAAATCATGTTTTTCTTGAAGGATGCAGACTTCTTCCTGTACCACTGCTTGAAGAAGGTGTCTTCCAGGAACTGGCAGTAGGACTGGGAGTTGAGCTTGACTCCATCCTCAACCCGAAAAGGCCCCACAAGCTCATCTTTGATGATACCAGCCCAAACCAGTACTCCACCTCCACCTTGCTGGCGTCTGAGTCGGACTGGAGCTCTCTGCCCTTTACCAATCCAGCCACGGGCCCATCCATCTGGCCCATCAAGACTCACTCTCATTTCATCAGTCCATAAAACCTTAGAAAAATCAGTCTTGAGATATTTCTTGGCCCAGTCTTGACGTTTCAGCTTGTGTGTCTTGTTCAGTGGTGGTCGTCTTTCAGCCTTTCTTACCTTGGCCATGTCTCTGAGTATTGCACACCTTGTGCTTTTGGGCACTCCAGTGATGTTGCAGCTCTGAAATATGGCCAAACTGGTGGCAAGTGGCATCGTGGCAGCTGCACGCTTGACTTTTCTCAGTTCATGGGCAGTTATTTTGCGCCTTGGTTTTTCCACACGCTTCTTGCGACCCTGTTGACTATTTTGAATGAAACGCTTGATTGTTCGATGATCACGCTTCAGAAGCTTTGCAATTTTAAGAGTGCTGCATCCCTCTGCAAGATATCTCACTATTTTTGACTTTTCTGAGCCTGTCAAGTCCTTCTTTTGACCCATTTTGCCAAAGGAAAGGAAGTTGCCTAATAATTATGCACACCTGATATAGGGTGTTGATGTCATTAGACCACACCCCTTCTCATTACAGAGATGCACATCACCTAATATGCTTAATTGGTAGTAGGCTTTCGAGCCTATACAGCTTGGAGTAAGACAACATGCATAAAGAGGATGATGTGGTCAAAATACTCATTTGCCTAATAATTCTGCACTCCCTGTATATCTATTTAACAGATGTATTTATTTATTTATGTGTTCTATTTTGCCACGCATGCACAATATCCTCCCAATGCTATCTAATGGGTAAGCATTGGATTGGCTAAGATCATCTATTTTAATAATGATAGCCAAAGGGGCGGAATGTGAGTGGTACCAGACCTGTGCGGTGTTGAAATAAAAGTTAGTAATCTCACCCTTCACTTCGCTGTCAGGGGAGCAGGACACCCAAACATCCCTTTCACACTTATAATGACAGCAATACATATTTGTATTCCTGTCACTGTAGTGTTTCTTTAAGTTATTTGATGAGCATGCTGCCAAACAGTACTTCATGTAGAAATAGCAAAAACAAATGTTTGAGGGCCTGGGCCAGTAAGCTCATTGGTGAGGTCATGGTAGGAATCAAAAATATCATTTAAAATGTTAGGTAATAGCTTCTTGATCCAAGCAAAGATTGAACTGCAGCTCTAGGATCAAGAAGGAATTTTTTCCTAGTTTGTTGCAAAATTGGAAGTGCTTCAGACTTGGCTTTTATGGCCTCCTTTTGGAACAACAGCAAAAACAGATGTGAGAAAGGCTGAACTTAATGGACGCATATCTCTTCTCAGCTATGTGATGTAAAAATTAGGGATCATGGCAGACGGTAGGAGCTATGCAATTATCAAGAGGTTTAATAGCACTGATTATAAATATTACAAAGATAATTTCATCCGTGCATGTCCACTTCAAATAGTAAATTGTGAAATCATACCCTAAACAAGGATCTTGTATATATACTCCTAAAGTGCCATCTATAGCCATGTGTGCCCAACTGGGTAGCAGAACAAATATAATATATGATTTCAAGCATATGATGAGTACTATGGACATTGAATATTTGCATTAAAAAAATAAGACTGAAGAGTGTAGCTTAATCACCAAAATTGCTTAAAAAGTTAAATATAGGTTCAGAAGGTGTGAAATTAATTATCCCTACTTAAAATGTAATTAATAAAACTGGATATGTCTGAGAAAGTATAAAGTTACAATCTGCAGACAAGAATAACAGAAAGTAACTGAAAGTAACAGTGAATCAATCTTCCTGAAATTGTTATTCGGTTGCATGGGTGTTTCCAGAAATCTGTTCTCTTCTTCTGCCAAGATCATATTTGTCAAGCGTGGAGTGAAATAAATCAAAAGGAATTCCAAACATTTGGTCCTGATTATTAGAAAGCATCGTTTGCAAGATTCCAGTTTAATAATTCCATCAAGAGAAGACCTTTATTAAAAAGAATGGTCGTGATTCATGAATACAAAATAATAATAATAAAAAAAACTATATATATCATAGCCCTTGGCATTTATAATCCGTTGAAATGAGAAATGTCAGGAAAGGCAAAAAAGAACCCAGCATACTTATACTCAGGACCTAAAACGCATTATTCCAGGAAGCTTATTCATTAAACAGTGAATCGTGATGAATTGAAAAACAACCTGTAAAATTCAGGTAAAATGAGACAGACCTTTTTGTATGAACTAGAGGGATTTTTCCAAATAAGCAATTTTAGCCTGAATTTTCTAATTAGGCTTTCATTTATGAACAAATCCATATGGTTAGTCAAAGTTCTATAGAAAAGCTGCTAAAATGTATTTTAACTTAAATCTCAATTTTAAGTTTCAATTTTTGATATTATTGAATATCTACAATAATTTCCTACAGCTACATATGTGTGTGAAAATGTGTTAAGCCATTCTAGCTATATATGTGTGTGAAAATGTGTTAAGCCATTCTAGCTACATATGTGTGTTAAAATGTGTTGAGCCATTCTAGCTACATATGTGTGTTAAAATGTGTTAAGCCATTCTAGCTACATACGTGTGTTAAAATGTGTTAAGCCGTTCTAGCTATATATGTGTGTGAAAATGTGTATCCTACGCTCTGTAATGTATTTGAATGTATATGTAGAACATGAAGCGGATGGTAAAAAATGTCAGCACTGTTTCATAATTGCCAGAAATAACATTTAATGTATCTATAGAACATTTTAAGCTGTGTTTATGTGCTGTGTAAGATTTAACTGGCATGACTAGAAATAAATAATACAAAGACAAAATCTTATCACATATGTGCATAATATACTTACCGTGTGTCCTTGAAAGGTTTTGACTGGGCGGTCACAGCCAAGTCTGCACACATGAATACACATGTCTGTACTACACGAGGCAAATGTGGTGTTGTTTTGCCAATCTACATCCAGAGCAGGTGCTGAAGAGATAGTCAAACACAGAAAGTATGTGACTATTTTTACTTACATTTAGTGACAGACAAAGCTAAGACGAACATGTGTGTCAAACAGTATCCTCATTCATGAAACATATATCATAAGGCAATAGGAAAATCCCAACCCACACTAGCCTGTACATATATTGCATTTCTACAGTTTCCTGAGGACATACATTTACTATATTACATTTGATATGTTTGTATACAGTTTGTTATTCAAAGGACAAATCTGTTTGCCATTGTGGAGTCAAGATCGACTTTGTTTTCCCTTTTTGTGGCATAATTGTCCGTTGTCTTAAATTGGGATTTTTGCCTTTTTTAGGATCAACAGCATACACAGATGTGTTTTAAAAGGTTAAACTCAATGGACTGGAGCCTTTTTCTTTTTACCCAGATTACCATGTAATAAATACTATGCAAAGTACTCAAATAAGTAGACATCAATTTTGGGTTTTTTCAGAAGTCTAATCCAACAGTTCTCTTGGCACCTTTTCGGTTATTAAAGAGATTTTTATGCCTGTGCCTTAACACTGTGTGTTTTGGCTGTGGCAAGGCAATCTCTCATACAATGTAATTAAAACATAAAAAAAATAAAACACATATCCCCTCTGATCTCCAAAAATCCTTACCTATAGCTAATGAGTTATGCCAACAGTTCTTATTAATATTATTATCATTTATACAGTGCAAACAATTAAAGCATTAAAATTACAGTTTTCTTCAAGCAATGCAGGCTTTCTTTCACATAGAAACATAGTCTGCCCAATTTGCTAAATACTTTCATTAGTCCCTGGCCTTATCTTATAGTTAGGATAGCCTTATGCCTATCCCATGCATGCTTAAACTCCTTTACTGTGTTAACCTCTACCATTTCAGCTGGAAGGCTGTTCCATGCACCCACTACCCTCTCAGTAAAGTAATTCTTCCTGATATTATTTTTAAACCTTTGCCCCTCTAATTTAAGACTATGCCCTCTTGTTGTGGTAGTTTTACTTCTTTTAAATATAATCTCCTCCTTTACTATGTTGATTCCATTTATGTATTTAAATGTTTCTATCATATCCCGCCTGTATCGTCTTTCCTCCAAGCTATATATGTTAAGATCCTTTAACCTTTCTGTTGTGGAATTAAAATATGAATATATATACACATATAATCTTGTAGTTAGTAAAATGTCTATTTACCCATTGCACTGAAAACAGTAGATAAGCTATTCACGCATGTTTAGACAAAATGGCTGCTAGAAGTTTCTAACCCCTCCCTCCCTATAACCTCGACTAACTACCTCGTGTAACAAGATGGCGCTGAGATCTGGGGGAGACCCTCATGGTCTCAGTGACATCACCTCTAGTAGGCAGAGCACTAAGATAACTACTTAACACCTAACCAATTGATACCGTATTATTCCATGTTATCTCTGACAATGCTTATGATGTAATTTTGCTTTAAAAGGGACTTGCCGTCCCCTCTGAATAAACTTTCCTCAAGTTATTCAACTACCTGAAACTTGCGTCTGGTGTGAATTACTTCAGGGAGCGTGCACGCATTGTTTCATTAATTTGGTCAGGGGCATATACACAAAGAATAATCAATCGATTGAGTTGATTTCCACTTCACTTTCCTTGTAAGTTTTATATATACATGAGATCGAGGTAGAACACTTTTGCAGTAAATGCTGCCACCCACTGAGATAAATATAATGTCACTACATCATTTTTATTTTTCAACTGTACCCGGCTATAAAAATCTCAAAGCACTATATTACAAAACATTTTTTTTCATTGTTAAAATACAGTGTGTCATCTTCTTCATGGGAGAGATTCAGGGCTCCCCTTCGTGTCTGAAGAGTATTGGTGCATGCACAACTGGGATGAATGCGCCAATCTTATGTCGCGATCATCCAATAGAATACTTCTCATACATAAGCATTGACTAATGCTAAACCAATAGAATCTCTACAAATGTGCTTAATAGTGAAGTGGGGTAAATCAAAAAGCGTATTGAGTGTCAGCTTGGCTGCCATGGGTGTGCTCCCAAATTGCTTTTAATAAAGTCATTAAAGTGCATATTTCTCTTCAAATTTGCACTATTTTAAATTTTGACAACGAAGCATGCATCGTAAAGCACTTTTAGAGTTTTTCATATTCCTTTAATTACATTTTGTTCCTATGCAAACTGAAGGGTGCCGTTGTTTTATATAAATGCCTTCTTTAACCATATAAATCAGGGGTGGACCACAAATATGAGTACTTAGGGGACACAGCTTAAAGGGACAGTGATACTTTAACTTACTTCTGGCTTGTAATAATCACATTTAGAAATGTTGAAATATATACATAAATATATAAAGTATAAATGATGGATTAATTGTTAATGTACTTTCATCAAAGAACAAAGGCTACAATTTAACAAACAATTAAAGAAGAAATGCACTTCTTTAAATACCTGAATGGAATGGAAACTGCTGCTTTGCTTCACCTGTGTGTGCATCCCATATTATCGTCGTCTAAAGAAGAGACAAGGGGACAAAAGAAAAAAAGAGAGATAAAATAGGAGTTATCTGCCATGTACTAAATCTACTTTCACCCCTCAAAAAAAATGGCAAATAGCTTATAGAGATTTATTATAAACCGTACAAGGTGGCGAAATGTAAACATGTACATTATACAATTATACTTTTTTATTTTATAGGTGGATCAATTGCTACAAAGGGAATATTTTGAGTAGCGTTGGGCTTGCTCAGGAGAATGAAAACTGCCATGCACAAGATTTCTCCTACATTGTACAATGGACATTTAATATCAAGAACCTTACGTAGCTTGAGGAAAAGCTAATAAGAGTTTGGTGGTTCACTCGATACATCCTCTGCAACCTCAGCGACTTTAAAAAGCCATTTATTTTGAAAGAATACCATTCAGTGGCCATATAAAAACATACAAAACTAAATCTATGGACAAAAAAAATTAAACGGGGGCGGGGCCTGGGCATCATGGTGGCTGGCTGCAGATCGTGAAAGCTCCCACAAAGACTCCATAAATAAGCCTGTATCATAGGTAGCCAGTCTTCAAAAATCTCAGCACTCAGCTGCACCTTACCCACGGCATACCCAAGAGCGGCTCTAACCACCAGAGCGACCCTTCTAAAGCTATTCTCAGCGGACATTCCGCTGCAGCCCAGCATAGCAGGCAGATGGGTGAGGCTGCCGATCGCCCGCACCCTGTGGCGCAGCACCAGGTGGGACCTGCCACGAACCCTGATCTCTCCCCTCCCCGGACTGGCGGGGGTTATCCTGGTCCCCACTGGGGCTCACAGACCCCCGAGCAGCACACCGCACACATACTCGAGGCCCACAAGGCAAAATCAAAATGGACGCCGGCCATGACACGCTGCACTCTCAACTGAGCCACAGGGATAAAGAGTGGCTGGACTCTTTCAATAACAGATTTGAGGCTGTAGTGATGAAGGGTGTCGGAATATGACGTCATTCCGGCACCTGGCATCACAAAACTGGATTTAGTGACTTGGATTTAGTGTAGGGGACGACGACTGGGGTTTAGTAGAGGGGGATACTGTTTTTTTTTCTACTGTACTTTTCAAAACAAACCTACGTTTCTATGAAAATTTAAGTCTGTTTTTTTTGCGGCCCACAAAAACGTAAACCTTGTTTATTTGCCCGTGCTACCTTTTGAGTTTGACATGCTTGCTCTAGGATGTGTATACTGTGCCTGCTATTACTTATGTCATTTATTTACCTCGGTCTATATAGCCTCTCCTGTGGTGAAACTACGTTATATTGTTGACATAGACGAACATGCTTAGCCTGGTACATCGTTTGTAATATCCAGCAATTTAAAAAAGAGATGTCTTTCTTGCTCAGAGTATTGCGTACCTAATCCTGTATGTCGACGTTGCCAAGCTGGCTTGCTCTGCAGTATTGTTTTTTCGCTTCTGTATAATGCTTTCATCTCAATAAAAGGAAGATTGATAAAAAAAAAATATATATATATATATATATATATATTTTGTGACGTAGAAAAACTGACTAATGTATAAATGTAATAAATCCTGCTTAAAGGGACACTATAGTCACCTGAACAACTTTAGCTTAATGAAGCAGTTTTGGTGTATAGAACATGCCCCTGCAGCCTCACTGCTCAATCCTCTGCCATTTAAGAGTTCAGTCCCTTTGTTTATGAACCCTAGTCACACCCAGGGCCGGCCTTAGGGGTGTGCGAGCTGTGCGGCCGCACAGGGCGCCATGGCAGCAGGGGGCGCCCTATGGCTGACAGCTTGCACACCCCCTGCCCTCTACCAGGGCTTAGCAGCGAAAGAGACTGTAGGAGGCGGAGCCAAGCAGCCGATGGGGGCGGAGCCAAGTGGTCGGCGGGGGCGGAGCTAACCGAGGCCTGAATCTGCTGCCTGGTAAGTGAGACCATAGTGCCCCTGCTCCCCCTATAGTACCCCTGTTCCCCATCTATCTCTATAGTGCCCCCCCTCTACCCCTATAGTAACCCTGTTCCCCATCTATCCCTATAGTGCCCCCTCTTCCCCTATAGTGCCCCTCTACCCCTATAGTACCCCTGTTCCCCATCTATCCCTATAGTGCCCCCCTCTACCCCTATAGTAACCCTGTTCCCCATCTATCCCTATAGTGCCCCCCTCTTCCCCTATAGTACCCCTGTTCCCCATCTATCCCTATAGTGCCCCCCTCTTCCCCTATAGTACCCCTGTTCCCCATCTATCCCTATAGTGCCCCCTCTTCCCCTATAGTAACCCTGTTCCCCATCTATCCCTCCCCTGTTCCCCATCTATCCCTATAGTGCCCCCCTCTTCCCCTATAGTACCCCTGTTCCCCATCTATCCCTATAGTGCCCCCCTCTTCCCCTATAGTGCCCCCCCCACCCCTATAGTAACCCTGTTCCCCATCTATCCCTATAGAGCCCCCCTCTTCCCCTATAGTGCCCCCTCTTCCCTATCGTAACCCTGTTCCCCATCTATCCCTATAGTGCCCCCCTCTTCCCCTATAGTAATCCTGTTCCCCATCTATCTCTATAGTGCCCCCCTCTTCCCCTATAGTAACCCTGTTCCCCATCTATCCCTATAGTGCCCCCCTCTTCCCCTATAGTGCACCCTCTACCCCTATAGTACCCCTGTTCCCCATCTATCCCTATAGTGCCCCCTCTTCCCCTATCGTAACCCTGTTCCCCATCTATCCCTATAGTGCCCCCCTCTACCCCTATAGTGCCCCCTCTACTCCTATAGATGGGGAACATGGGTACTATCTCTATAGTTCCCCCTATCTACCTCTATAGTGCCCCTGCTCCTCGATCTACCACTATAGCACCCCTGCTCCCCATCTACCCCTATAGTGCTTCCCCATTTACCCCTATAGTGTACCTGATCCCTCCATCTACCCCTATAGTTATCCATCCCTATTGTGCCCATGCTCCCCCTATATTGCCATTGTTCCCTGTCTACCCTAGTGACACTGCTCCCCTTATCTACTGCTATAGTGCATTGCTCCCACATCTACCCCAGTGCCCCTGCTCCCCCTATCTACTGCTATAGTGAACAAAAATCACACACGGTCAATACACACTCATATCAGACACAGTCAATACACCCATTACAAATATGGCACACAGAGAACACATCACACAATCACGTCTGACACACACATGATAAATGTAGCTGTCTTCCGAGTTCCGGCCAATCAGAACGTTGCCGCGGATTACCACAGGAAAGCTCTGATCACCAGAGATCAGCATGCCCTCCCTCCATGCAAGGTAATGACAGGGAAGAGGTGATAAATATTTGTTAATTGTTAAATTTTCATTTAATAAATCCCCTATACACATGGATGGCGCGGGGGGGGAGGGGGGGGGCGCTGTTAAGATTTTTCGCACAGGGCGCCTGAAGGCCTAAGGCCGGCCCTGGTCACACCTCCCTGCATGTGACTTGCACAGCCTTCCATAAACACTTCCTGTAAAGAGAGCCCTATTTAGGCTTTCTTTATTGCAAGTTCTGTTTAATTAAGATTTTCTTATCCCCTGCTATGTTAATAGCTTGCTAGACCCTGCAAGAGCCTCCTGTATGTGATTAAAAGTTCAATTTAGAGATTGAGATACAATTATTTAAGGTAAATTACATCTGTTTGAAAGTGAAACCAATTTTTTTTTCATGCAGGCGCTGTCAATCATAGCCAGGGGAGGTGTGGCTAGGGCTGCATTAACAGAAACAAAGTGATTTAACTTCTAAATGACAGTGAATTGAGTAGTGAAATTGCAGGGGAATGATCTATACACTAAAACTGCTTTATTTAGCTAAAGTAATTTAGGTGACTATAGTGTTCCTTTAATATTATTTACTGTAAATGTATGCTAAAAGATCAGTAAAGTCATCCCAACCACTTCATCACAATAAAGTGGTATGGGTGCAGTGGTCCTGTAGTTTTAACTCTGCAAGGTAAAACAGCAATGTTTACATTACATAGTAAAATGCACCTCTAGTGGCTATCTTCCTGATCCTTCCTCCTCCAGGACTGAGTCAAACTAAGTCCTGTGTCTTGCTACTCAAAGCAGCATTTGATTGGAGGATTACGGTATTTGGTTGTGCATGCGTATCTCCATTCCAATGGCATACGGACGTCTTTAGAGGCGAAACAGGCAGCTGAAGAGCTGAAGCGGACTAGTCTGGGCCCTGGAAATAAGGTGAGTATTCTTTATTTGCTTAATTTATTTTCAGCAAAGGGTGGAGGTGGTCTCAATAACCGGAGTATTCCCCCTTCCCCCCAAAAAAAAATGATTCCCAAGGACTAAAAGATTAAGACATTTTATATTTTGTGCAATTTGTTTAGATCAACACTGTAATCAAATGCAACGAGACCTGAAACAGTTTTAATCTCTTGCAGAAATCTCAAAATGCATCAAAATATTTTTCTGTTTCCAGTCCACATAACCTACCCAAAAAAACCCTAGCCATTTGAAGTAGAAAGACAGCCAAAAACAGACCTGCCAACGTGTAGCATCATGGACAATATGCCCACCCACAATGCAATATCATCCTGGCAGATATTTGTGCCATGCATGTGCATTCAGCCAGAGCATGTGCATTCAGCCAGAGATGTCAGAAGAGGGAGGAGAGTCCCAGCACCGAGGGAGCCCGGAGCTGGAAAAAAGGTAAGGGATTAACCCATTCCTCCCCCTTTAGTGCCACGGGAGTTGGACCCTGAGGCTGCCATATACCCAGTGCTGTTGAAATGATGAAATATTCACTCCAAGTGCGCAGTGAGCGCAGATAAGCAGGTATTTGCAGTGCACGCTTTTATTGGTCCTCCCGACACAGGGCAACAGAGGTGATTAGTTAAGTGACTGAGAGAATTGGGAAAAAAAATACTCTATATGACACCACAGTGTGACTTGACAGGTCTGTCAGAATGTGGACTGTATGTAGGTGGTCCAAGACAAAATTAGCATGAGAGCACAGGAGCTTACAGCCTATAAATTATATTACCCTTTACGAACAAGGAAAACTCCACCTCCAAGATCTTTCCTGGTAGGTCACAATCATAGTGTAAAGAGAGAAGATCTTTTAACAGACGTACCCCAGACACAGCTGGTGCAAATGAAACAGAAAAATAGTGCACACAGGATGAACGATTATTTTTTTGTACACAGCTGTCCTTGTGTTTTTCAATACCCGTGTACATTCTGTTTTTTGTTTTGAATAAATATACGTGGCTTCTGCTGTAAGAACAATCTTTGAGATATTTTCCAAGGCGCCTGCTTACTATAACCCTGCTATATTAACAATTAAATATGTTGAGCATTCTAGGAGACAGGTTTTATTCTAGCATCTATAACAACAGGGACTATAAAAAACCAAATAAATGAAAATCACGATAACATTCATCAAATAAAACAATTCCAATTTACCCTGAATATATAGTTTCAGGCTGGTTTTCAATTTGTTTTGTTCAGTACTTGACTGTGTAACGTTTAAAAATAAGAACATAAGTTACAGTGTACAGAACATTGTATTGCAGAATCCCTGCTGTATTCTGACCTCAAAACATAGAAAGCGAGCTAATTTAAAATGAAATGTTGTTTAGCTTTTCTCTTCCTATAAACATGTACCTTATCAACACCAGCGCTCAGTATGTAGTTCCCTTTTTTGTTCCACTTCAATGCAAAGATGGGACCTTTATGTTGACCCAGAGTGCTTGCAAGGTTACCTGTGTGTGGGGAATAAGACAAACATTACACCAGGGTTGATATTCGTATGTGTGCCTATACATAAAGGAGAATAACAGAAAGTGATTCTTCTACCTCATCGTTACATTTAATAGATGTTTGCTGTACAGGACCATTTTTCCTCGATCTGATTTTAATAAATTATCACTTTTCAATATCAATGTGAAGCACTTGGCAAATCAAGGCATATGGCAGAAAGATCTGGGCAATTTACAAAATAAGTTTTATTTTTTTATGATTTTTTAAACTGTTAAAAGCAAAAAAAAAAAAAGAACTAAACAAAAAAACAAACAAAAAAAACCCCCAGAACAATAGAATTGTAATAACACGAGTTGTATGGAAAAAAATGACCCTGACATGGAACTACACATTTTAAAATATTCTATTTATGCAATATCAACTAAACAGCCGCAGGGAAGAATAAAGTTCTTATGAGAATACTGTAACTATGTGAAAGAGAAACAACTAGGCAAATAATGTGATAAAGAATATAGAACAGCACATTAATTGATGGTAAAGAAAACAATGTTAAGAAAGTGGCTGAAAGGAACACTTTCTCATAACAACTTAAAGGAACACTATAGTCACTAGAACCACTACAGCCAGTGGCGGAACTAAAGTAGAGAGGGCCCTGGTGCAAGAATTGCTTTTGGGGCCCTACTATTGCAAGGATGGAAAAAAAGGTAGATCCCTGTCTGCTGTACAATTCCCACAAGGCTTTGCCAGTTGTGGATCTACCATTTTCCCATCGTTGCAGGCTTGTATTTAACACTGAGCAGTGTTTGTATGTGTGTTGTATGTTAAGTGTAAGCATGTTTTTATATGGAGTATGCGTGTGTGAATTTGTGTGTAGTGGGTGCATTTGTGTGTGGTGCTGTGTGTATGCATTATGTACTGTTGCCATATAAAAGCAGTGGGATATGTGCTGGGATGTCTATTTTTTACAATTATGCAGTAGTAAGGCATCAGGCATGAATTGCACAAGGCATTTGCTAGCCCAACAGTGCAAGTTTCTGCATGGACTGGTGGCCTGTGCTCTTAAAGGACCACTATAGGCACCCAGACCACTTCAGCTTAATGAAGTGGTCTGGGTGCCAGGTCCAGCTAGGTTTAACTCTTTTTGCTGTAAACATAGCAGTTTCAGAGAAACTATGTTTACCTATGGGTTAATCCAGCCTCTAGTGGCTGTCTCATTGACAGCCGCTAGAGGCGCTTCCACGCTTCTCACTGTGATTTTCACAGTGAGAAGACGCCAGCGTCCATAGGAAAGCAATGCTTTCCTATGGATTGGCTGAATGCGCGCGCGTCTCTTGCCACGCATGCGGATTCAGCCAGTGATGTCAGAAGAGGAAGGAGAGTCCCAGCACAGAGGGAGCCCGGCGCTGGAAAAAAGGTAAGGGATTAATCCCTTCCTCTCCCTTCAGTGCCACGGGTGTGGGACCCTGAGGGTGGGGGCACCCTCAGGACACTATATAACAAACTTGTTTTCCTGGCACTATAGTGGTCCTTTAACAGTTTCCAGGCCTATCTCTAGTATCTGAACCTGCAGATGCTGTACTTAATTTACTAGCACATTTTCAAGAGTTAAAATCACAATTTGCAATATTTAAAACTATTTCAGAGTTTACTGCATAGTTGAAACACACACTAAAAAAACTGATCACTTTATAAGAAACACTTACATAAGTCCAACTTACCATCCTGCGTCCAAATCCGTGCAAAGCCATCATATGATCCTGTAGCTAAGAGGGTGCCATCAGCCTGTCAAAAGGTAGAGACGAACAAAAGCAAAAATGTTGGAAATTGCTTAAAACATACTTCTGAAACAGCTCAGTGATTTGCCAGGTTATCAACACATGTCAAACGGTGCTTTGAAATTCCAGAAAGGACCGTTTTGAATTGCTGTAGGTGCAATTTAACATGTATTTAAAACTAGGGGTGAATGAATCGTAAAATATAATGTTAACAGGCAGCGCTTAACACTTTCATTTCCATGGTCCACTGCAATGGGCAGAGAATTAAAGGTTAAAGGCAATGCGTACATGGAAATATCTGCCTAGAGAATCTGTTTCATCAAGTTCCACAATGGTTTTAACTACAGTAAACAAGTAGCTGTTTTCTTGGCAAAGCAGCAGCTTTATGAGCATACAAGTTATTACGGGCATTAACAGCTTCTTGATTTCCAAGTCAATTAAATGTTCTATTCTTTTTGTGGCAGAATGTTAAAATATTTCAGATTTTTTTTTTTCTCAGTTGAGTCAACAGCAAAGGGATGCGTGGAAGGTTTTTCACAGTTACCAATAAAGTGAATTTAAACAAAATCATCCTACTTTAAGGGTTAATAAAACAAGGCTACCCAAACCACCCCTTACACTCTGTGGCACCAAATTACATTGTGTATAATGGAAAAATTACTTTAATAGATAAGCGTAGCTTAATATAGACCTATTATTATGGTTAATGGAGAATTTTGCTCTGGATGGTGGACAGGTCTACGTTCTAATTGGGGAAAACAGATGTGCAGTTAAAAATGCTCTGCACATATTTCTTTATGATGTTATCAACCCATTGAATCCAAAATTAGAATACTATATATCAGAATTTCAAACATAGGATTCACTCTCCAATACTTGTGTCCTTGCCACCACCCACCAAAGGCTACCATCTCTTCCATAGAGCTCCTTAATCCATCAAAATCCTATAAAGCATGTATGTACAATGATACAAACTAAACTACAGATGTCTTATGTTGTTACATTGTGGTATAGGGGCACGATGATCACAATGAGAAAGTGGAATCGACAAAGATGCATGAAAAGGAATCGTAGCAAAAGAAGATGACAACATAGCATGTATTTAAATAAAGTGTCTAGAGTATGGTTGTGCTTTGTTAGAGTAGAGCTGATTTCCATTTTTGGGATTGCAAAGAGAAATCGGAGAAACGGCAGCTAACGGCAAGTTAATTAAGAAGTGCTGAGAGTCATGGAAAATCAAAATATTTTTGATCTGGTTGTGGCTCCATTTTCAACACAAGTGGTCTTATAAACACTTATCAGAACACTGTCCCTTGCAGTTTTCCTGCGTCCACCGACACAAAGTCCTCTGCATGATCTCTTTGCATCTCCCCTCTATACTTTCTTTGGCCTCTTAGCATCCCTTTCCTTGATTTTTATCTTCAGAGCCAGACTGTCCCGTGTCTCCCCATTGTCACCTGCTTGATCTCCCTAATGCCCCCCTGCATCCTCTTCTTTCTCGATATCTTTATATTTCTCTATTGTAGCCCGTATGAGATACCCAGAAGCCATGCTGTTCCCTGATCTACCCACTGTCCATTTTTAATAACGTGCATCTCCCCACTGCCACTTACTTAATTTCCCCTCCTCTCCCCATTTCAATCATCCCATTTCTTGCTTTCTCTCCTTGTCATCTCCCCGCTACCCCCATCCAAACCTCTAGTGCTGATTATATTTAACTACCATCCTTGTAGATCATGGGTCGTCAACCTGGTCCCTACCGCCCACTAGTGGGCGTTTCAGGATTCCAGGTGGGCGGTAGGGATTTTCTAATTTTGAGAGATTGGGCGGGCAGGTGCGAGCCGGCGGTACCCCTGCGACTGGATACCGCCATCACACCTTGCGGCCGCGGCCACGGCCCGCGCGACCGCATATGGAGGGGTCCATCGGGAGGCCCATGCTGTCAGGGCCACCCGATGGATGTGGAATGTGAGGGGGCCCGGTCAGCGCTGGGCACTTTAACAGCGCGACTGGGCCCCCTGTGATTACATCACAGAGCTGGGAGGAAGTGACTGCACGTCACTCCTCCCAGCTAACACACAGACTGCGTGGGAGGAAGGAGGAGGGAGTCAGAGTAGGAACTCTGACTCTCATCCACCTGAGCCACCACTGGACCCCAGGGAAAGTCACCCTCCTGCACCTAAAAGGTAGGAAGCAGGAGGGTGACTAAAATATTTTGTGTGTGTTTGTTTGTGTATATGTCTTTGTATGTATGTCTTGTGTGTGTGTCTGTATGTATGTGTGTGTGTCTTATGTATGTGTCTTTGTATATATGTGTGTGTCATTGTATGTGTCGTGTGTGTGTGTGTCTGTCTGTATATATGTGTGTATGTATGTGTGTCTTGTCTTTGTATATATGTGTTGTGTGTGTATGTGTCTTTGTATGTATGTGTGTCTTGTGTCTGTCTGTATGTGTGTATGTGTGTTTGTATGTATGTCTTATGTGTGTGTGTCTGTATGCATGTCTGTGTGTGTGTCTGTATGTATGTGTGCCTGTCTGTTTGTATGTATGTGTCTTGTGTGTGTGTGTGTCTGTATGTGTGTCTGTATGTATGTGTGTGCCTGTCTGTCTGTATCTATGTCTTGTGTGTGTGTCTGTATGTATGTATGTGTGCCTGTCTGTTATAGTGGGCTATAGTAAGTAATAGTAAGTGGGATACCTAGCTCAGCCTTCCTACTGGGCATTGCTATAAGGAAGGTTAAAACATTTTTTTTAAAAAGTGAAAAAAAAGGTGGGGAGGGGAATTGAGGAGGGAGAGGAGGGGAGCTGACGCACAGATGAGAAATCATATTATGCGCAAACAGAGAAGTCGTCTGAATATCACCGAAAGAGGAGACCTTTGTTTGTTCCTTACGAAAATCGAACCAGATATCAAATATTTAGTCTTGCAGCATCAACCTCAAGGTTCTCATTAATCACTAGTAAAGGTAATTTCAATTTACTTTATTGTTTTCTCATTAAACTTTATAAAGTTAAAAACATTATAAACATGCATAAAGTAGTATGTACATTTTTTGTTTTTTTTTAAATACCCTCCTTTCTAAAAAATATTCCGCACTTGCGCAATAACTGGTGGACGGTAAGGAAATTTTTTCAACCAAAAAGATGCATTAGTGGGCGGTAGGTAGGAAAAGGTTGACTACCACTGTTGTAGATAGTCATGTTCCATACGCAAGATAGACAAAGTTATATTGTAATGTAATTCAGAAGGTGGAGCAGTGGCTACAATATAGCAAAATGTACAGATTGCAGCCACCTGTCCCACAAGGAGGATCAGGGGTTATATGTAGGCAGAATGCAGGTGAGGCAATGTGGCAATCAAACAAGCTGTGGCATATGTCCTATAGGTTTGCCACTACTGACCTATGTAGTGCCATTAAAACAAAGCCAGTCTATCCCTAATCCATTTAATAGAATAAGAGTTGTGTTATTTTTTTTTTACTTAACTAGAACACTTCGTATAATAGTAAAGTGCACTCCTCAATCTGGAAAACCTTTTATTGTAGACTTTGCATACGTGTTAATTATTCATGTAATTTATGCATTATTCATATACAGTTTATTTGACAATGTAAAAACGCTATGCAAATTTTTTTTAGTCTCTTTCACTTTCTTAATAGACTTCCAAAGAATAAAAAGTAAATCTACTTCATAAAACAATCAATACAGTACAGAGACAGAAGAGTTTCTTATAGCTTTTAAGTTATCTTTAAAGTTGACTAAAGGGCAGTATTTCGTTTTTTTGAAACGGAGTCATCAAAAATAAAACATCATGAGTGGCTACCTCTTAATGTATTATTGACATAAAATAACTTACATTCCAGTCCAAAGAAGTCACATCTTTGTTGCTTGGTACATCTTGTCCTCCTTCTCGTATACAATGCCTTAGAACTAGCTGAGTAGAATTACTACAGTTGTTTTCATTTAGATTCCAAATTCTTGCTGTAGAGTCTCCTGACCTTCAAATGAGAAAAAGCAACAGAACATATTTTTCAATTATAAATACATGATGTATTGGAGGTTTGCAGAGGAACGTTTGACCTATCAGTCATTGCTTGATACCGGACACCAAAGACAAATGAGAAGTAAAATGCGTTTCTTGAACCATAATATGATGTTAAGACATTTAAAAACATCCCAAAATTTCAAATGGAACAAAAGGAACACATTAATTTTAAAGGTGTGATTTGTGGGGTGGCCAGGGGCAGGTTGTTCCGAAAAATTTTGGCAAATAAAATGTAATTTGGAAAAACAACAAAGTGTCTTATTTACACAGAATTCTTTCTAAACACATTTATTGTAGTTTTAGCATTATTGCTGAGGAGTTCTGGTATACACATGCCTACCAAATATATGGTGCTTCTAGAAAAGAGAAACATTGGGATAGAAAAGGCAACAGATGGATTTGAGCCCAAAATAGGAACTTCTAAAAAGGGACACATGGATGGTACGCATTTTTTATATCTTCATAAACAAAGCTAAGATTCGAGCCCTTTGTAAAATAAGTTCTTAAAAGCATACCATATACACTAAAACAAGTTTAGCTTAATGAAGTAGTTTTATAGATAATGCGTCTGCCATGTCACGGCTCTATTCTCTGTCATTTAGGAGTTAAATCACTTTGTTTAGGCAGACCTAGCCACACCTCCCCTGGCTGTGACACACAGCCACCATGAAAAAAAATAATAAAGAATAATAAAAGAACAATATTTGATATCCAGAGATAGCAACATCTAGCTTACCCAGATGCTAAGAGATCACTGACAGGATTCCAGGCACAAATGAAAACTTCTGATTCATGCCCGCGAAGGACTGTTGCTTTGTTAGGTGGAATTTCAACATCACCATCAATTTCCATTGGTTCTGCATGGTTATCTGCAAAACATATCACAAACATGTTACATAGGATCATTAATGCACAAACATCTGCCATATTTGTAGGTCACCTAAAAATGTATTTACATAAAACTTTTTAAAACAAGAATGTAAACAGATTAATTTTATTTTGATATAACCAACCATAGTATATAAGTTTGGATGTAAGTACCACTCAAAGATTAATTAGTATATCAGTTAGAGGGACACTCTGTGGCATAGCTAGAGCTTTTGCCGCCCAGGGCTTTCGCTGAGTTTGCCGCCCCTATCTCGACCCAAATGACACCAATGACACCAATGTTCTAAATGACAACAGCAGTGTATTAATCATTTTCTAAATACGTTTTAATACCAAGCAGCAGTTTTACTAAAGTTACTTGGTTCCACGGTATGAAACTTTGTATGAAATTGTGTATTCACATGCATATTATTCCCATTTTCTCTAACAATACCCTAATAACAAAAACCTGACAATATGTGAAGATATTAACAATGATCAAATATATATTGTTTTTTATTTTTTTACGATGTAGAACAAGGTGTTAGATTCACGTGATGAACAAATGTTTAAGTCTGTATTGATCTTGTCTATAGATTCTTTGTTTGAAAAGACATAGAATGCATATCTTTAAGATACGTACAGATCTAGTGCGTATTATTCTTTTATATAAGCCACGGAATGTGTCCGTCTAGTAGATCAGTTACATGTAATGTAACATATGTTAAATTAAGTGCACCAGCAACTGTCACATCACACAATAAAATTTGGTTCTCCAAGACTTTGATACATTGCATCAAATGCTTTACTGGGCAAGCTTGCTAATAAAAGCAGCATGGAAGTTTTTAAAGAATCAGATCCTTCTAAAACGAACATTAGGCTTATCATAGAGCATTAAAACAAGAGATATACTTTAGAAAAACGTGTAAATTATTAGAATGAGAGAAAAAGGATACAGAAGTAAAGTGATGGAAATATAAATGGGGTAGGGTAATATGAAAAAGATATAAGGTTATGAATAGAAAAAAAAGAAAGCAGATCTATCAGTACCATACAAAACTTTTACACAGTTACATTGTAAGCCTGAATTGGCTTAACCAGAGAATTTCTGGCATATTAATTTAAGCCTCATTACGGTGCATGTGCATGTACAGCAATATTAAAGGACCACTCTAGGCACCCAGACCACTTCAGCTTAATGAAGTGGTCTGGGTGCCAAGTCCCTCTAGGATTAACCCTTTTTTTTTTATAAACATAGCAGTTTCAGAGAAACTGCTATGTTTATAAATGGGTTAATCCAGCCTCCAAATCCTCCAGTGGCTGTCTCATTGACAGCCGCTAGAGGCGCTTGCGTGCTTCTCACTGTGAAAATCACAGTGAGAACACGCAAGCGTCCATAGGATAGCATTGCAAATGCTTTCCTATGAGACTGGCTGAATGTGCGCGCAGCTCCTGCCATGCATGCGCTTTCAGCCGAAGAGGAGGATCGGAGGCGGAGAGGAGGAGGAGAGCTCCCCGCCCGGCGCTAGAATAAAGGTAAGTTTAACCCCTTTCCTCGCCATCCAGCCCGGAGGGAGGGGGTCCCTGAGGGTGGGGGCACCCTCAGGGCACTATAGTGCCAGGAAAACAAGTATGTTTTCCTGGCACTATAGTGGTCCTTTAAAGAAATGACTGACAGCGTAATTTCTTTGCAGGTGCTCTGGACAGTAGCTGCTGCAGAAGTGGGTTTTATGTTTATCAGTGCTGCAAAACCCACCTAACCAAGTCCTTCAATAGTACACCCTGTTCCAAATGATTATGAAAATTCTAGTGTCACAAAGAATTAATATTTTGTTTTTCAGTTTAACTCATGGATGGCATTGTGTCTCAGGGCTCTTTTGATCACCGAAAACAATCTCGGACACCTGTGATAATTATATTGCCAGGTGAGCCCAATGTAAGGAAAAACTACTAAAGGAGGGTCTTCCACATTATTAAGCAGAGCACCATTTTCATGCAATATGGGGAAGAAAAAGGATCTCTCTGCTGCCGAAAAAAGTGAAATAGTTCAATGGGTTGGACGAGTTATGAAAACATTAAATATTTCACGAAAACTTAAGCGTGATCATCGCACTATTAAGAAATTTGTGACTGATTCAGAGCACAGACGGGTTTGTGCAGATAAAGGCACATTGAGGAAGATTTCTGCCAGATCCATGCATCGGATCAAGAGAGCAGCTGCTAAAATACCATTACATAGCAGCAAACAGATATTTGAAGCTGCTGGTGCCTCTGGAGTCCCACGGACATCAAGGTGTAGAGTCCTCCAGAGTCTTGCAACTGTGTATAAACCTTCTATTCGGCCACCACTAACCAATGCTCACAAGTAGAAACGGCTGCATTGGGCAGAAAAATACATGAAGACTAATTTTCAAACAGTCCTGTTCACTGATGAGTGCTGTGCAATCCTGGATGGTCCAGATGGATGGAGTAGTGGATGGTTGGTGGACTTACACCAGGCCTAAGCCATAAATGTCCCAAGATAACCATCACCAGAGCTGGACATAAGGCATCGTAAAAGGTATTGGTGCGAATCCTCTGACTTTGGGTTTTTCAAATTACAATCTAATTTAAGAAAATATGGAGTGGGCAATAAACTGCCAGGCCAAACCCCTCTGACCAACCATGGGTCTGCCCACTGAGAAACAACTAGTTTTAAGAGATATATTGAGGATGTTGGAGTATCCAGAGAGATTTTTCTTTTTACCAACTACTTGGAGAACTTTACCAACGGAATCTCCCATAAGAATTATACATAAGCGGTAAATATATTTAAGGTTTTCTTGTGTTTTCTCCTATTTTATTTTATGAACTGTTTTACAATTTGTTATCCGTATTTCTGTATGTCATTTATTTCTGTATTGTTGTACACAGCACTGTAAATTTTGTCAGATTAAATGTTTACTTAATCAGCTTGTGTCTTTTTTCTCTATGAGCTCACTATCCTGAGAAAGCTCAGGTAAACACGTTACCAAAAGGGTTGATTATATATGTCTGATCAGTAAAGTAAGGTTGTCATACTATAATTCTACTGTGTGTGGGGTAACATAAAATGCCCGGATTTAAAGTCTTGGTGGTGGCAGTAAAGTGTGCACTAAGATGTTGTAGAAGGTACTGCAGGGGTTAATTTAGTGATTGCTGGGACTAGCAACAGGTAACCAGGGGTCTGGTGTCATTAACCCTTTCACTTCCACACTCTCCCCACTGTCTCGGCAGGGCAAAAGGATATTATAACTTTTTTATTTTAATTTTACAACAGGCAGCTATTTTTCACAGCAGAAACCTATTATAAAAATAAAGATATGTAATATAGTGCAAGGCTACTTAGGGAGGCTGATAGAAGGGAATGCTGGAGAACAGAACTTTACCGCGCACCCCTCAGTTAGGCAATATGGTGGGATTACACTGAATACCTGGATGTACAGCATGTACTTGCTTTCAATACCTAAAGAGCATCCAGCAATCCTCTGATCATGGGTAGAGAGGAAGTGATACATCATGACATATCTCCATCTCTCTGCCAGTGTAGGGGTCATCAAGCTTCCCCTGAACTGAAGTACAAGGTTATTCTGGAACCTAGCAACACCCCTCAATTACCCCTCAATTACATTGGAGAACAGAGTAGAATACAATGCATCAAATGAAGGGATGAAAATTGAAAGATAAAAGAAGGTGGAGATAATAGAAAGAAGAGAACACAAATAAGAATAAGGTAGAAGAAAACATGATGATGGAGAGGAAAGATTAGGTAAAACGAAGGAGCAGTGCCATAAGTGAATAGGGTGAGGATGAGAAAGAGAAAATAAAATGAAAGATGAAATAAATATGAAGGTGGATAAATAGGTAAATGGCATAAATAGAAAAGAAATGAAATAACGATAAATATGCAGTAGTAAAGATAAAAGGAAGGACAATATGTCGGTAGCGATAAATCAGAGAAATTGGATCTTTTCAATGACAGTATATGCAATGGGTTATAAATAATAATAATTATAATAAATAAAATGACTTTGAATGCTAAGCACAGTGAAGACATTGATTTCCCATCACTGGAAAAGCTGCACATTTCTACTTACACAGAGTTACTCTCCTTTGTGGAACAATGATACATGCACAAAACAGTCTACAGGCAGTTTACCCTCAAACAGCTGGTGTCCAGCTTAGAGGATGGAGAGATCCAACATCAACAAATGTGAATCACTGATTTGTTTTCTTGTCATTGTCCTATTTATACATAAATCCCCCCTCTAATAATATTGTAAAGCGCTACGGAATCTGTTGGCGCTATATAAATGTCGATAATAATAATAATAATTTACCCATCTTCATTTGGTCTCACTGAGAAATATAGGTCACCCTCTTTTCAAGGGGTAATAGATCTATCTTTCAAAAATCATATATTTCTCAAATACAATATGTCTCCCTAACCGCTCTCCTCCCCTTCCCCTCTCCTAAAGGGCAGCAACACTACATCGAATTTTTTCGACCCATGGCTTATCCTCCATCATTCTTCCCCCCCACATGTATGTGTTCTTTCCTACTTTATACTAAAATTGGATTTTGTTCAACTATGTAGGGCATGTTCTTATGTAAGAGGTCAGGGCCCTCTTCACCTATCGTAAATATGAAAAGAAAAAGAAAAATGGAAATTGCTGGAGATGCTGAAAATATTGCGATTAGTTAAGAACAATGAGAGAAACAAACTGGATAGTGTTAAGATTTCAAGGAGTGAAACATATGGCGTTTGCAAGCTTAGCGTGTAAGACATCAAATCCAATTAAGATGTATAGTTATTCTTAGTGACCTGAGAGTTGATCCAAGACTAGATAATTCTCAGACTCATACTATAATTATCACCTTAGTTTATACAGGTGTGATTCACTGTCCCACTTCTTCTAAAATATGCAGATGTATGCAATTAAATGGCATGGATATATATTTATATATATATATACACACACAGTTTAATTGCATACATCTACATATTTATAGTTGTATAACAACCAGCGATGTGACAGCACTTCATCTATAGGAAACTTTATAGGACTTTCAACACAGATGCAGAAATATGTGCACTTTTGGGTCTTCACACAAAAATATCACAAAAGTTTATTCCATATTCAGTGCAAAGTTGCCACATTGAATATATCAGCTTATATATGAACTGAATATGGAATACACAAGTGTGATATTTTTGCATGAAGACCCATGAGTGGCCATATTGCTGGATCATAATAGGATGGATATAGATATATATGCAAGAAATCATAAAAACCATAATGATATTCTGTTAAAAACTAATACTTGATTGCTCTAAGGTAATCATTCACATTTGAATGAGCAATAATCTACTCTATGGTAAAATTGTGAACAAATATGCACAATGTCAAATTATGAGGGAATTTCTATAACCCTCAAAAGGAAGAAGGATACTAAACTTAAATATCAATACAGTTTAAAGTGGTAAATTATTCCGTTAGCTCTCCACCTGTCAATGCTTATACACACACACACACATATATATACAAAAAATGTATTTCTCTTAACTGTATTATAACTGTTTTATTGTACGCATTATCATGCTTTTTCCTTTGCACGAAGAATTATTTTGTTTATTAGTGTTTTTTCTTTCAAGTGTAATTAGATGTACAGAAGTAAAAAGACAGATATACAAATTTTCAAACTTTACAGGATCTCACACGAACACTGCCAACATAAGTTTTACACAATGCAATAATAGCAAGGTGCTTCAGGCTTGAGGCACTAAAAAAAAGGGAGTCATTGCATATTTTCACACTATGTTTTACTTTTGGAGTTAAACTGTATAACAAATATAGCATATGAGTCACGTAAATGATATCAAGTTATAGAGCTAGGCTGCCCTGTCGAGGTTAAACTCATGATACATCTCTGATTAGGGCCTCTTTTAATGCTTGTAATGCCTTCTTGTCCTCAGGGAGTACCATTAAACTATGTGTAAGGAGAACGAATCAACAATCTGGTCAGTGTCTCCACTATTTTGCCATTGCACTATCATTCGCACATGTTGTTCCACTGGGCGTAAGCAGGTGTGTGTTCCTACCCGTATGTGGTACCAGCCAGCGCCTCATACCCGAGTGTCCCCAAGAGTTGCTCTTATATTTTCCAAAATGTATCTCTTGTACAAATACAGTATAAATCTCCCTTCGAAGGACCCAAACTAACATATTGCTCCATCATATAATCAGTTGTAGAACCGGATCCCACAATTTGTACAAAACAAATTAAATTTATATACATTTACTATGGGTAGATTATACAGCCTACCTAACACCGTGCTACATAAAAGTAATATAAATCATGTTCTTACTTATTGCATGTGCCCCATTTTCTTCACCATTCACAGTGGCTGCTCCATTCTTTGGTGTATTCTGTTGTGACGCAGAAGTTGTTGAGGAGGTTGTGACAGTTGCTACATTTGATGTAGCTCCTGCAGCAGCAGATTGTTGGGCTAACTTCTCTTTGAAGGCTTGTTGTCGCGTTTGTACAACATCTGGCATTACAGCATCAATCAAAGACAACGATTCTATTGGACGACCATCAAAAACTGTGCCATCCTGCAGAAAACAACAAATATTGTATTTAAACATGCTACAAATGTTTAATGAGGCAAGAGTTTAAAAGTCAGTCTGGGGTATGAAGCTGTAGAGAAGATAAGCTCTTCTATTTCAGAAGTTGTGGTCCATTTCGCTACTCTACAATACCACATACCTCGCAAGCCTCCCTATTTAGGAAGGATAGCCCATATGTTTAAACTAAGCTCCTCTGTCGGTCTTTTTTAGGAGCGCCATATTGTTGATGTTTCTGAGCATTTAACAGAACTCCACAGCAACAATACTCAAAGTAAAGTGTTTTTAAACTACAACACGTGATTAGACATCAGTATGTATAAATTATGTAATACTGTTATACGTTGTTTTGCAAGTGTGGGCCAAAATTCCTCCACAACAATGTGAGAGACTAATAAAGTCATACAAAATATGATTATCAAGTTATTGCTGCTAAAGGTGGTTCTATAAGCAACTGAATCATAAGGCGGACTTAGTTTGTCACACATGGCTTCTCCATTTTGCTTTTATTTCTGTTACATAAATCCTGACATAGTGTAATATGTCATGTGTTGTTCTTCATCTGGGGTTATATTTACCTTATTTTAGGACTTGCTAATTACCAGATGATTGTTATTATACCAAATGGAAGAAAAGAAATATCAGGTGTACCTGGATATTGCTTTTCTTCCATCTGATGTCTCCAGGAATTGGCTTTCCATTTCTGGAGCATCCTGCAGGAAGTATTCCCCCTTTTTTAGTGTGTGCATTACACTCTTGGTTTAACCATAGAACCATAGCATTTCAAAGCGAAACGCTGCACTTACAGTTGTCATGGTGCTTGGAGTAACCCTTTAAGAGTTATAATTGTTTAATTGGTCATATTAGAGACCAGATTGCAATGATGGGAGAAAAAGGATGCAATTTGTCTTAATGAGTAAATCCAGTTACAGAAAATAGAACTAGCCATAAATCAAATCAAAAGATAGCTCACTAGAGCAGGTGTAGGCAACCTTTTAGGAGCACTGTGCCGAAATAAGATTGTGATGTCCCGTAGCGTGCCGGTCCTATTTTTTTAAAATTGAGGTGTGTATGTTGCTGTATTCTGCTTGTGTTATTTATAGTGCGGTTGCTTTGTATTGTTGTATTTGTGCGTATATGCGCTATTATATTGTATCTGTTCATGAGTAGTTTGTGGTATCGTGTATGATACCTACGAATGTGGGCTGTGTATGGGGGCTGCTTGTGGAATTGTGTGTGTGGATGGAAATGTTACATTGTGTGTTTGGTAATGTGTGTATGTGTGGGGCTGTTTGGGGTATTGTATGCAAGAGCCTGCATGTGGAGTTGTGTGCATGTATGTGGATTGTTAGTGGTGTTGCGTTTGTGCGGATTATGTGTACGTTTATGTGTGGGCTGTTCATATTGTTTGTATGAGGGAAGGGTTATTCTGCAGCTCTGTGTATATCTAGCAGTGTGGGTGGCTTCCCGGTGTTCCAGCGTGGACCATGCTGGCCAGGTACAGGTCAAGGATAGGAGCTGCAACAGCAGCTGCGGGCTGTTCTACTACAGTGTGGACTCCCATTCATAAGTGCTGGAATGAAGTGATCAGAGAACACTTCCTCTATGTGCTGAAATGCATAAATTAAGGAATGTCCTTCATCAACTTTTCGTATTCGCAGATTTCTGAAATTTCACTGGGACTCCTGATTTGGCTCTAGCAGCCTTGAGTGGTGTGCAAAGACACTTTTTTGAGTGAAATCCCTGAGCACAACCCAGCATTTATTCTATGTTGAGGTGAAATGTTAGCTGATTTTTAAATGGTTCCAAGACCTACCATTGATTTCCAACTTCGGGCTTTGCAGACCATCAAACAGTGGATATGTATATTCTTTCCTTATTACTCATTTGGGGCCATTTGAGATACAATATAATAGACTCTGGAGTTATCGTTATATGAATGTTGGTTACATTTTCAAAAACAAGATAACTTTAGCTCAAAAGTTTCTAATCAGATCACAACCCCACCAGACGTGCAGGTAGGTGCTGGTATATTTATTACATCTCCAACAAATTGATGTCTATCTGGAGTTCTTTTCACCAGGCCTGACAGATGGGTAGACTCTGCATTTTATCCATAATTCTGAGAATTTCTATGCCCTTTGAGATAACTTTGACTACCTAAAATTAAACAAAGGCAAAGGTTTTTATAACTATCTCTGATATGTTTTTTAATTACCGTATGTACTCGAATTTAATCTAATGCGCACTTCATTTGTTTTAACCTGGAAGCTGTGATTTTTTTTTTATCACTGGTGAGTGTAATGCACATTTGTAAAGAGGATAATGTACACAGAAGAAAGTCTTGCATCCCTGTCGCAACAATTAAAATTTCACTCCGCTGTAGAAATACCCGTATTTTACAAAAAAAAGATCATGTACAGTATTATAATACCATAGCCTGCAGATGTTCAGTAATAATTTTAAAGTGTGACCACTACAGCGATTACTACAAATTCTTAGATGGAATCCTGCAGAGATCAGCTAGCAATGTTTTCAGACTTGGCCTTATTTTACTAAATATTTACTGGAGACTTATGGGTACCCATAAGCATGGCCTTCAGTAAATGTATTTCACAGTGTGCAATATTCAGCTTCCTATTGTTTACCTGCTTTGATGTGGCATTGGGTACACATTCTGTCGTGCTGTCTTTTCAGAAATGTACAGAGTAATTAAAGTTTTATCCTCACTCTGTTGGCATAGATTATGGAATTGAAAAATTATGAAATGCAGCAGATTTTGACCCATTAGATTCTAGTACAAACGGGGAAATACAAATTTCACTTCTGGGAATTTCAAATGTCCCTGATCGTACTCAAATCTAATGCACCATCAAATCTAATGTGCATTGACATTTTTGGAAACTTTAATTTGCCAATAAAGGTGCGCATTAGATTTGAGTAAAATGGTTCAGGAAAAAAAATTTGACATGAAGATAATTAAACAGTTCCCTATTTAATAACATAACTATCTAGGCAAAAGGTTTTATTCCATTTTGATAAATTGATGGACCTAAATCCACTGTAGTATATACCTGTATACTTTAACCATTGTTTATGATTTTTCCAAGATTATTCATTTCAAGTGTGTACATAGCTACATGCATTTAGCTAAATTGAAAATTAAAACTGATGATTTAAAGCCAAATAGTATATGCTTCCAATTCAGCTACTTTGAATTCCAAATAATTCTCAGTTTAGTGAATAACATTGATAAGTAAAATTAGTTTACAGGAAACATACTATATCTCACTCAAAATTCATTGGTGTTCCCTGTGGACATAGATAAATTAGCCAATTCATTTCAATACACATATGCTACCCATCTTTTAGATACGCAACATTACTTTCAGGCTTATGCCCATTTAAACACTTTCATGAATAAAATGAATATAAAAGCAGGTGGGAACTCATGTTATGGGTAGCTGGTTGACCAAAGTTAGGACTGGAGGATAACAATGGCAGAAGAAGGGGACAGAGGCAGTGGTGTATCCTGGTTTTGTGCTGCCCTAGGCAGGACAAAACTCAGGCACCCACCTTCCCCCCCGCACCACCCCCACCCAACCCTTTCCCCCCGCCCCACCTTCTAAATACACACACACAGTCAGACACAAACACACAGTCAAACACACACACAGACACAAACACACACACACACACAGTCAGACACACACAGTCACACACACACAGTCACACACACAGTCAGACACACACACACACAGTCAGACACACACAGTCAGTCAGACACACACAGTCAGTCAGACACACACACACACAATCACTCACATTAACACTTTTTTTTTTTAATTTACCCCCCCCCAGCCTCCTTACCTTTGGGACCATCAGCCAGCGCCGCCCAGCACCCAGCATGTCTGTTAGCCGCAAGGCTAACTAGGCATTTGCGCTGGGAATTTGGGGGCGGCGTTTTTTGCCTCCCCCTGAAAAATGCCGCCTAAGGCAAATGCCTTGTTCGCCTCGCGGCTAATACGTCCCTGGACAGAGGTTTGAGAAGGTGCGTAACAAAGTTTAGGGGAATCAGGAGACACGTAGTCATCAAATCAGATTTTGGTCAGTATTTTAGAATATTTAAACAATATCAGGGTTATTCACTAATATGAGAATTAATGAGAATTAGATTTCAAGTTTAAGGTAAAATAGCCAAACTGGAAACATTTTCTAAGTCAGCTATGCTTCCAGTTAGGCTGCCTTGACCTTACATTTTAAATTTACTTTAAATTCACTGATTTCTCACTTTAGTAAAAACCTGGATGAGTAATAAAACATGAAATATGTCCATGGTGAATTAAATATGTAATATTTAAAATATGTTATAAATCCTAAGTCAGTGGGGTGATTAAACAGAAACAGACTGATTTAATGAGAGAGAGGGAGAGAGAGAGAGAGAGAGAGAGAATATAAGGCAAGGTGAGAAGGTAACATACAGAGTCTGATGTGCCATGGAAACTATAGAGGACTATGTTAAATGTTAGTCCTTCAACACATTCACATTAGGCACTAGCAATTATTACTACAGTCTCCCAAGGGTTCCGTTAAAGGACCACTATAGTGCCAGGAAAACATACTCGTTTTCCTGGCACTATAGCGCCCTGAGGGTGCCCCCACCCTCAGGGTCCCACTCACGCTGGGCTCTAGGGTGAGGAAGGGGTTAAACTTACCACTTTCTCCAGCGCCGGCGGGGAGCTCTCCTCCTCCTCTCCGCCTCCTCTCCTCCTCTTCGGCTGAATGCGCATGCGCAGCAAGAGCTGTGCGCGCATTCAGCCAGTCTCATAGGAAAGCATTATCAATGCTTTCCTATGGACGCTGGCATCTTCTCATTGTGAAAATCACAGTGAGAAGCGCGGAAGCCCTCTAGCGGCTGTCAATGAGACAGTCACTAGAGGCTGGAGTAACCCATTTATAAACATAGCAGTTTCTCTGAAACTGCTATGTTTATAGAAAAAAGGTTAAACCTAGCTGGACCTGGCACCCAGACCACTTCATTAAGCTAAAGTGGTCTGGGTGCCTATAGTGGTCCTTTAAGTCCTTAGCAAGAAACAATCATAGTAATGAATTGTTCCTTTCTCATTTATCCAAATACTATGCTGAAATTTACTAAAACATACTCATTCTGAGATACCTTTGATGGACTGCATGTGGTGACATCATTTTATTTATTTGGGAGTGCCTTTTTGCAGTCTAATGTACTTTATGGAGGAGTAATAAATACCCTTTAGTTGGGTTTGGTTTGATATTTCTGTGCTACACCTAGTTTTTTTTATTATTTTTTTTTTATTTTATTTTTTTAATCCTTTATTTTCGAGGCAGGAAGCAATACAGCATCATACAGAACAAGTCATGTTACATATTAATACACAGATTAAATCCCATAAATTTAAGAAAACTAAATAAGCAAAGACATAGGTAAAGAGAAATGAAATGAACAGAGAACTTGTGTTCCCGGTGGTTCCCTCTAATACATTCAAAGGTTACCTGAATGGGCAAGGTAATGGATCGGAATGTCATAAGATAAAAAGCCTTGTCACAGGTCACGAATAACCAATTTGACTGATTTTGTACAGTTTCCTTTGCAGTCAACCTCTTGTGGTTGGGGCAAAGTTATCCTAGGTGTTTGGTCTTTGCCAATAAATTCAGTCTGTAGGAGTTTTAGATGCTGCATAAGTGGCCAAAATCATTTACAATTTATTGTGACAATTGACAGCCAGACATGTATGTGCATTTGTTGCAACTGTCCATTAACTAATCTGTTTGACATTAAGCGAATTGTCAGAAATACAGACATTTGAATTAACTTTTAACGGATGAAACGTTTCCGCATGCTTTTTGATTCAAATTTCGAATTTCCAGCAATCTGCACATATTAATCTATTTGCCAAAAACTGAATCTAACCGGTTTTGTTTCAGCTGAATCGATTAGTAACCAAACTGATCAGTTTTTGGATGAATGCAGCTATTGCAAATGTCTAATTGTAGGCGATATTCAGTGGTAGAAATTGAAGAAGTGATAGCTCCCCTTTAAAGCAGTCTCTCACAATTTTGCGGTTTCTGTGAATACATATATGAATGAATGAATGAATACATGCTTACTTCATTAATGCTGATTTCTGCTTCCACATACTGCAAACCTTTCTGCAAGATAGAGATGAGGGCAGCAGGGGGCACTAGCGTCCCATTGATGTTTGACTGGCTGATGTGACTTTCAATTCCAAATGTGAACGCTGAGTGAGAGAAACCTAGAAACAAGGAGAAAATAGCAGTGATACATCCATCAACCCAGCTTCATTGTAGTAATAACCAGGGCCAGATTCAGAGCCCAGTGGGCCTGGTGCTGACAATTATGATGGGCCCAATAACAGAATCGTATCAACCAGAAACACTTAAACACTCCCAATCTGATGGAGATGGTGCTGGAGGGAAAACAGCAGCTATAAGAAAACACTCACCCTATGCTAATCTCTCCATCATATATGTTTTCATCTTTCAAGTAAATCCATAACCCCTAACAGCAGTGTCCAGTCAAGCAGGAAGTCAATGGGCACAGTAAAAGGGTGTGCCAATGGCGCGAATCACGTAACCTGCCAGTAGCACAAAAAGGGGGCGTGTCTGCCCAAAGAATTAGAAGGCCAGCCTGGCATGAATGCATGTCAGGCTGCCTGCCAATCATGCAAGCTGGCAAACTAAGGGCATACTATGCAGACAGCACCCTGAGCTTGACATACATGCATCTAATGATGCGCTGGCTCAATGCTTTCTAAGGACTGTCCCCTAGCACTCGTTGGCCCACTTGTCACCTTGCCTTCTTACTAGCAGGCAGAAGCTCCTGGTATATGGTCTGGGACAGAGAGATGCTGTATGTAGTGAGTGTAGAAGAAAGGGAACATGTCACAGTGTTAGAGAGACCAAAGTCAGCATTACCTTAACTATATTCATTGTCAGCCAGTCCACACAAGTTTTGTTTCCATACATCCCTCTTAAGTTTCCATACTTAAGCAAGAGTATGTGAAAAGTAGTTAGTGTTGCCACCTTTCTTGGAAAAACATACCACCTTATTAATTTGCATAATTAATTATGTATGGGTGACATCACATGATGTAAATCACAAGGAGTGACAAAGAGAAAATGCTGTAAAATCACCAAAAAACTACTTACAGTTTGATTCTGCTGTGCAGATGGATTGCTCCCAGTATCTCCCTGTCCCCCAGTGTCTCAAGCCTCCCACGGCCTCAGTGTTTCCTTATGTATCAGTGTCCCCATGTCGCCCAGTGTCTTAGTGTCCCCTAGTCTCGTAGTGCCCCCATGTCTCCCTGTGCCCTCATGACTCAGTGTCCCCATGTGTTGATTACCCCAGGTCTCACAGTGTCCTCAGTCTCCCAGTGTCACGTAGTGTCGTGACCCTAGGTCTCCCAGTGCCCCTTTCTATTACAGTGTCCCTATGTATCACAATGTCTCAATGTCCCATGTCTCCCAGTGTCCTCTTGCATCTCCATGTCGATCATTGTCCCCATGTCTCCCTGTGTCCCCAAGTATTCCCATGTCTCTCAGTGTCCCCTAGTGTCTATGTCCCCATATCTCCTAGTGTCCCCTAGTGTCTGTGTCCCCATGTCTCCCAGGGACCCCCATATCACTAGGACACTAGGAACACTGAGAGACATGGGGACACTGAGACAGGGAACATTGGGAGACAGAGAAATAGGGGCATTGCTCACCCTGCTCACAGCAAAATTGCTGGACGTTCCATACTGTCTTAAAATCATTAGTCCACTCTGTGAAGGACGGCATGAACGTAGGGTTAAAGGCATACTCTAAGCACTAAAAAAACTTAATAAAGCAGTTTTTTGTATATAGATGATGCCTATGCAGTCTCACTTCTCAATCCTCTACCACTTCAGATTAAATCACTGTTTATGCAGCCCTAACTGCATCTCGCAAACAGAAATGGGATACGGCTGTACAATCTATAGAGGGAACATATAAAGGAAAAAAAACACACAATAGTGTAATACAATAAATACAGTGAATAGTGCGCTTAAATGGATGCACTCACAAGATGATGAAAATAGAAGAGCATTCATGAGGTGCCTCCCCAGATAGCATAGGGGGCTAGTGGTTCCCCTTTCCGGTGTAAAACGACCAATGGAACACGGGACTCCAGATAAGTAGTAGTAAAAAAGCAATTATTTTATTTTCTTAAAAGGTGAACAAACACCATAAGAATAAAGGTTAAAAAGTGCAGCAATAGGTCCAACGCGTTTCGTTCACAACTAGAACTTCATCAGGGACCGCACAGTAAAAAAATCACAGACAATATCATAGATTGTAAAATAACATCCTACTTTCCCCTTAACAGAATCTCTATAAATAGGGCTAGTCCCAAAGTCCCATTGGTCCATGGTGTGGGAGTGTCCAGTAGCCAGCCATTCATTTGTCCAGGGGTATTAACCTCCAGCTGATGGTGTTTAGATAGTTTACATTTTTTTCTTAAAAAACTCATCTAGCCCTCTTAAAGGGCTAGATGAGTTTTTTAAGAAAAAAGAGAGGTTATTAACTGCCGAAACAAAAAAATGGTGGGAGATAGCCTATTTGGAGAATTATCTTAAGGAAGGCTTAATCCCACGTGGTCTTAGAATATATAAAACACCGGCATTTGGATTGGAGGATGATCTCTTCCTACAAGAATGGGATGAAATCCTCACTAATTGTTCTTTTCAGCTAATACAACTCATAATTAGACACTCTAAAGAAATACAGAGTAAATTGGAAGCTGAATTAATTGAACTTGATTCCAATCCTCCCATTAATACAGAAGGAAGGGATTTTAAGGAGAGGGATGAAATCTTGCAAACGAATATTAAAAAACTTGATGAGAATATTGCTGAAACAAAAAATAGGAAGTATAGCAGGGATAAAGAGGATAAATTAACTAATAGTTTTTCTACTCATAATAAATTAATAAGAAAAAAATCACGCTATGTTCCTTTTAAAAAAATGATTCCAAGAACACCTAATAGAACAAGGAGTAACTCAAGATCTAGAACTAATTATAGAGCGAATTTTGCACCTAAGGATGGCAGATCTATTAATCATCCCAGAACTTGGAACAGACAGAGACCCGCCTCCCCTAGGAGACCCACGCCAGATAGGGAGGGGAATGTAAGATCCCGTACTCAGACCACATACAATCAAACGGATACGTTTAGGGCTCCTACACAATTTAATGAACAGGAGATAAATTTTCAAGGGAGACACAGGGGCCCAAAAAAAAAATTCATAACCAATTATTTTCGTCCAAGAACCGAAACTTGGGAGCATCCCAACAGGTTTACCCCTCTATATCAAGATTCACCACACAAGAGGGTGAGAACAGAGGACTAGATCAGAGTCTCAGTCCTGCCCCCCTTTTAATGAGGAGGAAAGGGGTAGAGGTATTTTTAATTTAACTGGAATTCCACTTACATCTGAGGAGATAGACCTACTTTCGAAAGAGATGAAATTTGCCCCTAATAAAAAGGCGAATGACTTTGATCTTTATATAGATCTTAAAAAGTTTATACGCTCTTTAACTATAAAAAGACATTTCCTCTTACATCCATCTACAACTGAGAGGGAAGTAAATATTGTATCTGAAAGGGAAGACTATAGGTTTCAACCAAAATCTCATTTTTTTCCAGTTCAAAGCAAGGGCCCTTTCTTAGAAACGTTTGAACATATGGTTGATCAGGCCTTCCAATCTATTGTTAAAAAAAGAAAAAGTGGATCATGCCCCTTTAATTTAACAAAAAGGGAAGGAGCGATTTTACAACATCTTATGGAAAGAGAGGACCTGGTGATCAGGGAGGCTGATAAGGGAGGAGGTATAGTGTTGATGACTTTGTCTTACTATTTGAAGGAATCCCTTAATATTTTAGGGGATAAAAAAAACTTATATTACTCTGCAGAATAATCCTATGCCGTTGTATAATTTAGAACTTAAGGAAATTTTGATTACGGCTAGAGATAATGGAATCATATCCTCAAAAAACTTTGATTTTTTATTCCAAAAAAATCCAGTGATTCCAATTCTCTATTTCCTCCCTAAAACTCACAAACGCCTCCCTGATCCACCAGGTCGCCCTATTATCAGTGGAGTTAACTCGCTCACTGCTAATTTGTCTGCGTATGTGGACTCTTTCCTTCAAAAGTATGCTCAAGGGGCACCCTCCTTTATACGGGACACTAAGTCTTTTCTACAAGAATTAGACAGCATAGAGTGGGACCCTGAATACAGTTGGGCCACGCTAGACGTGACCTCTCTGTATACGGTAATCAGTCATCGTTTAGGATTGGAGTCTCTTGATCACTATATGTCCCAAGATCAGGACCTGTCTCAAGGCCAAAAGGAATTTATATTGACCTCAGTAAAATTTATTTTGGAACATAATTTTTTATTTTTTAATGATCAGTATTACTTACAGATCACAGGGAGCGCCATGGGCACCAGGTTCGCCCCCAGTTATGCCAACACCTACATGCGTAGATGGGAGGAATTATTTGTGTGGTCGCGGCATGACTGGAGGGAGAGCCTGGTGCTCTGGCGGCGTTATATCGATGATGTGATCATCATTTGGAAGGGGTCCTCCAATAGTTTTTTTGATTATGTCCAATATTTAAATTCTAATTTATATAATCTTGTTTTCACCCCGGAGTGGAACAAACACGAGATCCATTTTTTGGATCTTGATATTTTTTGTGATCGGGGTCAAATTCAAACTAAATGCTTTTTTAAACCAACAGATGGTAATGGCTTTGTTCACCAACAAAGCTGTCACCATAAGCCTTGGCTCAGGGGTATAGCACGAAGCCAATTTACCAGATTGAGACGTAATTGTTCTCGCCCTCAAGATTTTCAGATCCAATCCTCCCATATAAAAAATAAATTATGTGCAAGGGGCTATAATAAGAATACGCTAGAAAAAGAAATTCGATCAATTGGTCTTCTTGAACGGAGCAAACTTTTGGAGGACAAACCTCCCAATATTGTTGGGAATATGAATTTTAAATCAGCCTTTGTCACCCAATATAATACGGATCATTTTAAGATTAAAAGGAGCCTAAGTGATTTTTGGCCCATTTTACAACAAGATCCCATTTTGGGTAATTCTTTGTCTGAACGTCCGATGGTGATATTTAAGAAAAATAAGAACTTTAAAAATATGCTAGCCCCTAGCTATGCCATTAAAATAAATAGATCTAACGTATCTCCCGAATCGGGTTGTTTTAGGGGATGTAATGTTTGCAAAGCTTGCACTACTGCCCTTATGGGGAGAACTAAGGAATTTATTAGTCATATCACGGGAGAAACCTTTAGGATTAAATCATTAATAGGTTGCCACACGGACTATGTAGTATATTTACTGCAGTGTCCGTGTGGCAAACAGTATGTGGGACGCACGAAGCGTATCTTGAAGGTCAGAATCTTGGAACATTTAAATAATATACGTAAGGGACTGGTTACCCATTCAGTCTCTGCTCATTGCAGTAATTGTCCTTCTTTCTCTTTTAGAGAATTTAAGTGTATGGGTATCGAACATGTCCTTCCCTATTGGCGGGGAGGGGATAGGGTCAAAAAGTTATCCCAAAGGGAAACCTTTTGGATACATAAATTAAAGACCCTTGAACCTAGGGGTCTAAATATTGGGATTGATCTGGTGTGTTTCTTGGACTGATTTTTTGGTTTTTTTCCCTGTCTATGTAAACTATTCCATATGTATCTTTGGGAATATGAGTAGTTCTGGCAGTATGAATATATGGAAAAAGAAGTGTCTATAATCAATACAATTCATAATTTATATAAAAAAAAACAAAAAAACTCTATATTATACAGTTATGTGTACTAAGTAGGTTATATGGTTTAAAATAATAATTATTTATATTGAGGGAACTTTTTTAGGAATATATTATTTGTTTTTTATTTTATATTGAATAAGGAGATGTCTGCCACTTTAAATAGACATATATGGCACTATTTAATGGTGTATGATACTGTTACATATACAATACATGGGGAAGTTCCATATGAACCACCTTAATATGGTTGTTGTATATTTTATACACTAATTCATTTTTTTCTTTTAGAGATCAATTATATTCAGTTTATTTAACACTTTAGGGCTTTTTCCGTTTTGATGACTACTTATATTGATGGCTCCTCGCTGTTTTAGTCAAGAAAGAGCAGTGAATGTACTTGGAACGCATTTGGAACATATCTGGAACGCATGTGGAACGCAAATGGAACGCGGAAGTGAAGGCAGACGTCCACTTCCGGTTTCGGCTTTCCCATTGAACGCGCCCAATTTAAACTATCTAAACACCATCAGCTGGAGGTTAATACCCCTGGACAAATGAATGGCTGGCTACTGGACACTCCCACTCCATGGACCAATGGGACTTTGGGACTAGCCCTATTTATAGAGATTCTGTTAAGGGGAAAGTAGGATGTTATTTTACAATCTATGATATTGTCTGTGATTTTTTACTGTGCGGTCCCTGATGAAGTTCTAGTTGTGAACGAAACGCGTTGGACCTATTGCTGCACTTTTTAACCTTTATTCTTATGGTGTTTGTTCACCTTTTAAGAAAATAAAATAATTGCTTTTTTACTATTACTTACCTGGAGTCCCGTGTTCCATTGGTCGTTTTACACCGGAAAGGGGAACCACTAGCCCCCTATGCTATCTGGGGAGGCACCTCATGAATGCTCTTCTATTTTCATCATCTTGTGAGTGCATCCATTTAAGCGCACTATTCACTGTATTTATTGTATTACACTATTGTGTGTTTTTTTTCCTTTATATGTTCCCTCTATAGATTGTACAGCCGTATCCCATTTCTGTTTGTGGTTCTATGCATATGTAAAGATCGTTTGTTGTGGATAACGATTCTGGGAGGCTGCAGATTGATTGAAGCTAAGTAATTTATTTGATTAGAGCACTGAGTTGAAGGTGTTTGTTTGTTTGTTTTGTCTAACTGCATCTCCCCTGGTAATGACAAGCAAAGCCTCAATAAAAAAAAAGGTTTAATTCTTACAGCAAAGTATGTTTACTAGAAGTTCTTATCCTCTGTTCTGTTCAATAAACCTTTTTCACACATAAAATAATGCTGTAGACTCTAGCGGGCAACTAACAGAGCTTTTTCAGGAAGTGTGTAGGGATGCAGTGTGAGTCACAGACAGGGAAGATGTACCTAGGACTGCATGAACATAAACAAATGGAACATAATTGAGCAGTGAGACTGCAGGAGCATAATATACCAACACTGCTTTATTAAGCTCAATTAGTTTTTTTGCTTAGAAAGACCCTTTAAATTATTTATAGATAAGAATGGAACTCTGTCACAAAACGCATAACATTATCAGAGTGGTGGCACATGTTGCTAGCTACCAGTAATTACCGCATGAAAATGCCAAATAATTTTCAAAATGCATGCTGTGAGCCATTGTACGCAGTTCCAGTTTCAATGTGATTTACCAAATATATACTGCGGGTCTGTGGAGGAAAACTAATCTTCTTAAAATAACATTCTTTCAGAGTCATTCCTGTTATTAGAAATAATGATATGTCTGATTTTCTTATTAAGTCTTTCTGCCACCAGAAATATGTTCTTTTATTTGTCACTTGTATTTCCAGGCTTGCATATAATCTAAAACTGCTCAAACGACAGACGCCCTGCTGTGCGACAGACAGTAAGAGAAATTAAGTGACGAGGTCTCTTTTTATTATAGCTTGCTATTATAGGTGAATGTCCTCCAAGCTTGACATTTATCAGTTATATCTCCAGGCAGGTCCGGCTAGAGAACAATATGCGTGACATAACTGAAAATGTTTGTAGCGGAGCCGTAGTCCTAGCAGGGACTCTTCTCCGCTGGTTACTCCAAAATACACTCAGGAACAAGTAATCCCAACAAAGTCCCCAGCAACTGGACGACACTCAGCTCTGGGGGTATAACTGAATTTTATTGACACATACACAGCTTTTATGTCCAGTCCCATGCAAGGGGTTTCACATTCAGAAAATGCAGGGGTTTCAATCCCAAGATCCCTTGTGCCTGAGAGATAATTGCCTGAGTAAACTCCTCCAATTTAATTTTCTCTCAGACACAAAAGATCCACAAAATATCCTATACCTCAAAAGTCCCCCAACCATACCTGGGAACCCCACAAAAAGCACATTCCCTGATAGCACCAATCTGAGTGACCAACATATCCAAGAATCACTCAGATTGGTTCTGTAGATGCAATCGTGTGGAAGTTTTGACCGGCCAGACATGAGACGCTAGGCCAAAATAGTTCCAGGAAACTATGTGTCTTGGCTGGTCTCCGTTCGTGGGGCTCCCATGCGAAAACCAGACAAGGGAATCTCTCACTTTCAGGGTACGAATGCTTCCCCTGTTCGGTAATTTATATCTCCCGAACGCCACTCATGTAGGTGGTCAGGAACAGAAACGGGCAGAGGTCGACAGTTTACCGGTGTTCGTGCGAGTGCCTAGCAGAAAATAGTTCCAGGCACTCGACGACCAAGTACCACTGCCCTCGTTTGGGAGACAAGATGGCCGCCGTTCTCTCAGCCACGTGTTCAGTTATATGAAATGGCGGCCACCCTAGAGAAGCACTCATTAATTGTTTCCCTTGCGGGTTCGCACTTAAGTGGTTGGTGTTAACGTTCTAATGGGGCACGGGCATGAAGTCTCCCGAACGGCCAAAGAAGAACCACACGAAATAACCGGGGAAAAATAGACGAAGTAACAGGGGGAAATATGGACAGCCAATATAGGTAATAAAAGTAACTTGCTGTCAGACTGTCACAACTGTAATAGTCATCATATGTCTAGCATTGCATGTGGTGAGTTTAACAGGATGCAGATAATATTGTCCAAACCTATTTATCAGCACATTGTCTTAAGATCATCAATCTAAAATGAAGAGCTTTATAGCAGCTCGCCAGGGTAGGGTTAAGAACAGGAAGTTCTGGAGTTTAAATCTCTTTGTTCACAAAAAAAGAAAAAAAAAGAATAATATGATTGCTTTACAACAAAAGGACCATGATAAAATACTGGAAAATAAATTGATTACATCTGGCTGAATATGGTATTACAACTGGCTGAATAAAATACTTAGCAAAAATAAAGATTTAAATAAACAAATATGCATAATTTAATGATGTTAAAAGAAAACGTTTGATGTTAAATTGTTTATAAAAACAAAACAAAAAACACCCAAAAAAGGTCCTAGTTGTAGAATGAATTACAAATCACTGTTGGTATTCAGTTGGTCGGTGTTATCTGACTTTCAATTGAGATTGCAAAAGTGTTAACAAAAATTTTACAATATTTTTTTGTCAGTCACACCACCCACTGTTAAACATGATTATTGACCTACAACCAGGTTTAATATAAGACATCAGTAATCACATGATCTTGAGGTCAGTACTCTTAGATAACAAAGTTAACTACTTTGAAATGGGTCCAATTGAAAAGATCTGACTTGCCTGTTTGATTGCTTTTATAGAGCAGCGGTGATAATAGGTCTAATATCATTGTTGCAACTTGACATTGATATAAGTGTATGCTTCTTTCATCATGTTCAAACACAGCATTGCTGTTATCTTGTTGTTGTAACAATGCTTATTCGTCCATTATTTGCTTTATATTACAGATCAGCTATCATTAGTTTAAGTGTGGTGACGTTATTTGTAAATGTCATCAGCTCATTGTAGGTGTTTGTGGTGCTTGACCTGCTTATGCTAAAAACAGACAATAGTGTATTAGTTTCTTGCTAGGAATATGTTTCCTTGTACGGTTTATCATGCACTTTCTGAAAATGGAGTTAGATGGTTGTGTTGAAGTGTCTATAATCCTTTAGACGGATTGTGATCACTTAAAGGGTTACTCCATCCTTTTTAGTGAATACTTTATTTTAATTCAGCATGCCCTAGTAGGCATTGCTAATTAGACCCCCACATTACGAAGTTAAAAAGCTAAAATAAAACTTACTTGAAATCCATTGCCGGGTGAAGCACACTACACTGGATTCCCTACCTCCGTCAAGACGACTGCCTCCATGGTGCTGTCCAATCAGATGATTCTCTATAATTGGAGAAGCAGGTGATTGGACCATTTCATCGACTCAGAGGATGTGAGGGGAGGAAGTGAGGGTGGACAGGAAGAAGTAAATCATATAAAAAAAAATGACTGTCACTTGAGGGAGGCAGGGACGAAGTACAGAGAGAGAGGGGAGATGTAGATTTCCCCTTTCAGGTGTGCTCCCAGCCCTGCCTGCAAGGAGAGAAGCAGAGAATATATATTACCAGTGTACAGTGTGCCATGATGACAGATGTAATTGTTGCACAAAATTTACTTTATGCAGCCCAGAACAGAATGTAACTAGCCCTCGGCATAAAAGTGCAAATATCTCTGTATGTTCAGTGCTTCAAGCAAACATGTTTCACATACAGATTTCTACCACCACGACCACTTCTAAAAGCAGAGGTGGTTACGATGGTTGGATTAACCTTCTAAGCTTGACCATGTAATTAAAGGTAGGGAGCCTATAGCTCGCTAACCGATCGTAGTGAAAGCACTCTTGAAACCAATCAGAACAAAATATTGTGATTGTGTCAACATACAGTCAGGTCCATAAATATAGGACATCGACACAATTCTAATCTTTTTGGCTCTATACACCACCACAATGGATTTGAAATGAAATGAACAAGATGTGCTTTAACTGCAGACTTTCAGCTTTAATTTGAGGGTATTTACATCCAAATCAGGTGAACGGTGTAGGAATTACAACAGTTTGCATATGTGCCTGCTACTTTTCAAGGGACCAAAAGTAATGGGACAATTGGCTGCTCAGCTGTTCCATAGTGAGGTGTGTGTTATTCCCTCATTTTCCCATTTACAAGGAGCAGATAAAAGGTCCAGAGTTCATTTCAAGTGTGTGTGGCGAAACCAACCTCGCCACTATGCACTGGAGAAGCCTGGTTGCCAGCCTCCTGCCATCTGACTATGGCCCCCTTGTGAATTCGTACTTTTGTATGCAATATTTGGGCATGTGACCTTCTTATATTGCTGCTACTGGCCCTTTAAGGGCCATCCGTGAACATATTCTGCCTGTTAGGAATAATGCCTTTTTAAGATTGTGTAGCAAATTGCATTCAGGCGGTATTTAATATTATGTGTTCGGTATAAAGTGTTATGTGAATGCAGCATTCCCCTGATTGTTCGGTAGAATCACTTCATTCATTATATTGGGTGAAACTACCGAACAACCAGACCACCCGGGAGTAAGTGTGCCTCCAATTACCGTTTGCAACAATGTTGCAAACGGGTAATTGGCAATATGTGTAATTGTGTTGTGTCCTCTGGGTGGCCGCCATTCGGGAAACGAACACGTGGCGGCGGCCATCTTAAACTCCCGAACAGCGGTGTTTTGCCGTCGAGTGTCTGGAACTAAAATCGGACACTCGACTAAGCAAACACCGCTGAGACCTCCAGACTTCCAGCAATTCGTGCAGAAACTACCGAACGGCCCGCCGTTCGGTAGAAAGGATCCCACGAACAGGGGGATTCATACGAATCCTCCCCAAGCTCCATAACCCAGGCAATTCGTGTGATTCATTCCCTTTTCTGTGACCGACTGCAGGGCCAAAGTACATGGAACTATTTTCGGATACTTTTGCCATGCAGTCGGTCAAAACTTTAACTCTTTATAATTCCTGAACCCCTGGTCCGATCTGGGTGATTTTTGGATATGGGTCTCACCCAGATCAGGGTTACCAGGGGATGTAACATTTAAAGGGGTATTCCTATGTGTAGGGGTACATCCAGTATCCCAGGGAATTTGTGTCTGTACTAATGGGATTATGTGTCACACTAAGGGGAGGAGATGTGTGGGAGGTAACTGGTACATTATTGGCTGGGGTACTAATTGTTGTGGATCCCTCCCTTGCATGGGAGAATGTCTTAAAAGGAGGCTGTGTGAATAAATCTGTAGATTCTGCTTAACCCTCAAAACGAAGTGTCGTCGTGTTATTGGGGGAATTGGATTGTGAGCTGACTGCCAGGAGTGTAAGCTGTTCGTATTGCTTTTCCTGTTCGGCTGCTTCCAGAGTTCGTGTATTTCTTGTTCGTGAGTTGGGTATTCGTACAGTTTGGAGTTCGGGAGGTTGGTGATTGCAGTAGCTGCTGGTCTATTGAAAGGGGATTATCGCCTAAACGGATTTATCCCCGTTTGAGAGAAACGGTCCGTTACAGTGTGCTATTTGCATTTGGAATCTGTTGCTGTCAACTCTCAATATGAGATCCAAAGAGCTGTCACTATCAGTGAAGCAAGCCATCATTAGGCTGAAAAAACAAAACAAACCCATCAGAGAGATAGCAAAAACATTAGGTGTGGCCAAATCAACTGTTTGGAACATCCTTAAAAAGAAAGAACGCACCGGTGAGCTCAGCAACACCAAAAGACCTGGAAGACCACGGAAAACAACTGTGGTGGATGACCGAAGAATTCTTTCCCTTCACAACAGTTGGTCAGATCAAGAACACACTCCAGGAGGTAGGTGTATGTGTGTCAAAGTCAACAATCAAGAGAAGACTTCACCAGAGTGAATACAGAGGGTTCACCACAAGATCTTAACTATTGGTGAGCCTCAAAAACAGGAAGGCCAGATTAGAGTTTGCCAAACAACATCTAAAAAAGCCTTCACAGTTGTGGAACAACATCCTATGGACAGATGAGACCAAGATCAACTTGTACCAGAGTGATGGGAAGAGAAGAGTTCGGAGAAGGAAAGGAACTGCTCATGATCCAAAGCATACCACCTCATCAGTGAAGCATGGTGATGGTAGTGTCAAGGCGTGGGCATGTATGGCTGCCAATGGAACTGGTTCTCTTGTATTTATTGATGATGTGACTGCTGACAAAAGCACCATGATGAATTCTGAAGTGTTTCGGGCAATATTATCTGCTCATATTCAGCCAAATGCTTCAGAACTCATTGGACGACGCTTCACAGTGCAGATGGACAATGACCCGAAGCATACTGCAAAAGCAACCAAAGAGTGTTTTAAGGGAAAGAAGTGGAATGTTATGCAATTGCCATGTCAATCACCTGACCTGAATCCGATTGAGCATGCATTTCACTTGATGAAGACAAAACTGAAGGGAAAATGCCCCAAGAACAAGCAGGAACTGAAGACAGTTGCAGTAGAGGCCTGGCAGAGCATCACCAGGGATAAAACCCAGCGTCTGGTGATGTCTATGCGTTCCAGACTTCAGGCTGTAATTGACTGCAAATGATTTGCAACCATGTATTAAAAAGTGAAAGTTTGATTTATGACTGTTAGTCTGTCCTATTACTTTTGGTCCCTTAAAAAGTGGGAGGCACATATTCAAACTGTTGTAATTCCTACACCGTTCACCTGATTTGGATGTAAATACCCTCAAATTAAAGCTGAAAGTCTGCAGTTAAAGCACATCTTGTTTGTTTCATTTCAAACCCATTGTGTTGGTGTATAGAGCCAAAAAAGATTAGAATTGTGTCGATGTCCCAATATTTATGGACCTGACTGTATCTAACAGCTCTTCAGCAACAATGTGGCGATACTTTTCAAACCTTGGATTGTAATATAAGCCAATATTTGCTACACACAAAGAACTAGCCATTCTGGCATGCATTTAAAGTGCAACATGGATGTAAACTCATGAGTAGCTTTAGGTTTTTATGAGCCACGAGCTCATAAAATCCTATAGATTTCAGGTAGGCCTATCTCTACCTCTAGCAATAAAGTAACTACATAAACTATGTACAAACTATTAGATGATAGATAATCACATGGTTGAAATTAATACAGAAGAACAAACATAATAATGAAAACATAATACCATTAACATCTGGAAGCATTGGAACCAAATGGGGAAGAGACCCATGATATTGACACAAGTTCACAAGTAAAATTGACCACACTTGTTTTCTCTTAAGTGCCAGGAAAGCAAGACTAACGAAAAACACTTGGACAGTCCTAAATCAAGTGATTAGGAAGGTATATAAAGTCTAATACGATATATAGTAAAGTGGGACATCAAAGTGAATCTAAAGTGAGTTTTAACTGAAACCATAGCTAAATCAGAGAATTTTTCTAGTTCAAATATTTTGACCTTAAATTTGAAATTCACTTTGAATTCCCACTTGGTGAATAACGCAGTAAATCTCTCACAAAATTCACACATACAGTGTTATTCACTAGAGTGAGAACTCAGAATAAATGTAAAATTAAAGGTCAAAGTAGCTGAAATTATTGCATTCTGTAGGACGGCTATGCTTTCAGTTTGGCTACTCTGGTTTTACATTTGAAATTCACTTTGAATTTTCACTTTAATTAATTGCTCTGATATGAACGTTTATTGCTTACATGGTAGCCATTAATTTGCATACATTATGTAAATCTAAATGATTATACCTCTCCAATATATTTTAAATGCCATAACTTCAATTTTATTCAATAAAGTAAAAAACAAATGCTCAGACAACCAGTAATTCAATTTAACATATCGCATAACCAGAGACTGAAACTATCTATGTTAAGCAGACATTATGTAATTATCCTCATATTAAAGGTTTCAAGAAAGCACTTTAAAGCGTTTGAAATATTTCCCTATTAGAGATTTTCTCATTTCAAGTAAATTTTATTTATTCCACAGTGAATAATGGTAAATTTGGTAGATCTGTCTTTCTTCCTCATTCTGATTTTTTTTTTTTTAGTAATTATAAAAAAAATCAAAGTGAGGAAGACAGACAGATCTATAAGATTAGGCAGAAAGAGGTTGAGCAAGATATAAGAGCCTCCAAAGCACACACATCAGAGAAAATAGCACAGTCAGTAAAAAAAGGGAAAAATTTTTTTTTAGATACATAAATGAGACAAGGAAAAGTAAAACAAGGATTAGTTAGATTAAAAACAAAAGAAGGAAGGTATGTAGAAGAGGATAAAGGTCTAGCTGACTGCCTCAATTAATATTTTTGTTCTGTATTTACAGATGAAAATGAAGGAGAAGGACTTCAGTTAAGAAAAAGAACAAATGGGTAATGTGTTACATGTGAATTTAAAGAGGAAGATGTTCTATTCCAACTGTCCAAAGTAAAGACAAATAAGTCGATGGACCTGATGCGATAAACCAAAAGTTATTAAAAGAGCTTAGTGGTGTACTAGCAAAACCCTTAACAAATTTGTTTAGCCAATCATTGTTAACAGGAGTAGACCCAGAAAATTGGAAATTAGCGAATGTTGTACCCATTCAAAAAAAGGTAGTAGGGAGGAGTCGGACAACTATAGGCCAGTAAGCCTTACTTCATTAGTGGGGAAAGTGATGGAAACCATGTTAAAGGAAAGAATTGTTGAACATCTAAAATCACATGGATTTCAAGATCAGAGACAACATGGGTTTACTTCAGGGAGATAATGCCAAACTAATCTTATTGATTTTTTGGGTTGGGTAACTAAAATAATAGATCAAGGTGGTGCAGTAGACATTGCTTACCTAGATTTCAGTAAGGCTTTTGACACTGTTCCACATAGAAGGCTTATCAATAAATTGCAATCTTTAAGTTTGGATTCCAATATTGTTGAATGGGTTAGGCAGTGGCTAAATGACAGGCAACAGAGGGTTGTAGTCAGGGCCGGACTGCCTAATGGGATATGAGGAAATTTCCTGGTGGGTCGTGGCTCTCATAGGAACGCCTAGCCGGTCCGGAGGCACACTCACTAATGCTGACAGCAGTGAGCTGTCTCTCTATCATGCTTTCTCACGGTTCCCACAATTCCCAGCACAGCCAAAGACACAGAGGGAGAGACACACAAGGAGAGGGGGAGAAATGTGAGAGACACACAGGGGAGGTGGGAGAAAGAAACAGGGGGAAGAGAGAGACACAGGGGGAGGGGAAAAAGAGACAGTGGGGGAAGAGAGAGACTGGGAAGGAGAGGGGAGACATGGACACAGAGGAGCAGTGAGGGGGAGAAAGAAACATACAGAGGTACTGGGGGGAGACAAAGAGGAACACAAAGGATCTGGAGGTAGAATATAGGGTCTATATAACACATGTATATTAATGTGTGTATTAGTTATATATATAATTATGCCGATAATATTTATACATATATTAATGTACATTTATATATGCATAATACACAGAGAAATGTCATTAATATGTAACATATGTAATCAGCATATATTGGCCCAGTCTTGTTGTTAGGTGCATACTCCAGCACAATAACATATTTAAAGTGAAGAGCGCACCCACAGGACTTCAAAATAAACAAGATAACGTCATTTTTTACAGTTGTGCACTATATACATTCACCATTTCAGTCCTATTACCTCTACAGTCTGAATACAGCCCAGGAATGTCTACGGCAGCTAGAGTTATCAGAATCAATGAGACTGAATCGTTGAAACCTCCTTAACCCCTTAAGGACACAACTTCTGGAATAACATGGAATCATGACGCAATATTTCCGTCATGTGTCCTTAAGGGGATAAAGACTGCTGCATCTGGGGTAACAGCCTATTACAGGTTAAAATGCGCTTCTGCACATATTGATTTATGTCAATTGTGCCATTTTAATTGTGAGAGTTCCATTTTTATCCTGTCATTATCTATAGTAAATTAAAGCTGTTTTGCACTGTGATATTTATTTTTATGTGAGTTCTAGAAGCTCATCATCCTGCTGGTAATTATACACATCACTGTGTTTGTGATAGTGGTGCCCTACACTGTATTTGCACTTTGTTGTTGTACAGTTTTTGTTGCACTTGTCTTTGAAGGGATATAGGGAGTGTGTCCCATTTGTAGTGGCTTGCCTGCACTCAGTGTTTTCGGTCATCTCACTATTTTTATCTTGTATTTTGTACATTACCAAACTTTCCTTAATATATCAAGGTAGTTGGACTGAAACATTGATTACATGCAAAGGCACGTCTGCTTAAAATAAATCTGCACTTTTGTTTATTTTGAAGCCTATGAGTGCTTTTTTTTCAAATTGGAAGTAATAATTTTTAATTTGAAGTTATCTTTTGTAATGTATCAGCACACTATGCTGGCGGGACACATTATTGGGCTGGTAAATAATTTTTTTCCGGGGCTCCTTTTAGTTCCCAGTCCGGCACTGGTTGTAGCCAACGGAGCACATTCGAAGCAAGGTCTAGCTACCAGTAGGATACCTCAGGGATCTGTACTTAGACCCATTCTCTTTGATGTTTTTATTAGTGATATTGCAGAAGGACTTGATGGTAAGGTATGTCTTTTTGGTGATGATACTAAAATTTGCAAAAGGGTTGATGTTCCAGGAGGGAAAAGTCAAATGGCAAATGATTTAGGTAAATTAGAAAAATGGTCAGAGCTGTGGCCACTGACATTTAATGTGGATAAGTGCAAGATAATGCATCTTGGGCGTAAAAACCCAAGGGCAGAGTATAGAATATTTGATACGGGGGGATATGATAGAATTTAAATACATAAAGAGAATCAACACAGTAAAGGAGGAGACTATATTTAAAAGAAGAAAAACTACCAAAACAAGAGGACATTGTCTTAAATTAGACAGGAAAAGGTTTAAAAATAATATCAGAAAATATTTCTTTACTGAGAGGGTAGTGGATGCATGAAATTGCCTTCCAGCTGAAGTGGTAGAGGTTAACACAGAGAGGGAGTTTAAGCACGTGTGGGATAGGCATAAGGCTATCCTATACTTAAGATAAGTCCCGACTAATTAAAAGTATTTCAAAAATTGGGCAGACTAGATGGGCCGAATGGTTCTTATCTGCCGTCACATTCTATTTTTCTATGTTAAGCCTGTAAGTTCTTTGTTTACTAATAGGCACTAACCATTTTATTGTGCAGTGTCTTTGATACTCTGCATGCAAATTTTTCAAAGTGATCAAAGAAGTCACTAAGCATGTACAATCAGTAAGGCACAGGATATTTTGTTTATGCTAATTTTCTTAATATTCCTTGTCCTCATAATAATTGAATGCACTTGGAAAATACAGTATTTAAAGCACACCATGGCACTGCATATTAAAAAGAATTCAAAATAGAATCACATATCAGTCATAATTGTTAATTTCCTAATATGTTTAGGGTCTAAATAAATTTATAGCAGTTAACGCTAACCCAACACAAACCCCCCATCAGTATACCAACCATATGCCTTGCCCTATGATTACACTAGCCATGTGCCTACCCTAACTTTATCCTTAACCCTACACTAACCCAACACCTTTAACCAGAATTAACCCAAACCCAGCATTAACATTTAACTTACCCTCAACATAACCCTAGACTGACCTTAACCTTACAGCTAACCCTAACTCTACCCTACTCCTGGTCATTTAAAAGAATGGCTTAATCTTTTATTTCTTCTCAAACATAGGATACAATAAAACACCACTAGTAATTCATATATGTTTTACAACTCACTTAAAGAGATTCTCTGATCCTTCAAAAATGGTTGACCGTTCCAGTGTTTGTTATTCTGTTACACACAGTTAGGTAACCTTGTTATGACACACAGTCAGTTGTCTTTAGACATTGCTTCTAAACCACTGCATTTTGAAGTCTAACATTTTCTTTTCTGAAGTCTGAAGGCCTTGAGACAAGAAGGGTTCAAGTCTTGGACCTTCAGATATTGTGCTTATACTTTCCAGAATCCTTGTCCATTTGTCAGCTTTGGCTATTTATTTAACATCGGTCAGTGAGAACTTGGCAATTGATTGCACTGGGTGGAAAGCTTAGCTGGTAGCAGTGTTAATTTTGTTGACTAACAATTTTAGTCAAATTTTAGTTGACTAAAATATTTTAGATTTAGTCGATTAAAACTAGACTAAAACCAAAACAATTTACATGACTAAATTACGACAAAAACAAAAATGGCATTTTAGTCAAAAGACTATAACTAAAACTAAATTGAAATTTGCCGCCAAAGGTTGCTATGGAAGGGGCAAAAGAGACCGACCAGGGCTCCTGCACCTATAATGGGCATAAGGAGACTAAAATCTGGGGACCTACAAAAGTGCCCATCTATCGTCCCCAATGAAATAGAATATGCCTCTGATTACAATAGCATGGGTGGCCAAAAGTGAGATCACCAGTGTCGTATGACTACAAATCTATGACAGCTGGGATCTGCCTTTTGGATACTCCTGCCCAGTAAAAACCACTAGCTTAAAAATTTTAATATGGTTTTTAAGAAGGGAAAATATACCTGTTTTAAAAAAAAAATTTTATTATACAGAGATAGTTTTTCCAAGAAAGGTATCTTTATTAGATGTTCTATAGACTTATTTATAATCTGAAATGTCACGTTCCCAGGGTCTCACTATGGAGCCCATCACAGCCCCTCACTGCTGATCACATAATATCAAATCCCAGCTCTAATTTATTTCTGCTGCTGTGAAGTGTGAAAAAACAGTTCATCTTGACATTTACGTGAGATATGGGTTTGCACATTACTTGTACACTGTGTTTTCTGCTTTTAAAATATTTCCATTTATAAAACACAAATGGATGCTGCAATGTCCTATCATATCCAGCTGTGTCTGTAGTGCTAGCTACAAATTGCAAAATCCAAAGTCTGTCCCATTTGTTGTTTTTTTTTCTCTCCAGCTCACAAATAAAGGTCTTGCCTGAATTACAGTTTTACATTGCAAGCATTACTGTTTTAGTTTGTTTGTTATATCAGGGTTTCCATTGTCTTATCTTCTGCTTGCACAAAATTACTACCAGTCAAGAAGGACTATCAAGGTCAATTTTATGTTACTGGTTGTAGGGCACGATAACAAAATTATTGGTCAGCATCATGCTCAGTGAAGAAGTTAAAAAAAATCTTGTTTTATTGGTTTAATGGATACAATCCACATAAAACTACAGAGCTTAAAATTATTAGTCCAATGCAAGCAACCAGGCCTTAAAATAGAATACTGTCTAGGCAGGACCAGCTTTGCCATAAGGCCACCAAGATCATGGCCTCAGGGAGGCAGGCAGGAGAGGGTGGACAATTCCAGTGGGGAGATCAAAGATCTCCCTCTCTGGCCAGCACATTCTCCACCAGTGGGCCCAAGCCAATAGTGAGATCTTCTTGGCTGGAGTAGAGACCCTACTCGATGACTCTGATATATTTCATCATAGCATTGCCGCTGGTTACCGTGGCAACACTCAGATACTTTTCCTGGAGCCGGCTGGCATTTCTCTAGTTGGTTTAACCACGTTTTTTTTTTTTTTTTAAATTAATCAAACTTTTTTGAAAAGAGCGCTTTAAGAGCAGTTATATAGCACATTTAAAAGACCACTATAGTGCCAGGAAAACATATTCGTTTTCCTGGCACTATAGTGCCCTGAGGGTGCCCCCACCCTCAGGGTCCCCCTCCCGCCCGGCTCTGGAAGGGGGAAAGGGTTAAAAACTTACCTTTTTCCAGCACTGGGCGGGGAGCTCTCTGCTTCCTCTCCTCCTCTTCTCCTCCTCCTGGACTGAATGCGCACGCGCGGCAAGAGCTGCGCGCGCATTCAGCCCGTCGCATAGGAAAGCATTTACAATGCTTTCCTATGGACGCTTGCTCTCACTGTGAAGTGAGAAGCACGCAAGCGCCTCTAGAATGAGACAGCCACTAGCTTAACCCAATAAACATAGCAGTTTCTCTGAAACTGCCTGTTTATGAAAAAATGGGTTAACCCTAGCTGGACCTGGCACCCAGACCACTTCATTAAGCTGAAGTGGTCTGGGTGCCTAGAGTGGTCCTTTAATCTTATTTTTCTAACAGCATGATGAATATTTTCTATAAGAATTATAAGCAACTGAAATAGCACAACAGACCTTCCTCTGCACTAGGATAAAGATATCAGTAGCTCAGCCAGTGAATAGATTCTATTGAACCTGACAATATATTTTATTTAACTATGCATTTGCTAATAATCTTCTCAAGAATATTCTAATTATAATTAAAAAAACACATCGAAAAATATGGAATGTGCATATTACAAATGATGGTAATGTAAAATGATGAGCTCAGTGATATGCTATAATGTATCATGCCAGGAAGCCTTTAAAGATTTCCAACAGATTTTCACTACATTGATGAGTCACCCTTACCACTCAACGAGGGGGTGTTAATAGCACTGATCAATGTAAATTCGATTTCATTCAGCTATCCCTATGGCATGCAGGAGTGACCCAATATAATATTTTAGTATCAAGGGAGACAATTACTCCAATTGACACTCCCATGGTACCACGTGGGTCATTTGGCTTTCCAATTATGGAGGTTATTAAACGTTTTTCTAACTATATAAACAACTAGAGCACTGGAAGAATTGCAGTTTGTGATAAGTTCTGAGCTGAAAAGTACTGCCAGCAGTACGGAGTCAATGAAATAACTTCTGTACGCCCTAGCTAACTTGAGTGAGCACTCTAGGTACGATAACCACTACAGCACCCTGTTATGGGTGGTAAGAATCCCCTGGTACTGATTCCAGTTATGAGTCAAACTGTTTTTGAAATGTATGAAACCAGTTGGGATTTCCCTGCTCTAATATAGCCTATATATATATATATCAGTATAATATATCTGCAATAGATATGCTAATGTTGTCCCTATGTGGACTTACAGGAACACTATCGCCGTATTCAGCCACTAGAGGTGTGTTTACCTAAAATACCGGGGGATCTGCTTACAACTCTCAGACCACTTCGCAAAGATCAAATAGACTGGGTGTCTATAGATTCCCTTTACATTGATTGGCCTACACTCAGTGTAAGTTGATGCTCTCAGACAATGATAGGGGAACACTAACAATATTACTGAAGAGATATGAAATAGACTTAGAGATTAGTTTAGTTACAAACTGCAATACGTCTAAATTTGTCCAGTCGAGTGATCGTACTAATTTCAGAACTCTGAGCAGAAATTACGGACCAAACGAAACATGAAATGGATGAGCATGCTAAGTTTGATTTGTGATTATGAATTCTACCAGTGGCACTAAAAAACAAGAGACAATTCTTGGCTAGGGGACAGTCACTAAATGTTGCTTTTATTCAAAGATTGGTTTGTCTACTTCATTAATGAAATTTAAACGGGCGCAAAATGTAGCCAATCCTAGTACTGCAGAATATACATACATAATTATTATTATAGTCCAGTACAATGATAGGACCATTTTCCAGTCATTGGCTTTACAGATCAAGGGAGAAGGGAGAGAATTTTTTTGTTAATGAAATTCAGATAAGCTAAACTGCCAAAAATCAGTGTTCCCAAATCTGTAATATTTTTTATATTTGTACGAAGTAATTCGGCTGCAACACATTTTTCCGCAATGCTCAATTCTAACGTGGCCTGTCTGTGGAAGCCTAAGACAAAGGATAGAAAGAAAGCTGTACCTTTTTAATTTTAAAGGGACCCAGATCACTTCATTTCATTGATGTCCCAGTACCCTTAATCCTGAAATATAAAACGCAATGTAAGGAAAGTGAAAAAGGGATTTTAGGGAGGGCCACGGAGGCAAATAAACACTATAATAGTGGGAATCAGCTTTGTATTCCTAATTCTTTAGTGTTCTTTTATTATATCAGAATTCTTAAAAGATAAAACTGGATAAGGTCTGAGCCTCTCTCGGCCTTTGAGAGGTAGCGCTCATATCAGCACCTTAATAAGAATACAAAATTCCTTGTGTGACCCAAATACCAAAAAATGCTAGTAACCAACAGAACAAAGGTCAAACTCTGACTAATAAAGGCTAGTTACAGTTGTGCTCAAAAGTTTGCACACCCTTGGAGAATTGGTAATATATATACCATTTTTAAAGAAAATATGAGTAAGCAGGCAAATACATTTATTTTATTTCTTATGCGATTCATATTCAACTGTAGGTTATAACAGGATGGGGCAATCATTAAATAAAACATGGCAACAAAGAAAAAAATGAAATGCCCCATTTTCAAAAGTCTGTATACTCTATATAGTTCTTAATACTGTGTATTGCCCCCTTTAGCATCAATGACAGTGTGCAGTCTTTTGTAATAGTTGTCTATGAGGCCCCTAATTCTTGCAGATGTTATGGCTGCCCATTTGTCGTGGAAAAATACCTTCAAGGTCATGCAAAGTCTTTGGTCGTCTTGCATGAACAGCACATTTAAGATCTCCCCAGAGTGGCCTGATGATATTAATGTCAGGAGACTTTGATGGCAAATCCAGAACCTTCACCTTTTTCTGTTGTAACCACTGGAGGGTCATTGTCATGCTGGAAAGTCCAAGAGCGTTCCACGTGCAGCCTTTGTGCAAATAAATGCAAATTGTCTGCCACTTTTTCCTAGCTGCATTCATCTTGCCATCAGTTTTCACAAGATTTCCTGGGCTTTTAGAGCTCCCCACATCCCCCCCAAAACATAATTGAGCCACCACCATGCTTCACAGTGGGGATGGTATTTTTCCCTATAGGCCTTGTTGACCCCAAAATAGCACTTATGGTTGTGATCATAAAGCTCTATTTTGGTCTTGTCACTCGAAATTACAGGGTGCCAAAAGCTGTGAGGTGTGTCAAGGTGTTGTCAGGCATATTGTAACGGGGCTTTTTTGTGGCATTGGAGCTGTAACGGCTTCTTTCTGGCAACTCGACCATGCAGCATATTTGATCAAATATCATCGTATTGTGTTCCTTGAAACCACCACACTGTCTTTTTCCAGATCAGCCTGTATTTCTCCTGAGGCTACCTGTGGGTTTTTCTTTGTATCCAGAAAAACCTTTGCTTGGTATCAAGAGATCGCCAAATTTTCCACTTCTTAATAAGTGATTTACAGTACTGACTGGCATTTTCAAGGTTAAGGAATTCTTTTTGTATCCTTTTCCATCTTTCTAAAGTTCTATTACCTTGTTAGGCAGGTCTTTTGACAGTTCTTTTCTGCTCCCCATGAGTCAGTATCTAGCCTGCTCAGTGCATCCATGTGAGAGCTAACAAACTCATTGACTATTTATACACATACACTAATTGCAATTTAAAAAGTCACATGTGTTGGAAATGAACCTTTAATTGCAATTTTAACCTGTGTGTGTCACTGTCTGTTACAAGACCAAACATTCAAGGGTATGTAAACTTTTGATCAGGGCCAATTGGGTTATTCTGTTATCATTATGGTTTAAAAAGGATCCAAACAACTATGTGATAATAAATGGCTTCATAGGATCACTATCCTTCAATAAAAAAATATTTTGCATGATCAGTCATAATTTCAAAATCAATGCCACAATTTCAGGGTATACAAACTTTTGAGCACAACTGTATATATTGTAAGAGTGGACGCAGGATTTTTGCCGCCCGAGGCAAAAGAAAAATTTGCCTCCCCCACACCCCATATGCGCTGCCCACCATGTGACATCTATCATATGAACCAACGCCAGTGCTGCACACAGTGTGTGTTTACATTAAAAAGCCTGCAGGGATAGGCTAAAGACACCAGAACCACTACATTAAGCTGCAGTGGTTCTGGGGACAATAGTGTCCCTTTAATGTGAGGTAAATTAGAAATTAATGTCACTAATTATTCTAGATTTCCTACTTACAACCAGATGAGGATGATGATGGGCTCTGGCTGCAGTCGGGCTCCACTAGTCTGGTGTAGAACAGGCTCTCTGGAGGCTGTTTGTAACTGTGGTCACAAAAATCAATGTTCTGGTGGAACGGGAAGCAGCTCAATCTTTTGGGGCCCTTTACACATGGTCTGACAGTGAGTATGCTCATAAGGCCCACCCATAGAGGATCTAATGTGGGTGCTTATGGAATGTAGAGTATAGGGATAGCAGTTTGTGTAGGTGATGCAGTGTGTTTTTGTGTAAAGGTTAGAAAGCAGTGTGTGTTTGTGTGTAAGGGATGTATTGTGTGTGTAAAGGATGCATTGTGCAAATCTGTGTGTGTATGTGTAACGGATGCAAGGTATGTTTATGTGTATGTAAGGGATGCAGTGTGTGTGTCTGTAAGAGCTGCATTGATTGTCTCTAAGGGGTGAATTGAGTGTGTGCATAAGAAGCAGTGTGTGTGTGTATGTGTGTGTGTAAGGGATGCATTGTGTGTTTCTGTGTGTAAGGGATGCATTGTGTGTGTAATGGATGCATTGTGTGTTTCTCTGTGTGTAAGTGAAGCATGGTGTATTTCTGCATGTGTGTAGGGATGCATTGTGTGTGTGTGTATTGTGAAAGAGAGTTTGTGGGGTAGGATATGGGCTGAGAGGGGAGCAGAAAAAATATAATTCTTTGTTTTTGTTTTGTGTCTATCTTAGTGTACCTCTTGCAAGCCCCTTGTTTGTCTCTTTGTGTGTTCTCTATATCCTCCCAACTTCTTTGTGTGTCTTACTCCCCCAGCCCCTTGTGTGTCTCTTTCTCCCCTACCAGCACTTTTGTGCTTCTCTCTCCCCCCTTCCTCAGCCTCTTTGTGTGTCTTCCACTTCCCTGTCCCTTAATAATCGCTTTCACTCCCACCCATCCCTTGGTTCTCTCCTTCCCTCTCTTTCTCCCTTACCCTTCGCCCCCAGGTGGTCTCTCCTTCTCTCTCTCCCTCTCCCCCCTCCCCCAAGTGGTCTCTTCTTCCCTCTCTCTCCTCCCTACCTCCTCCCCCAAGTGGTCACTCATGCCACACTACACTGAGAGACTGGCAGGAGGGAGCGCCGTGTACTTCCCTCCTGCTGATACCTCATATCTTGTGCCTCCGGGCCAGTGCGACCTCATGGACGCGCCGGCCCGGGTAGTGCTGCAGTCGCCTGAGGCTCTCTATAGAGTCGCCTATAGGAAGCGCCGGCCCTGAGTCTGGACGGCCAAATCTTGCATCTAGTTCAGATTTAGAAACCATAGATGAATTACCCCACCACTACCAAACTGTCTACAAAAATAAATCACTACCAGAATCCAAGTATTTTGGGTGCCCTGGAAAGACATGTTTAAATGTAAAAGTAATGTTTAAAACCATTGTTTCCACCAGGGATTTTGGAAATCGTTTTTTTTCATGTTATTAAGAAACCTTGGGATGTAATGGCTTTTTTTCTTTTTTGGTCTATTTTGAGACTGAGGAAAAGAAGGCTTTAGAAGAAAGAAGACATCACATAGTAAGTACATATTTTTTCCACATGATATCTCCACCCACTATTATTTAAGTTAAAGTTCCCCACACAACGTCCATGGGATGGGGCCTTTATAGCAACTAGACAGCAACTGGCTGCTCACTGTTTAGCAGATATGCCCCCTAGGTAAGTGGGGCAAAAGGGAGATTTTAAAACTCCATTATACTAATATTGTGGTCATTCTGACCCCCCTGACTTATATGGTTTGCCTCCATGTGGTTAATCCTTGCATTGTCAAGGGTTGTTTAACAATTTGCCTGCTGACTGCTAGTACTGCAGTGGGCAAATAGTATTTTAAATTAACACGTGTCTGTAAAATGCTAGTAAACAATAACTCGTAAAACAGGCATCCTGCTAGAGGATGTGAATTAAAAAAATTAAATTAAACTAAAACAAAATCAGTGCTTTATAAATATTCTGATTCCTATACTTTGTATGAGGTTTAAATGTGAAAAGCACTGATTTTAATCCAGATACCAAATGCATCCGGCCGATTGGTGGAGATTTGGCCAGGTTGGCCAAATTCCATCTGGAATGAGTTTAAGAGAATAGCCATTCTGGTCGGAATTCTGACATTTTCCAGATGGACAAAATCTAGTGTATAGTAAATTACTCTGAATTTAAAGAATATGAATCTGAGGCAAGTAAAATGGTTGTGTGTGAACATAGCATACTGCTTGTTTTTGAAAATTAAATTTCAGAGTTGTATGCAAACAAATCAAAAACTCTATAATTATAAGAATACAATGGGCTGGAATTATGAACTTGAAGTTAATTTTGATGATGCATCTCTAAAACAGAAAGTACATTATCAAATTTATAGACTAAAAATAAAACTTAGACTCAAGTTCTTTGCACCAGAACATTCTTGGCACACATTGTTGACACCAGCTAATCCATAAAGCACATATCCTTTCATTTTTATAAAGCATTAGGACTACTCCATAGTGGTTCAATGAATCATGCATGACATATGATAAAGTACCTTTCAAATGAATTTCAGAAAGAATAAAAAAAAAGAATCATAATTCTTGCAAATCAAAAAGATGTCTAAATGAAATGGATCCGATGTTGAATCATCTATTAATTCAACTTTTGTATCAACTAAGTCATCCTCTGAAGAAGAATGGCTATTATACAGATGAAGCATACATAACGTTTTCCTTAGATATTAATGTGGCCTGTTGACTGGAGAAAAATATCTGAACAGTAAATCATGTTAAATATGCATAGAAGTAACATTATAGGAGAGAAAACAAGTTATTGAAGGCCAGTATACTTTGTGATGGTCCTTGGGTTTCCTCAAAAGAAAATAATAGAGAAATGGCTAATTGAGAAATGATTGTTTTCATGAATTCAGGAGAGATCTGCTGGAGAAGGCTATGAAGCCCAGACAACGCAAATTCCATCTGAAACGCTCTCTCCAATTTTTGAGTTACATTGTATGCCTGACTGTTATGCACATCCAGACCATATAGACTAAAATAATTAAACGCATAGTGTATGTATGTAAGCTCCACAAAGCTGCATATGCCTGTATGCCATATTGGAAGACATGGCCAAGTGTACAAGTGATTGCACAGCATTTATCAGCCCAAGCATCGCTAGTGGGTGATAACATCCTTCGGCAATTCAGTGTCAGGATTACAACTTGATCCAGCACTCAGTACTGTGTCACACCTAGGACTAAGGATATCGTATAACCGGACCTTAGAATAGCCGAATTAAAGTCTCCAAGAATATTCAAAATACTTGCCGAGGTCAGGGACACAGAATCAGACACAAAGATGAGGGAAAGCCAAAAGTCAAAGATACCAGGTATCAGGGAAGTCAAATCAAAGCCAAAGTCAAATACCAGAAAATCAAGATCAGGAACGTACTCTCAGATAACCATAGGCTTGAAACCATGACAGGGCAATGAGCAAGAAGAGAATTGGGTTTAAATACCCCTCCTGTGGATCCGATTGGCTTTAACCGACCTTTGACCGCAAAGGCAATTACCGGGTTTCCATGTGTATGATTGCTGCTCAGCATAAACCCTCCTGTGGATTTGATTGGCCATGACCGGCCTTTGACCCCAAAAATAATTACCAGGTTTCCATGTGCATGATTGCAGCTCGGCACAACTTTTCCTGCCAGCATGGTAATGTTGCTCGGCACAACTTTTCCTGTCAGGACAGTAAATGCCACTATGTGACATTCAGATATCATGGACTACATCTCCCCTGATGCTTTGCCAGCATTATGGCTGTATATGAGCATTGAGAAAGATGTCATCTGGAGTGCTGAAAGTTGCCTACCCTTGCCCAAGACATTAAAAGTCTACTGAGTTTTCACACACCTAGGACTCTATTTAATAAGTATTCCAAATGATTCCATATGGTTAGAGATCTTTCCAAAAGTTACCGTTAAAGTCTATGGAGATATTTGTAGCTAAATAATTTGGAAGGTTTTTCTAACAGTATTGAATCCTTTGGAAAACTTATTAAATAGTTAGAAACACACTCAGACATGTATACTTAACTAACGACTCAAACACACATGCATACATTAATACATTTTTTAAAGTGATATTTAGACATTCACAAGTTCTAATGGCATGTATCTAGACATATCTGTATATTCCATGCAAATCAATCTTTATTATTACAAATGAGCTGGAAAAGAGCAGCGTTCAGACTAAGACAGCCTACACAACCCACCTGCAGAACAAACATGTGACAAGCTAGGGTAATTCCAGACATGTCAATATGCAATGTAGACAATGCCAAATAAGCCAGATGCTACTGCTAGAAATATATTCTCCACATCTTGACATCTGATTTTTGGAACTTCTATTTAAGAGGGAGGAGAAAAGCCAGAAATAGAACGTAAAATAAAAAGTCATTAATCTAACACGAACACCAATGTGTCAGTTCTTGAAATGTATACATAAAGAAAACCTGGGACTTCTAGAATATGTCAGCTGAAGTTTCTTTCTTGTAGCTTTGCTGACATGACTATTACTATTTACGATTACTATTTTTTCAACTTAAAAATAAAAGGAAATATTCCAACTCTGTAAAAGATCACACTCTGCTATGTACCAATCTGTCTACTTGCACATCAATCTATGTACCCTTATATCTACCTATCAGTCACCGGATCTCCACATTTATACATTTGTATCTTTTATCTCGATCTCCAAAACAGTTCATCTGATCTTCATGTATCACGTATTCAATTTAAAACCACCAAATGTTAAATGTTTAATGCAACACTTAACACCATAATCACTACAGCGTGATATGGTGGTTATAGTACCTGGAATGCCCTCCAATGTAAGTATTCAAACTGTTCAGTAACTACTGCTACGGACACTGCTCCTCACATCCTCTCCTGAAAGCTCTGTTACTTGAACTAAGCCCGGCATTGTTGAGTTTAGCTCATTGCCTCAATGTGATCAGCTGACACTCCCAGTTAATGAACTAGGTATGCATTGCAGTATTTAGATTACTTACATTGGAGGGACACCGGTGCACTCAGATCACCATAACCACTATATAATGCTGTAGTGGTTATCATGCTTGGAGTGTTCATTTAACGACTTTGAGTTCAATTAATTCCAGCTTGGATAACTTAAGTTCCTTCTGAGTATATGGAAACTTTATTTTATGTAAAAATGTGCATGCAATGGTATTGCCCAACCGAAGGTAAGATTGCTTTTACAATTTCTTTGTGTGTTCGCATATTATTATCAATTATAATATAGCCCAAACCTAATCTGCTACGGTTTACAATTATACAATGTGGATACACAATCGCAAACAATTAACAGACAACATACAGTGAAGAGACAATAGATGATTAAAGAAGAGATGATTAAAGAGTTTACAATCTTGGAGATAACTTTGACTAGAGGTTTTTGCTCCACCCTCTACCCCCCACCAAGATCTACATAAATTCTTCAGATTTTAAATCCAATCTAAATCAGGGGTAACGATTTGTCAGGGGGTTCAGAATTACACAACTTCTTAACTGAAATCTATTCTAACATTGTGATAAAATACTCGTCACATCTCTGATCTGCTCATTTTGGAATCTTGGTTTGTTTGGAGTATTACTGCACAGAAATATTTAATCTAATATACCATTGCACAGCATCGAGTTTAAAAAATATTTAATATCACTCATTTTTCTACTGAAAGGTGTGCAACCTGCAATGTGTGCAGAAATGCAAACATTGAAACATTTCTTTTGACTACATTTAACTACTATAGCACACTGTAATTGTTATGGTGTCAGGAGTGCCCTAGTGCACCCACAATGTAAGTAATCAAAGTGCCGCTTCCTGCTAGACTTATTTTCTATGCTCATCTCCCTTAAAAGCGTTTCCTAATATTGTAAAAATATAATACGGATAGTGTATTTAATATGTCTAATGATCACTCCAGGTCCTCTCAAATCAGTGAGCAATCAGGCTTGTCTTAGGAAGTGAGACGGCCACGTCTATTCTAAAATTTTATGCTTTTCAACGAATGGCACAGTAAAGTTAATAGCAATAACAATAACAATAACAGGCTCCCTCAAATAACTGTTGTTTTCACATTTTTTTCCAAATTATATTTTAAAAACTACTTGATTGTTTTAGCAAAGACCAGCAACTTCAAAATGAAAAATAAATGAGGTCCTGGAAGTGGTATTTTGACCTTTGGCGTGGTTCATCATGGGCGTACTATAAAAGAAATACACTTTTGCACCATAACAATGCTTTCTGTACTTTCTGTACTGAGTTCAAACTGAGTAGCACAGCAACAACAACATTTGAATTCTTCTCATTTCTCAAACACCCCACTGTTTCACAGCTGGGCCCATTTGTAATGTTCCAGAAATGTTCCTTTGTTCACACTCTGGTCCTCCTGTGCTTGTCCTTCTATAAACCGTTGCGTTCTTAAAATTCAATTAAAACTGCTAATTTAGTTTATTTATTTATGTTTGCTTTTGCCCTTTTCTGTGGACTCACTCAATAGGTTAAACAAATTTGAATAACGTGTATGTTATTTCACACAAGTGTGTGCTGAAAGCAGTTTTTTAATGAAATTTGTAGTCAGAATATTTGGTAGAAATACATTTTTTAAAAAACAAGAAAAAAAAAAGATGTATCCATGTAAGCCTTTCAAGACTAAAATGCCAGAACCAAAACAATAAATCTAGCTAATCACAGACTTGAAATCGTTCATCTACACCAGCACCTAAAACAACTTACATTAATCAAAAGAAACAGATCAACATTTAGTGTGTAACTAAACACCGACTACTTATTTAAGTTGTTAACTAAAATAATTACCAATATGGTTACTGCATTCTCCTCGATCCCAGGGTGCAACCGAGCATGAGGTTGGTCAATCCTCACAATGTGATTTGCAAAAAGATAATAATGGTCCAGGCATTCCAGTTCAATCCAGTGGGCAGATTTATTGAAGCAAAATCGAAATAACTTTTCGGCCCACAACAGGGCCTTTGTCAAGCTTAACAAAGGCCCTGTTATGGGCCGAAAAGTTGTTTCAATTTTTCTCCAATAAATCTGCCCACTGGATTGAACTTGAGTGCCTGGACCATCATTACTTTTTTGTTAACTAAAATAAAGCATTTTTGACTTGCTCATTGCACTTGGTTAATGAAGCTGCAGATGCACAGAAGTTGGCATGCGATAACGACGAATTCCACCAATGGATTCAGCACCACACTTTCATATTAGTGGAAACCAAAGCAAACAAACTGAAAGTGTTTTTATTTGGAGTTTGCCAAGTAAATTTCAATGAGTGGCATGGATTGTATGTGAATGGCTACTAGGGCCCTCTCCCTCCCACAATGTCTATAAATAACTTAGCGCTAATGTAGCAGCAGGAGGAATCCTTGCCAGACTCCACTCAAAGAAAAATGATCAGTACTGATGGTCTTCCAGTGCTTAAAGAAGCATTGGGACATAGGGGCTCACAGCAAATGGGAAAAGCTACTTATTTGGCATCTGACTGGCAGCTGAGAGGGTGCTACTTTGTCTCTATAGATTCTCTTGTAAAATTGGCATGTGTTTAATACCACAAAAACTGGACACTTTGTTAACCCCTAAATAACTTTTTCAAGCTGAAGTACTCTAGCAGGGTTAAACGCTAAAGTGAGAATTCAAGGTGAATTTTGAATTACATTGGAGTGAATGACCTATCCTGTTACATAGTAGCCAAAATGGTCTCTAGATTTCCAAACCTTTATTGATCCTACAAATCCCTTGCCTTGGATTATTTTGAAGGCACGTTGGATTGTTTGCCGTTTTGTAAGCTTTTTAGTGTTTTCTCTGGGCAGAAAATAAAACTCTGAAAAATGTAAGTATGAAGGAGTGTTACAAGTTTCTATATTTTGTATATTGTAATTAAAGATTAAGGACAACCTTTATTACAAGAGACAATAGGTATGGACATTTTATTTTAAATGTGTGGAGCATGGATGGCTAATGCCACTTCTTTGTGGAAGGGACTGGCAATTAAGACTAAGGCATTGGATATCCTGTCTCCTAAAATAAATATAAGAAAAATGACAAAATGGAGTGAAAGCACGTGTGATCAGAGAACTTGACACTCCTTGATTATTCATTATAGGGTGTAGGCACAGAATTTGAGCCGAAGAATTTGGTGACAGTTTATTTTATTTTTTTATAACTAATTAAAAGGGTTTTGTTACCATTTTAACTAATAGTACCCGGGATTTAGGGAGGAGAAGGCCAGGGAGCCTTGGGCAACTAATTTTTGGTATATTAACAACTTCAACTACCGTGACTAAATTTTTTCCTTTGTATTTATTTATTTCAATTTGAAGTGCTTTGAATTGATTTTTTTTTTTTGCATTCTTTATTTTGTCTTAGGCAGTAGGTAGACATGTAAACAGTTGAAAAGAAAACAAAAAAATGTGTAATACACCAACAATCAACATTGCTTTTGAATGGATTTTTACAAAGATACAAAAGAACAAACATGTATGGTTATCTTCAAAGTTCTCACAGCATTTGTTAGTGAGAAAGAGGTTTAATTAGAAGTAAACGTGGACCATGCCCTCAAGCCAAACAAAAAAACTAAAAAAAGTTAGCCACCCCTATATGATAATAAAATAAATTGATGACCTGCTTAGAAATAGACAAGTATGCAAAATTCCAGATTTCAAAAATAAGATGATCAGGTCCTAAAACTGTCCCTGTAATTTCACCATAAATAATAAAAGGTAAAAATAAGGTGCATATTTATACTGAGGGGATGCAGCAGAACACAAATTAGTTATACTACCGCAACTAAATAAAAAAGGTTTATGAAATTCAAAGGATACATTTTATTTTTTTTATCTGGTAAAAAATGGTTACCTTCTCATTTGTTTCAACAAAGTGACCTAGTTTGTCTCTTTAGCCTCGTGTACAACCACAAGTGTAGTCAGTTAACAAGCTAAGTTTAACCTGTTCGGTCTCGTACCTTCACTTTCCTCATGTATTTTACAATATAAAAAGTGCAGTCTTATGGATATTTTCTATTGTATCCATGTCCTTATATTGCTACATTTATATCGGTCAAAATGTCTATGCATAATTTTGTTTCAAACTGCACACAAAAATTTAAAATGTCAACAACAAAAAAAGGTTTACCTGAAAATTTAGCAAATATTAGTAATTAAATGTCAGCATTAACCATGAAAAAAAGACAATGGTAAATACCTTCATAGAATTTACTGTTAAAAATGTATAAAGTTGCTAAGAAAATTTGAGTTCATTGGCTGCTTTGAAACCCGCTTATCAAAATATGAATAGTTTTAGCTTTGGAAAAAAAAGAATGCGTTCCTTTTGATATACGACTTATAACTGACAATAACGGAGACAGTCCTAGGTATACGGGGCATTCTCAAAATCTGGACAAACTTGCAAATCTATTTCTTTAGCTGCACTACTTGTCTACAAATTATAATAGGCAAAACTGTGAAAATTGTTCCCATCAGCCGATGCTCTTAGCCAATCGCTGCCTGCTACCCCGCTATGGTGTGAAGCCAAGCAAAGCCATATATCCACCATAAAGCTTCAGACTACTTGAAACTAAGAATCTCTACTAAATGGTGAGTAATCATTTCAACTGGTTATGGTGCCTACAGTGTTTCTTAAAAGCATTTTAAATATAGATAACAGATTAACAAGATCTTACCTGACTCCTGAAGATAGCGATACACCAGGAAATTCACTTCGTCACTGGTTATGCTCATCTTAACCCCACCTCAAAATGATGAGGGCCACAGGAAGGGAGGTCCCCACTCTAAAAAAGGGAAAAACAAAATTAAAAGGTAAGTGTCTGGCTAAATTGTTATGTTACTGCTAGGCTGCAGCACATCCATCTATCTTCCTGCAAACTACAAATATGTGAGCTGTGTTCTTTTGGCTTTCAGTGCAAATCAATCCAGTGTTCCTTATTATCGCTATAAAATGTTTTGAACTTTTACATGAAAGCTTTACAGCAGAGCGGGAGTACAAGGATCCTAAAAGAATACATCATGTTCTAAGCGGATTTTAAAATTACCATAGAGTGCAGGCAAAAGAGTAAATACATTGCAAATACAAAACAAAAAGAATATGTTATACAAAAGAGTTTACAAATAAAATTGTAGCTGAGCCCAAAATCAAACAGGGAGAATAAAACATGAATGTGTATGTTTCATAATGAGAATGTTTGTTCAAGGGAATATTTATTACACAGTAATTTGAGGTGAGCTAAAAGTAAAATTTTGTTCAAGATTTTTTTTTCCCAGCTCAAATTATGCCATTGACCAACACAATGAAATGCATTTTTTATGGTATAATTTCTTCGTTTTTGCTTTTTAAAACTATTAAACACTACAGCTATAGAACATGTTATCCGTATCCATGGTTATGTGAACCCCTGTAGTGCTGATCATTTTTCTGCTCTGTTTTGGTAATCAGAATATGCTTTTTTTTTTTTATTTATAAAGTCTAAAAGTTCTAAATTCTAAAGTCTTGCTGACACTATATTCTGCTAATACACTAAAATTAAATTTGCTAAGTACTTCATTATTCTGTATTTTATATATAATTTGATGAATACTAAAATATTAAAATATGCATTTTTTCCATGTTATTAAAGATTTTATTATTTTGAATAAGATAAATTACTTCCTGTAAATTGACCTGAGAAGATATTTCAGGTCAATTTACAGGAAGTAATTTATATTATTCAAACCTCATCGTCCAATCTGGCTGCACTTTTTAAATCTACAAAAGTTTTTTTTTTTTAAACTAGTTCTGGAAATAGAATCAGGGCTGGATTAACATGATGGAGCTGCTCCAGCCCCATGTCAATGGAATAAGCCCATAGATTTAATAAATTTTTTATTTTATTTATTTTTTTAATACTACTTTTCACATGCTCTTAATTAATTATGGAAACTTAAGAGGGATGTAGGGGAGCAAAACATGTGTGGATTGGCTGACAATGAAATTAGTTAATGTAAACCTGACTTTGTGCACTATGCAAGTACTCTTACTGCTTCAGTCTCTCAAACACTGTAGCATGTTCCCTTTCTTCTACACTCACTACATATATATGGTATGCCATCATGTGGGTAATTCTCATCCCTGGGCTACCATACGGTCTCGAAGGCAACGTAACCAATCTGGCATATTTCAATGTGAAAAAACTGAAATGCAAGCCTTATATTTGACTCTGTAACTTTTGAAAACACCATAAAAACTGTACATGAAGGATACTGTTATACTCAGGAGACTTCGCTGAACACAAATATTAGTGTTTCAAAACAGTAAAATGTATCACAACAATTATATTGTCCGTGTAAGTGCCATTTGTGTGTGAAAAATTCCAAAAATGTCACTTTCACTGACGATATCATCGTTGTAATACATTTTACTGTTTTGAAACACTAATATTTGTGTTCAGCAAAGTCTTATGAGTAAAATAGTATCCCCCATGTACAGGTTTTATGGTGTCTTGGAAAGTTACAGGGTTAAATATAGTGCTATATGTAATTAATAAATTTATCTAATTATGTAAAATTATTAAATAAATATATACGTAGAATTATATATATATATATATATACTTAGATCATATATATAATACATATATATATATATATATATATGATCTAAGTATATATCATTTAATTTTACACTGTTTTAAACTTTACATTTTTTTTTTTCGGGCAGCAGGGGGAGTAATTACAGGCACTCCCCCTGCTGGCATTGCAATGGACAGCTATGCCCAGGGGGGACAAAGAGAAAGGAGGGGGGCTCCCGGGGCTGCCAGGAAAGTCCCCATACCGCGATCACCGGCGTGGGATCACCGGCGTGGGATCGCCGGCGACCGGGTAAGTACAAAGGACGGCGGGCACGTGCTATGCTGCCCCCCGGCGTTTAGTGCCGCTTCCCTAAGGATGGCATAGCACACCCGCCATCCTTAAGGGGTTAAAGCAGTACTGTCACAATATGCACAGTATTGACATTAAAGCTGTATTTCTGGCACTACCGATTCCTTTAATGTCAATACCCAGACCACTTCAATGAGCTGCCTACAGTATCCCATTAACAAAGCTCACAGCTAATGTTCTGGGCTGGCTAATAAAATAGTAATAATGGGTGGAGTAACACATCCATCTGTAATATAAAATATCTCTGTATGTGTAGTTTTTCATACCGAAACGATGCACATACAGACTCTAAGCACCATGACCACATCAAAATACTGAAGTGGTCATGATGCTTGCCTTTAATCCTTTTTGTTCAACTATATCTTCTTATTTTCAATACTTTTATTTTTATTTTACATATGAGAAATGGGAACTAATTTTACTTATGTTAAGCGTGATCTTTAGCACAAGTTAGAACTTGAGCAAGGTTCCATTTCAGTTTGTGTGTGTGTGTCTTTGTATGTATGTCTTGTGTGTGTCTGTATGTGTCTTTGTATGTATGTCTTGTGTGTGTGTATGTGTGTCTTGTCTTTGTATGTATGTCTTGTGTGTGTGTATGTGTGTCTTGTCTTTGTATGTATGTGTTGTGTGTGTCTTGTCTTTGTATGTATGTGTTGTGTGTGTGTCTTATGTATGTGTCTGTATGTATGTGTGTCTTGTGTCTGTGTGTATGTGTGTGTGTCTTTGTATGTATGTCTTATGTGTGTGTCTGTTTGTATGTATGTGCCGTGTGTGTGTGTATGTGTGCCTGTCTGTTTGTATGAATGTGTCGTGTGTGTTTGTGTGCCTGTCTGTGTGTCTGTATGTATGTGTGTGCCTGTCTGTTTGTATGTGTCTCTGTATGTGTGTCTTGTATGTGTGCCTGTCTGTTATAGTGGGCTATAGTAAGTGGGCTACCTAGCTCAGCCTTTCTACTGGGCATTGCTATAAGTAAGGTTAAAAAATAGAAAAAAGTGAAAAAAAGGTGGGGAGATGAATTGAGGAGGAAGAGGAGGGGAGCTGACACACAGATGAGAAATCATATTATGCGCAAACAGAGAAGTCGTCTGAATTTCACCGAAAGAGGAGACCTTCGTTTGTTCCTTACAAAAATCGAATCAGATATCAAATATTTAGTCTTGCAGCATCAACCTCAAAAGAGCTCATTAATCACTAATAAAGGTAATTTCAATTTACTTTATTGTTTTCTCATTAAACTTTATAAAGTTAAAAACATTATAAACATGCATGACGTAGATAAATGTACGTACATTTTTTTTTTTTTAAAACGCCCTCCTTTCTAAAAAATATTCTGCACTTGCACGAAAACTGGTGGGCGGTAAGGACATTTTTCCATCAAGAAAGATGCATTAGTGGGCGGTAGGAAGAAAAAGGTTGACTACCACTGATCTAATGTGTGTATTATAACTGCAGTGATTTGCAAAAACGAGTATAGCTACATGGCTTCCCCAGCTATCTCGGCCCATCAAACATGTTAATACAGTAAATGTATATGTGCTAAATAAACATCCACCTGCCACAGGAGACTCCTTTAAAAAAAAAAAAGGTTAGGAGCCTGAACCTTGATCCTGCCTGATTGCTCGATTCCCAAACCTGTGTAGGGATCCATCACTGAGCTTGAATGGATAGCAGTGCAGCTGCTTATTATTTTTTTTAATGATCACTAAATATAGCTTTGTAAATGAGTTTATAATACAGATGACTTCATAAACCTTAAAGGAAACATTATTCAAATGCTGGCTCAGCACTTTGTGTCATCCAAATAAAAAGGTTACAAAAAATAAATATTCCCCCCACGAATATTCCCCTGACTAAATATTTATATTTGGATGTAAGGATGTAAAATTTCTGCCAAATGTAGAAATACTAAAATGGAGATATTTCCCACAGTGCAATGATGATGATATGCAGACACAGCAAATAGGACAAACAAATGACTTTGCTGAGAAATTCTGGAAACTAAACCACAACAGTTCTAAAAGGTTCCAGAACTTCAATTATATGCATGAACTCTTGTTTTTGGCTAGTTTGCATAGGGTCTCCCTCTGTGGCAGAGCTAATGTTGAGAGGGACCAAGTGAGAGAAATATCTTTGGGCCCCCGCACTAGTGCAAGAATGGCAAAAAGATAGATCCACATCTGTCCTACAACTCCCATGATGCTACGCCAGCTGGGGTCTACCATTTTCCTATCATTTAAGGGTTGCATTTGTGCGTTTGAACACAAGCATATTTTTGTATAGAGTATGTGTACATGTAGGGGTGTTTTTGTTTGTACTGTTGTCATTGGAATGCAGTTGAACGACAGATGTGGATTTATCTTTTCGACACTGTTGTGTTAGAGTGGGGGCATATATTTTTTTCTTGCACTCTCTACTTTAGTACTGCCACTGGGTTGGGGTGGAGGGTGTAATTGCATGCCAGCAAATGGGAGGCACCGCCCAAGAGGCCCAAGCAAATGCTTTCTCAGGGTCAAATCAATATTAAACATGGCCTTACGAAGGTGTGTTTGTGTGTAATGTTTGCGTTTGACTGCAGGGGTTTGTTTGGACGTAGTGTTGGCTTTTAAATGCGGATATACATTTGCGTGTCATATTGGTGTTTGAATGAAGGGGTGTATTTGTATATAATTGTGGAGTTTTAATGCAGGTGAATATTTGTATGTAATGTTTGTGTGTGACTACAGGGGTGTGTTTGCATGTTCTGTTCGAGTCTGATTGCTGGGATGTATGCCACATAAATACATACATACATGCTTACATTAGCCCAC